TGCCAAATCCAAGTGTGCACCACCGAAATTGATCATTTCCAAATCAAAATACACACGGGAAATGACGGGACAGCGCAGGACTGTTCTGTTTCGCTCCCGCACTCCCTGGGACCAGCCAGAGACAGGTTCCATCATCAGCTTGGGTTGGTTTGGGATTGGGAAGGACTGGGAAGTCAGATTGTGGCGGTCCCGTCAAAGCAGGTGTCGGTTATTCTCTTGCTTCTTTGCTGCTCCTAGCCACACTCTGCTCTCGTCGCTTCTTGCATCTACTGTAATCTATCCGTTAATGAAACCTGGAGGTAATCGCCTTGACGGCTCGTCCGTTTTATCCACTTGAGCAAGAAAGGACCTCACAGCTGAACCGCTTATTCCATCGACCACCGAACGAAATGGCAAATTCAAGAAGCTCCTTCTCACTTGAGATTTCCACCTCATCCCGAGAGACCAGACCATACACTCAGCTTCAGCAGATTGTGTAGAGTAAATAATTTTAGCAAGAAAGCGCACGATATTATGTGCACAGCTTCGGCAGCAATCGTCGCAGCGCGTTAGGGCCGATGATAGCGGCGGTCTCACTTCGCGACGGCGAGAGGGAAGCACGCAGCCTCCACAGTAGTGGTACGAGCTCGAGAGCGGCGATGGAGCACCGCCACGTGTCACCCGAATCGCTGAGCGTCGGTACGGGCCCTCAGGAGGAAAGCGCGGAGGTTCCGCGTGGCGCGCAAATCTCTGAGTTGACACGAATGGCATCGGGAGCGGCGGAATTGGCGGAAATGGCGGATAGTGTCGTAGCTGGGAGAGAGATTTTTCTTGGTGGACGCGCGCAGCGTTGCGATAGGCGGACAGCGGAGCGGGCAGCGCGGAGAACGCGGGGAGCGGAGGAAGAGCGGGAGACGACAGGAGAGACGCGGGAGACGCGAGGTGTGGGGGAGGCCCGCCGGGAGACTCGGGAGGCGCGAGATACGCAGGAGACGCAGGAAACGCGCGGGGAAATGCTGGAGAAGCGGGCGACGCGTCGGCCTGGCGGAAGAACGCGGGGAGATTGCGGAACTTGCGCACGGGGAACACGTCGCGACGAGAGGCTCGCAGAAGGAAAAGTTCGCGCAGCGGCAGGGGTATCCCGTTCCGCAGCGGCGGGGGCAGATGGGCCCCGTTCCGCAGCGGCGGGGGCAGATGGGCCCAGGGCCGATACTCGCGGACAGGCTTACCCAGTTGCGGCGGTTCATGTGAAAGCGTCGGTTGGTGGAAAAACAGCGAAAATACCAAATTCAAGTCAGCACGGCGCGACTACTAGCTCGAAGAGTCGTGAGAGTCGGGATGCTGGGACTGGGAGCGCAGCGCCGCCGGCGTCGGCGCTGCGGGGGGCGCCGCTGGTGATGGGGGGGCCGCAATCCTCGGATCATCCTACTACCGTTCCAAAAACGCGTCGTTCAAAAATGGCGGAAACGAAAGTCGAAGGTAGTGGAGGTGGAATGGTTGGTAGCAGTAGTATCTCGGCGCGGCAAGGGTCGGATGCAGCACCGCCGGAGCCGCACGCGCACATGGGGAGCCTGGTCGCGCGGTCCACGTCTCCGCGGAAGCCGCCGCTGCAATTGGCGTTTCCGCGCTCTGTCTCCAGCCCCTCCGCCGCGCCGCCGCCGGCCCGACAGCGATTTCCGTCTTCCAAGTCGCTCCCCACATCCCGCGACCCTCCAGTATTTTCTTCTGACGAATCGTCCGCGACTGCTGCTGCTGTTCAAACTTCCGCTGCTGCGCAAGTTTCCGCTAGCGGCGGTAGTAGCGCTGCTGGAGCAACGACCGCCTCATCACTACCCGCCGCTTCGCGAGCGGAGTTAGTCGTCGCTCAAGTTGAGTCGCCCGTTGAGTCGCACGTTGAGTCGCTCGTTGAGTCGCACGTTGAGTGGCCCGTTGAGTCGCATGTTGAGCCGAGCTATCCGTTGACTCCCCACCCGCCTTCCTTTCCGCCGTCGCCGACTGCTGCGACGTCCCGCCTCCGCCTCTCCCGCTTCCGAAGCACCGCGCCTTCCGCCGCTGCTCCCGCCGTTGCTGCCGCTCCTACTGCCGCGCCCGCCGCCGCTCCTCCCGCTTCGGATGCCACTTCAGCCGCTGCATTCCACCCAGCAAGCCACGTCGACACGAGCAGCAGGCTCGCCCATACTCGTCCACGCCCCAACCTTCGTGTCGACCTCCCTTCGTCACAGTCACATCCCGACTCTCTCTCCACACAGTCACACTCAAACTTCTCCCCTGACTCGTCCCCCGCGCCGTCTCCGCCCTTCACCGTCCCCCTCAGCGCGCACCGCCAGCACCGCATTCTCCTCCACCGCTCCTTCCCCCTCTCCCCCTCCCCTCTCCAATCCGAACCGTCGAATCAGGGGAGCAGGATGCGATCCGACGGCCCTCGTAGCCTTTCCTCCTCCGCCCCCTCCTCCCCAACGCCTGCTTCTGCGCGCCACTCCCCTTCCCCCCTCTTCTCCACAACCTCCTCCCCTCGCCCTTCCCCCATTTCCCCCGCATCCTCCTCCCCACGCCGTCCTCCCTCCGGAAGGCGCCCTTACTCGCCCCTCCGCTCGTGCTCCTCTCTGCCGCCCAGCTCGGCTGCTCCCACCACTCCAGTCACATTGGGGCCAAGGACAGCGTCAGGGCCGGTGCTGATTGGTGCAATGAGAGCACCGGCCGAAGGAGTTTCCCAACGGAGAAACACCACCAAGTCGGGGTTGGCGCCAGCATTGCGCGCTGGAGCAGCGGCTGTAGCAGGAATGCTGGCTGTATCAGGAACGTCGGCTGTAGCAGGAGGTGTAGCAGCGGTGGATGTTGCTCAAGGAACAAGGCTGGTTGCACCAGGTGATTCTGCAAACAGTGGCAGTGGCGGTGCGAGTGGTAGTGGCAGTGGCAGCGTCATTGGCAGCGGAACTGGCAATGGCAGGGGCGGTGGTAGCAATAACGCTTCTCCTGGCTATTCGTCCCCGAGACTGCTTGGACGAGCTGTGGGGTGCCCGTCACCTCTTTCCCATGGCTCCACTTCTCGCGATTCCGCGAACGCAAGGAATGAGCCAATTTCAAGGCTGAAAGCATCTCACCAGAAGCCACAGCTGCAGCAGGAGCAGCACCTTTTGCGGGCTAACCATGTGGCTGGTGGTGTGGAAATGTATCCGCGTGCTAGATCGGACAATGTGAGCGCAGCTGCCATGGCACCACCCACTGTTGCTCAGCAGTTGCTCTCTCTTATGCCGAGGTCCGCCACAGAACCTGGTCGGTGCGACGAGATCAACGCTCATGCCATGTCGTTTCACTCCCCTTCGGTGACTTTTACCCCCATGAGTGTTTCACCACCTATGGGTTTACCACTCTCGTCGTCATCGTCTTCATCGTCCACACTCGATGGAGAAATAAGCTCATCTGGTAGCGAGCGACTAGTAGCAATCACGAGGCATGCCATTGCAACGCTCAAGCTCCAGCATTTTTAACCCCTTTTCTGTTTCCATCATGTATCTGGTGACTTTCGTTTCCTTGTACATACGATACTGGAATTCCTAGATTCATTTTTTGAATGGTGTTTGAAAGGTTTTGTTTTGAATCAGCGTTATTGCAAAATGCTTTGTTGTGACAGATCTTTATCTGACGGTATTCCGCATGCGGCGATTATCGAACGAACGACGACCATCGACGGCCACCAAAACTCATAATACCAATCAGAGCACGAAGAGCATCACCCTAATCAAAGTTTCTATCCCAACCAGTCGCGAAGTCCGACGTGTCAGCTCCGGAAAGGCCCGCGCCACACCAACAGCTCGCCTTGGCCACACCAAACCCTCGCAGCGAGGGGTCGAAACCTCGCTCTGGCCGAGCCCACACCAAACCCTAGCCTTGTCCAGAAGCGATTTTCCGCTTCCCCCAACCACCTCACAACCACGCCCGCCACCCCAAGGCTGCGCGCAAAACCCATCAATAATTCCGCCTCTCCCTCAGGCTTGGTCTCCGCTTCCCCCAGGCCGCAACAGTGATGGGGCGCCAAAATCCCCCGAATTCCCCATACCCTCCCCCAAACCTTCCCATGACTTTCCCCCAGGCCTCTCCCTTTCCCCCCCAGGCCTGCCCCTCTTGCTTCTTCACCAAGCCCGGACCATGCGACTGCAGCACCGGTAGCCATAGATCTGTTTCCAAACTCGCTTTGCTTTCTCCAAGCTTGTCTTTCTCTCCTCCCTTGCCTCTGGTTTGCCGCGACCCTCGTTCTCCATTCTTGTTACTGCTCATTTCCTCCCCTGTTTCTTGGCTCGTTGATTTTTCCGCGGCTCCTACGTTGGTCTGGCTTATCCCAAGCAATGGCTGGAACGAGCTAACCCTCCCAACCGATCACATCCGTCCCGGATCGCGGATTTAGGTACAATCGATTTCTCTTCATTCGAATACAGTAGGAGCTAATTCTGGAACCGCGTTGACGACTCGTTTCCACGACGTTGCGAGACATCCAATCGAGTTTAGTGAATTCACCTGAAAGAATGACTTCCGTCGCGTACGGCACGCAAGGCGATTCAAGAAACATTGTTAACGCTAGCGGAATGTCTGCGCACGACCTCTCGTGCGTGAATGACGGAAGCATGCAACAACCTGTTCATGGGAGCATTCTCGACCAACAGCAACAGCAGCAGCAGCAGTCTCAAGTTGTCCTGGACGGACAGCAGGAAGAACTCAAAGCTTCGCTTCAGGATTCCCAGCATCCGGATCAATATTCAGTTCCTCCTCCGCTTCCTTCCGAACAAATTAAGCAAGAGCAGCAACAGCAGCAAGACCATCAGCACCATCAAGGTCCGCAAGATGAGCAAATGGACCCGCATCACCGCGCAAGAGAACAGCAGCAGCAACAGCAGCAACAACAGCAGCAACAGCAGCAGCAACAACAGCAGCAGCAACATCACCTCATGCAGCAGCAGCAGCAGCAACAGCCGGGTCAGGAGGAGCATCAGGGTCCGCTCCATTCGCAATCGTCTGTTCCAAACAGCATGCAGTCTGGCCTTCAGAGCGCCGTGCAGAGCGGCAGCACCATGCAGCAAGGCCCGGCTTCCGAACTGACACAGGCAAGCAAATGGTCATTTTCCAAATTTACCCAAATCTGGTTCCCTCCCACCTCTTTTTAGAGTACTTACTCTCTTACATGTTACCTAATTTTCCGTCCTTATTTGTTATCTATCTTCTCGTGGCCGTGTCTGTCTCTGCAGGCAATGGATCCTCAAGCCATGGCGGACGGCGTTCATCATCAGGCCTACGACGGGGGCCTCGCAATGCAAGTCCTCTCAGAGGAATCGGAACCTCCAGAATCCCAACAGCCCTACAGCCCCCTCAACATCCACGGTACACCTTGAAACAACCGTCTATCTTATACGGCACCTCCGATTCTGTCAAATTCTTCTATCCAGCAATCTAGAAGCAATTCTGGACTTGGTGACAGTTCTTGAAGAAACCCTCGTTTCACCTGCCCGTATTTTGCCTGTGCGTGCGTGCCTTTGTGTGTCAGATTTGCTGCCGATCGAGGCGGCGCGCGTGCGCTTCCTGCACCTGATTATCGACCACTTCGTGACGTACCACATCGTCCCCATCTCCGAGGAGTCGCAGCTCGCAGCCTCGCACTCCCCGGGGGAGAGGAGGAAGCGCAGGGCGCGAGAGGTGAGTGGATGGCACAAGCGCAGCTTCTGATTTTAGGCAAATGTTTTCTGGGGAGTGGAGGAAGTGTGGCGAGAGGGGGGAATTTCCTGCATGGCCTACAAAATTATCTGCCAGGACAGGTGGTTTTTTTTTTTTTTTTTTTTTTTTTTTTTTTTTTTTTTTTTTTTTCTGTCCCTGAGGATGTTCTTGTTTGTTTGTTATGGCCAGAGTCGACTGGCAATAATGCCTAGTCTTTTGTGCCCCAAACTCATTGTGGCTTGATTCTGTACCGTTTGCTTATCTCTTCCCCTTCCAACTACTTGTTTCACAGATGGAGGACGGGCAGCCGCCAGTGGAGCAGCAGGTGATCCGGCCGTCATACGAGGGGGACCCGCGGCACCTGCTGCCGCTCATCTTCCTGGCGAACGCGTACGAGACGCTGGTGGGCGAGGTGAACCAGCGCATGGCAGAGATGGACGTGCTGCGCGGCAAGACCATGGGGCTCGCACTCGAGGCTGCTGGCGGGCTGTACCGCCGCATGGTCGAGAAATTCCCCAAGTCTGGTGCGTAGCAGGGGTGTCTTGCTCCCTCCCTCCCTCCCTCCCTCCCTCCCTCCCTCCCTCCCTCCCTCCCTCCCTCCCTTGGTATGACTGTGGTGCGAAGGCGACCTGCGGCACCTGCAGTTGGCGGCTGTCCCGCAGCATGGTCGAGAAATTCCTCAAGTCCTTGGGGTATACCACTCATTCTTCCAAGTGCCCAGCTACTCAATCTTCCAGCGACCCCCTGCTCTGTTTTCCTTGTTTGTCCTTCTCCCAGGCGCCGTGACCATCTTCAGGCGAAGGGAGATGGCGTCTGCTCTGGAGGCAAGGGCACGCTTCCCCCAGCTGGTGCTGGGGCGGGATGACAAGCGCGTGCGGTTTATTGTGGTGCATGGGCTGGAGCTGGTGGAGCGACCCTCCACCATGTCTCCTGACGACGCCGAGTGGTAGGCACTTGTCCTTCCTGTTGGATGTCTGCCCTTAACTGCTAGCTTCTCTACCTCGAGAGTGGATTCATTGTGGTGCATGGGCTGGAGCTGGTGGAACGACCCTCCACCATGTCACCCGACGATGCTGAGTGGTAAGCTCATTGCCATTGCATAGTCTTTCTGCATAGGGGTTGTTCTATTCTCTCTTTTCAGTTAAGGGGATGCAGAAGTGGTTTCATTTTTGCATGGGCTGGAGCTCGTGGAACGACCCTCCACCATGTCTCCCGATGATGCTGAGTGGTAGGTCTGCTTGTCACCTTTGCGTTTTCTTACTGCGGAGAGTTGCTGTGGCCGCTGTGTTTCCAGAGGCTGCAGTAGTTGGCTCATTGTGGTGCATGGGCACTTAAAGAGCACAAAGGACTTGATGGATTCATAATAAAGGCACCTAAAAAAAAAAGTTTCTCGTCACATCTCCCCTTTTAGGTTGAAGATGATAACCGGGCGGCATGAGGTGGCAATATACCCGCAGGACTTCAAGTACTTCACGCCGCGGCCCAAACCTTAGTGTTGCTGAGGTGTCTCAAGAAACACTTCACCCTTCCCTCCCCTCCCAGGTTCAAGCGCATAACAGGGAGGCATGAGGTGGCAATATACCCGCGGGACTTCAAGTACTTCACACCGCGACCCAAACCCCGGAGGGTGCCTCAGCCGTCTGTGTCAGCTGTGACTGTGGCTAACCCGGCCGAGCTCCCTGCCCCCATGCACCACATGGTAAGGACGGATGGTGGGAGAGGGAGATGGTGGGGGGGAGTGGCGGGGAGAGGAGAGGCTGGGTTGGGAAAGGAGTTGGTGGGTGCCTCAGCCGTCTGTGTCGGCTGTGACTGTGGCAAACCCGGCCGAGCTCCCTGCTCCCGTGCACCACATGGTAGGACGGTGAGGGGGGTGGGGGGGGGGGGAAGGGCAGGGGGATGGGGTTGCGCTGGAATAGAGCAGTGTTGGTGCAAGCTACGCCATGCCATGCCACGCCATGCCACCCACACCATGCCACGTCACTTCATGCAACTTCTCCCATGGTTCAGGCCTTGGTCATGGTGGACCTTAAGCACTATCCATGCACCTTCCATGCAAATATCCATGCATCTTCCATGCAATATCTGTGCAGTTGCCATGCAATAAACATGCATCTTCTGGGCAATATCCATGCATATTTCACGCAGTATCCATTGAATTTTCCATGCCGTATTCAATGATTCTTCCTACATGCAATCTCGATGCAATCTCCATGCAATCTCCATGCAATATCCAATGACTCTACCCCCTATTGTGCAGGCTATGGTCATGGCGGACTCATCCCAGCATCACCCATCGGACCCATCCATGCAGCAACAGATGCAGCAGGCAATGTTAATGACTCGTTGTAAGCTGGCAATAAAAAATGCTAATCTATGCTTCTTCCTCCCATGCTGCAGGCCATGGTCATGGCTGACTCGTCCCAGCATCTCCCATCGGACCCATCCATGCAGCAGCAGCAGCAGCAGCAGCACCAGCAGCACCAGCAGCACCAGCACCACCAGCAGCACCAACACCACCAGCAACAACAGCAACAACAACAGCAACAACAACAACAGCAACAGCAGCAACGGCCGCCGAACCAGCAGCAGCCCTCCCCGCACCTAACCGGCAACCCTCCCATCCAATCCGTCCCACCGCACCACCAAGCCGGAGCAGCAGGAATCCACCTGCAAATCCACCATCAGACCGGCGCCCCCATCCCACTTCCCCCAGGGCCCCCCCACGGGCACCCCCAGCAGGGGGGAATGCCAGGGCACCAGCAAATGGGGCCAGGGGGGGGAATGCCTCTGGGGCATATTCCCCAGGGGCCTGGTGGGCCGTTGGGGCATCTGCAGGGTGGGGAGGGGCAGCAGGGCATGGGGCCGGGGCACGTGCCTCCGCATTTGCCGAGGGGGTTGCTTCCTTCTGGATCGCATCACCTGGCCATGGTTCTCACCCCGGTGAGTGCATCGCATTACCTGTTGATGGTTCTCACTCCGAAAAGCACATTGAGAGTGGGATTTTTGTCTGTATGGAACTGCGATACGTGTAAAAAAAAATCTAGATGCGTGTCGTGACTACTGACGCTTTGTGGAGGACTCAGGTGATTCTTCAGCTGCAGCAGCAACAGCCGCTATGAATTCAATGCATAAATGCTGTGTTTGCTTCCATCACCCACTCGTATTTCCCTTCAGGCGGAGTGTGGAGAGGCACCCTATGGCTGTGTGCAGCAGTCTTCAGCCGCAGCAGCGGCAGCAGCGGCTGCTGCAGCTGCCGCGCTTGCTAAGTACTGTGACGAGTGTGGAGCCACATATGTTAGGGATTCCTCTAAGTTCTGCTCTGAATGTGGCACTAAACGCCATGGAACCAATGGTATGTAGCCACGTGGATGGCTCTGATTTGTTGTAACATGCGAGGTCGATATTGTAACAGCAGCTCATGTCAGTTCGTCGTGCCACATCTCGTGGTTCTCTTTGGTACAAATAACCCTCTTGAGCTTGCTTTTTGTATAGCTCTGCAATAATCCCCATACATGATGCAGTTTAACGATAGGCCATTCTGCGAATTCACAGTTCATTATGGAGTTTTATGGAGCACTTTTTATTGTACCGAAACCATCCAAATGTAGGAACATGGGGATTATTCCCATACGGGAAATGTTCGCAAATTACTTTGGCAACATGTATAACAAGTACTCTATTCACTGCAACGGGTTAACTCCAAGCGCCCCCATATTCGATCCATCCCCGGTGGGAACTCGATCGTCCATTCTTGTTCGTCGGCTGAGGTATCATGCTGCTACGGTGCCAAGGTTCATGCGCATGGACATGGATGAACCTGGTAAAGCAATGCTGACCACGTTCAGGGATTTGTCGTTTCGGCGACCCTAGCTGATCGTATCTGCGGGATGGCAGGACGTACATTTACACCCTGTTCTCGATAATTGCACACCCCTACCCTTTTTTTCGTAGGCACCCTTTACGGGCTTTGACTTGATGCGACGGACACCCAGAGATTGAGAGACTATAAAGATACAACGGGCAGGTGGCTCTAGAAAGGACTCCCACTTAATGTTCAGGGAATGTTTAGTCAGGGTTGGGTTCCTTTTATATTCCTGGTCCACTCCGACCAAACCCGAAAGTCGTCGGACCCTCCTCCGCAGTTTTCCTAAACGCTGATAACTACCCTACGATACGATTGACCTAGGGTAAATACCCCAGAGTGTAAGATTAAGGAGTGTGAAATAATCGAGAACAGGATGTACTGTGTTACAGTTCACAAACTGACTGCGTTTAGGGTTTCGGGTTTACTCTGGAATGGACGTCAGCAGCGAATGGGGTAGCCCTGGACTGCTGATATGAAATGGAAATGATTCTTGCAAGGGTATCCGGCCAAAACCCTGAGGGGATAGAACGCGGCTGAAGTTTCCACACTTCGTGTGACGCACATTCTGGTTTGCCACCTTTTCATCACTTGATGGTTGTGAGTCGTAGCACTTAATTGATTGTACCGAGTCTGGGGAGCCGCTTTGTAGAAAAACTTTCTTGCCTGGAACTGGACTTGTTGCGTTTCTGTAGCTGATGCCATGTGCAGTGCCCGCAATGTATCTTCTCTCATTTTTGAGGCCTTGGAAGCTGGATATTTCATGCCGAATCAGCGTGCTGACGCTTTTCGACGGCCCATCTTCAGCGGGCGTATGGTGCGTGACGAAAAAGATTTCATCATTGCAGTGGGCACGCGCCAGCTTCTCATATGTCCGCATGGGAACGGCGTGCTTCTGCAACGTCAAGTATTTTGTCCCTCTGCATCGCACGCGGGGTAACCAGACATCGCACTTCGCTTGGAATCTTGAGGGTGCTAGTACTGTGAAATTGCGGCATCTTCGACTGTGTTCAAAAATTGACCAGACCTGCAAATTGGGCCTGCTGGGGGGATTTCGAGTCAAGTATACGCGAAGAATAAAATTATACCCCCATCGTTAATACTCTTAAGGAAAACTACACTCAATCGAGTGTTAGTCCAGCTTCCAACCGTCGATCAATTTATCCCAGCACGATACGGAGTCCCGAAGCGGCCATTCTGCGATATCGGTCACGCGATTGTCGGGCACGGGAATGCGATCCGAAGCGTTTGGGCGACCTTGCTTGGTTTTATCGGAAAGGGGGGATGGAAGGTAAGGGCAGGAAGAAGCGAAGCAATGCGGAGCGTACTGTACACCTAGACAGAAGGCTCTTGCTGAAGCGAAGGGGCGTGCAAACACCAGTCTTATGAGCTCCGCATTGCGATGTTCGTTGCTTTTGGCTGGCAGCCATGGCGTCGTGGTGTCACCACGACGCTCCCGTTCACCTCTTTCACATCCTGGAAAAAGGTCCCTCACCAATGACGCATCTGATCCAAAACTGGTTGCAGCTTTTGGAGCATTTGTGCAAATGGCGCTTCTCGTTCGATTCACATAGATTTCGTAAGTTTTCACCACCGAGACATTCCGTGAACGCACCTAACAGAAGGCAGCAGAGTGCATCCTAACAGCAATGTGCTGCCGGAAATACTTAGTAGTTGGCTCAAACTCTCTATATACACTCAAAGCTTTTCGGATGGACTTCGCTCGAAATTTCCTTTGTCATGCGCTCACAGCTGTCAGCTTTACCACCTACTACTAGCAAAACCAGCCGCATTAGCAGCAGATTCTCGTACTGTGCCTACTTTTTAGCGGCGCGTGGCATGGAATAGCGTTCTGCCAGCCCACCGCGCGCACCGAACGATTCGCTGAAACCCTGCAAATTAATCATGTCAGCACGGGACCTGAATGTATCAACTTCAATTCTAATTTCGAGTCCGTCACGGTAGTAATCCCGCGATGCCGTATTTCATGTATGCGGGGCCAATCTCGAGCTTCCGTTCTCCTCTTATAAACGTATCTTTCGCGCTAGCTGTTTCCAGATTAGCCCGACGACCGACAGAGCGTTAGTTAGTAATTTGGAGCTCGATCAGGCGTTATGTAGTCCAAAAGCGTTCAGCATCAGTCTATGAGAAAAACGAATCAGTGAATCAACTTGGCGCTGCTCCAATCAAGAGGAATTTTCCACGCTGCTAGGCTTACTTACACTACACCAGACGGTTCCTTCACGCGGCCTCTCTTCCCTTCGTATCTCTCTTCCCTTCGAATCTCTCTCCTCTCACAGACCCTTGGACATCCGGACAATGCGTCCGAAGCCTTCCTTGAATCCTCGTCTATTAATAAGTCCTGTAGGCAGCGCATGGCACGCAACCGCAGCGATTAATAGTTGTTGTAAATTTAGACGGTCCCTAGTAGGTGATCCGGGTAAAATGATTTGGTAAGTCGAGCAGGTAAGGAGACGTGGTGAGGAGACGTGGTGAGGAGACGTGGTGAGGAGACTTGTAGAGGAGACGTGGTGAGGAGACGTGGTGAGGAGACTTGTAGAGGAGACGTGGTGAGGACACTTGTTTGAGGAGACGTGGTGAGGAGACTTGTTGAGGAGACGTGGTGAGGGGAGACCCAGAGTGAATATTCTTAGTTCCAGAGGGGAGTGGATTCCATACAGGTTTAAGCACCAGTGGGAGTGGATTTTATATAGCTGTGGGAGCTCTAAGTGTGAGTGGGAGCGAATCAGCAAAGTACCAGAGGGAGTGGAAATCGTACAGCTTTCTGAAGTCAGAAGAAGACCGACATGAACCAGAAAGCACCGGATCCGAATCAGCCAATCCGATCGCCGTATCATCATCATGGAGTCCCCAGCAGCAGCAACAACGGCTCCAGGCCACCACCGCCGTTTCATACCACCTTGACAGGCAACTCATCTTTCCAAGAAGCTGCTTTCCAGGAAGCTTCTGCCCTCCGGGTAGCTGCCTTCCAGGAAGGTGCCGCTTTCCGGGCAGCTGCGCTCCAAGAAACTGCTTTCCAAGCAGCACAATCCCGAGCAGCGCCTCCCCGGGTACTGCCTCCCCCAGTTATGCCGTCCCTAGCAGTGGCTTCCCGGGTAGCGCCTCCCCCGGCAGAAGCTTCACGGGCAGCACCTCCCCTCGCAGTGGCTACTTCAAGCTTCCGGGCTTCAATGGCGGCGGTGTCGCCACGTGGCAGTGCTTGGAACAGCTCAGCATCGATCCCGCCAGAACAGTTTATCCGCTGGAGTAACCAGGTGCGCCCCTCCCCCTGGTGCGCCCATTACCCCGGGTGCGCCCCTCCCCCTGGTGCGCCCATTACCCCGGGTGCGCCCCTCCCCCGGATGCGCCCCTCCCCCAGGTGCGCCCTCCCCCGGGTGCGCCCCTCCCCTGGGTGCGCCCCTCCCCCACTGGTGTGCCCCCTCCCCCGGGTGCGCCCCTCCCCCAGGTGTTGCGTGACGTGGTCACCCCCGTGTTTGGGTTGGGCCATGCCCATGCACGCACCCCCCGTTTGATGGACCCTCCGTGTTTGCACAGAATACTACTCAATAGCATCTATGCTCCAATCCTTACCCATGCACAATTCATGCACAATCCATGCATCATCCGTGCATCATCCATGCATTATCCGTGCATTATCCGTGCATTATCCATCACCCATCATCCCCTCAGGAGGACAGAGTATTGCTGCAGCAACTTCAGACCCGACACAATCCACTCACCTGTTTCCTCTGCGCACCCACTGTCGCCGACTATCACCCATCACCACCCATCACCACCCATAACTCCCTCAGGAGGACCGCATATTACTGCAGCACGTGATGCGCCACGGCACACGCAACTGGGGGCTGCTGCAGCAACTCCGACTCAAACCGCTCATCATCACCCATTGTCACCCATTCTCACCCATCATCATCCCCTCAGGAGGACCGCATATTGCTGCAGCATGTGATGCGCCATGGCACGTGCAACTGGGGGCTGCTGCTTGTGCGCACCCATTATCACTCCTGGATCCACCATCATCACCCCTTCTCACCCCTTCTCACCCATTCTCACCCATCATCATCCCCTCAGGAGGACCGCATATTGCTGCAGCATGTGATGCGCCATGGCACGCGCAACTGGGGGCTGCTGCTTGTGCGCACCCATTATCACTCTTGGATCCACCATCATCATCCCTTCTCACCCCTTCTCACCCATTCTCACCCATCATCATTCCCTCAGGAGGACCGCATATTGCTGCAGCATGTGATGCGCCATGGCACGCGCAACTGGGGGCTGCTGCTTGTGCGCACCCATTATCACTCCTGGATCCACCATCATCACCCCTTCTCACCCCTTCTCACCCATTCTCACCCATCATCATTCCCTCAGGAGGACCACATATTGCTGCAGCATGTGATGCGCCATGGCACGCGCAACTGGGGGCTGCTGCTTGTGCGCACCCATTATCACTCCTGGATCCACCATCATCATCCCTTCTCACCCCTTCTCACCCATTCTCACCCATCATCATTCCCTCAGGAGGACCGCATATTGCTGCAGCATGTGATGCGCCATGGCACGCGCAACTGGGGGCTGCTGCTTGTGCGCACCCATTATCACTCATGGATCCACCATCATCACCCCTTCTCACCCCTTCTCACCCATTCTCACCCATCATCATCCCCTCAGGAGGACCGCATATTGCTGCAGCATGTGATGCGCCATGGCACGCGCAACTGGGGGCTGCTGCTTGTGCGCACCCATTATCACTCATGGATATACCATCATCACCCCTTCTCACCCATCATCATCCCCTCAGGAGGACCGCATATTGCTGCAGCACGTGATGCGCCACGGCACGCGCAACTGGGGGCCGCTGCTTGTGCGCACCCATTATCACTCCTGGATCCACCATCATCACCCCTTCTCACCCCTTCTCACCCCTTCTCACCCATTCTCACCCATCATCATCCCCTCAGGAGGACCGCATATTACTGCAGCATGTGATGCGCCATGGCACGCGCAACTGGGGGCTGCTGCAGAGGAGCCGCGAGCTGCCTCTCCGCGACAACAAGGCCTGCTGCAACCGATTCATCCTCCTTAAGAAGTGAGGCGCTACTGTGCGTGGAGTGCTGGATTGACACTTTGCTTCGATAAGAAGCCCTTTTGAAGCCGCCACACAGAACGAGGACCAATTTTCCGGCCTGTTCGTGAGGCATGACCCTTGATCAAAGGACCTGATCGGATTTGATCAGGACCGTGCCGACCAAAGTCAGTCGATGGTGCTGATTAGATCTGATTGTTCCGTTCAGATCTCATGTGTCAATGAGATCAAATCAGATCTGATGGTGCTGGCCAGATCTTGTGGTGCTGATCAGATCAAATGGTCCTGATCAGATCTGATTTTCCTTCCCTCTCCACCTCCTTTCCCTCTATCACCCTCTCTTCTCTACTTCTCAATATCCTCTACGTCTCCTCTCCCTCCCAATTTCCATCTCCTTGCACTCTCTCACCCTCCTCTCATCCCTCTGTCCTCCCTCCCTCCCATGTACCATATCACTCACGGTCACGGAGCATGAGGTTTCTGAAGCAACATCGCCTGCGTTCCCTTCCCACCACCACCGCAGATCGTGGGCAGCAAACAAGCAACGCCGAAGTCTGGCGTCCAAACCGAGGCACATCCATAACCCTGAACCCTGGACTCAAGAGTCGACTTCCTTTTGTCGGTCTACCCCCTCTGCTCTTCCCCTCTGGTCCCCGCACCTGGGCAGGCGATTCATGGAGCAGCAACGCCTGCAGACTGGTACTGACACCACCACCAACGCGACCGCCAACACCACCACCACCACCGCTGCAGCTCCTGCCACTGAATGTTCGGACCCACTCAAGGATGAGAGGGCTTCTGAATGGCGGGAACGAGGCTCCTCTGCTGCTGCTGCTGCTGCTGCTGCTGCTTCCTCCTCTGCACCCAAACGAAGCCCTTCCTCTGCGTCCCTTGCTGCAGCTGCCTCTGCTCCTACTGCTGCGGCTGCTGCGACTGCTGATGGAGTTACCATCTCAGATAAAGCGCAGAGTTTACAGAAGGAAGAGGAGAATCAGGAGAAGGAAGAGGTGGAGGAGAAACAGGACCTGCAGGTTCGGTCTGCTACCCCCTCGAACCAGAAACCGGACCTTGTTCCTTCCTCCCACCTCGTTGCTTCGGCACCTTCCAGCCCTGCTGCTGGACCTGCCATACCTGCTGCTTCCGAACCTGCTCTTCCTAGGTCTGCTAATTCCGAGCCTGCTTCTCCAACCCTGCCCCGGGCGTTCTCAGTAGGCGGTGGTGCCACGTCAGCCTTGGTCTCAGGCCAATCGCTGCTGGACAAATCACTTCACAACAAGAAGGCTTTGGAGCAGCAAGCGGAGCCATTGATCGATACCAGCCCGCTGAATCAGTCGATCCTGAGCGCCCAATTGGCCGAGCTGTTCCATTTGGACCTGGCAGCTGCTGCTACAGGCAGAGAGGCTGCAGGTCATGATGCTGCTACAGGTGCTATAGATGCTGCTGCTGCTACAGCTCCTGCTATGGATGCTGCTACAACTGCTGCTGCTGCTACAGCTGGTGCGTGTGAAGGCAGCGGCGTGGGGGAGATGGTGGATAGGAAGAGGAAAGAAGCGCCTACAGACATGGGTCACCCCGACAAAAGTGCTGTCAAGAGATCCGTGAGCGATGGGGACAGGAGAGGAGGAGTGGGAGGAGGTGGGGGTGGTGAGGGAGGGAAAAGCGGGGACGGGGTGACAGGTGTGCTGCAGAGTACTTGGAACGAGCTTAGGGAATGTGAGGATGGGCGAGGAGGAGAAGGAAAGGATAATGGTGCTACCGAGTGTGATAATAAGGGGTCCAGTGTGACTAAAAGGAATGTAGAGGAGAGTGGCAGTGGGGGGGGTGATGGCGGTGGTGGTGGAGGTGTGACTAAAACGAAAGGAGAGGGCAGTGGGGGTGGAGGTGTGACTATAGGTGATATGTTTAAGACGCTGCTGCATGCGAATGCACAGCACGTGGCTGCTGCCATTCTGGATTGGAAGGATCGGGTGTGTGGTTCGGATGACAGGCATGTGCCGAACCTGGCTGCTGCGGTGAAGCTGAGGGATGTGGGGCCGGTAGGTTCGGTGCAACGTGGTTTGGTGCAAAGTGGTGCGGTGCAGCGTGGTTTGGTGCAACGTAGTTCGGTGCAGCTGTTGGATCGTCAGCAGAACAAACATCAACAACAGCAGCAACAGCAGCAGCAGCAGCAGCTGCAGCAGCAGCAACAGCAGCAGCAGCAACAGCAACAGCAGCAACAGCAACAGAAGCAGCAGCGCAAACAGCTACAACAACAGCAGCAGCAACAACATCAACAACAACAGCTGCAGCAACAGATGCAGCAGCAGCAACAATTGGCTCAGTTAACGTGGGTGAGGCAAGAAGAAGCACATGGTCTCCTTCAAACCACCCATCTCAGCGGCACAGGAAAGCAGCAGGGGCAGCAGCAAGGACAGCAGCAGCAGCAGGGGCAGCAGCAGGGGCAGCAGGGCCCCCCTCTAATGCCTGAACCCTCTGTCACTCCTGCTGTCACTGCCCCACCTGCTCCCGCCTCCCCATCCCTCCTCCCTCCAACTTTCCTTCCCCCCTATATCTTCCCCCCTCCTCTCCACTTCCACGGTCCTCGCTCCCCCTCAGCCCTCTCACACTCCCGATCACATGCCACGTCCGCACCTGCCATGCCAGCCCCTGCATTGTCACCACATGCCATGTCATCGCCTGCCACGTCAGCTCCTGCCTCTGCTTCAAAAAGCAGCACTGCCCTGAGCAGCCTTACAACCGCCACCATTCCTGCCTTCCCTCCTTACAATCACATTTTCCCAACTAACCTTACACCCTATATCACCACAGAAGCGAACCAATCCCCAGGCCTGGGAGAGGGCAGGTGGCCGGTGAGTAGGTTCGGTATTGCCGAGCCTGATGTCCGAACCACTCGGAGAGGCTCGGTATGGGACCCAGCAGGCATGGCAGGTGGACTGGTCACACAGCAGAAGTTGGAACGAAATGCACCGGGCTTGGGAGATGCAGCTGGTTCGGGGAATGCAGGAGGTTCGGAACACGCAGGTGCAGGCTTGGCGAATGCAGTAAGGAGCGAGAGGGAGTGTGGCTCTGCTGGATCAAACATGACTCCTCCTAATCGCATGGGTCGGACAGCTGGAGATAATCCCATAGCAGGGAGCCATAATCCCATGCAGCAAATGCTGTGGCGGCAGCACTTGCAGATGCAGCTGGAACGACAGGCACAGGCGCAGGGTCAGGGTCAGGAAGGAGGAGCGACTCATGTGGAATCTGCAGGAAATACAGGGGTGGCAGCAGCAACATCGGCAACAGCAGCCGCAGCAGCAGCATCAGCAGCAGCAGCAGCAGCAGCAGCAGCAGCAGCAGCAGCAGCAGCAGCAGCAGCAGCAGCAGCAGCAGCAGCAGCAGCAGCAGCAGCAGCAGCAGCAGCAGCAGCAGCAGCAGCAGCAGCAGCAGACGCACAGGTTATGCACCAGCAGCAGCAGCAGCAGCAGCAACATCAGCAGCAGCAACAGCAGCAACAGCAACAGCAACAGCAACAGCAACAGCAGCAGCAGCAGCAGCAGCAGCAGCAGCAGCAGCAGCAGCAGCAGCAGCAGCAGCAGCAGCAGCAGCAGCAACAGCACCAGCATCAGCAACAGCAGCAGCAGCAGCAGCACCAGCAGAAGCAGCAGCAGCTGCCATCGTTACGAAGGACCTTTTCTCACTCTCTCTCTCACACATCCTCGCCGTCCTCACACACTCGCTTCTCCCACTCCCACTCCATCCACCAGGGCGCACACACCCCTAACCCCTCCCTCACTCCCTCCCTTAACCCCTCCTTCAACCCCTACCTCAACCCCTCCCTCACTCCCTCCCTCACTCCCTCCCTCACTCCCTCCCTCACTCCCATCACAACACAGCTCTGGCAGAATAGCCGCATCCCTCTCTACCCTCTCTCCCGCCCCTCCTCCTCCTTCCGAGCGCCCCCTCCTCTCCTCCCCTCCCTCCCCCTCGCCTCCACCCATGCCTCATCTGATCTCACTCCACATAATCACACTCTGCATAATCATGCTCCGTATAGTCACACTCTGTTCAGTCATTTTCCTCTCATTGGTTTGCCTAAACCGAGCTCGTCTGTCGTTGGCTCGCCGGCTGTCGGCTCCTGCGGCCCCCCTCCCATCTCCTCGCCCTCCGCTGCCGCTGCCACGTCAGCATCTCAATCCGCCGCTGCCACGTCAGCAGCACCGTCCAGCGCTGCTGCCACGTCAGCACCCATATCCACAGCTGCAGCTGCAAGGGATACGCAAGAAGCTGACGACTTGTGCGTTGAAAGGGAGGGAGGAGAGAGGGGAGCGAGAAGGAACGAGCAGGTGAAGGAGGGAGGTGAGAGCAGCACAGTAGACAAGAGAGAAGGGAAGAGCAGGGGTGTGAGTGTGATGGGGCAGCCGTGGGAGCAAGGAGTGGAGGAGGTAGGGAAGCATGGGCAAGCCAGGGATGGTGAGAGGAGGCAAGCCAGGGATGGTGAGAGGGGGCAAGCCAAGGGTTCAGAGGAGGAGGGGGTAATGGTGGGAGTGGGTGGGAGGGATCACACCTCCCCCGCTCCCCCCTCTGCCTTGCTGGCCGTGTCAGAGGATGACGTCATCAGTCTGCTGGTTGCTGACTGGGCGGCAGAAGACGCTGACCTGGCCATGCGTGCTGAGCTGGCAGCAGCTGACGCGGCACCGCCACTACCACCACCCGATCACGGTGGAGTGAGGGGGATGCAGCCCCATGAGAGTGGCAGGATGGAACCAGAGCCAGGCAACATGGTGGATAGTAGTAAACCCATCACCACCACCACCACCCCTTTGACTGATCCTGCCCCTCCTCCTTCTCTCGGCATCCTACCCCCTACTGACTTGACTGCTCTCCCAGGCACGCAGAACCTCACTGCACCGCACGCCACCGCTCACAATGCTCCGTATGAGTGGTCTGCGTATGTCCGCCCGGCCCCGTCTGCTGCAGGGCTTGTGCGGCTGCCACGTGTACATTCCACTGGACCTGATACTCCCACGTTAGATTGTGATGCTGCCATGTCACACCATGGCATGATGACTGGATATCACCAGCATGCCATGTCACACCATGGGAGGGTTCCTGGAAACTTCTTGGGTGCGGGAGCAGCAGGGAGCTTGGGGGAAACAGGCGAGCTGATGACTAACTTGGTAGAGGGAACGATGCTATGGGGGATGTCAGGTCAGCCTGCTGAAACCATGCCAGGTCAGCTTGCTGACGTATTGCCAGCTCATCCTGCTGGCATATTGCCAGCTCAGCCTGCTAACACAGCGCCAGCTCAGCATGTAGATGAGGCTTATCAGGAGGGGGGCGGGTATGGAATGATGATGCAGCAGCAAGCCGGGGAAGGGGGGGAGGGTGAGAGGGAGGGGGGTAGAGACCAGTGGCCTGACTGGGTACTTAGACACATGTCATCGTGATTATAGGAGATATGATTGTATATGACTGTGATAGCAGAGGTGACTGCGATTGTAGGTGGATAATGTGGAAATTGTGGATGTGTGCTGTGGTGGTTATAGTTGATCGGTATGGTGGTTGAAACGAATGTGGCAGTGTGATAGTAGCAGATGCGACAGCAGTTGGGTCCACAGCGTGCAGAGAAGCACGGTAAAAGAAGCGCAGAAAGGAAACCTTCAACTAACCCTTCTTACTGAACAGATGTTCCCATGTGTTGAACCAGAGAGTACGGTATTCAGTCTTCCAGGAATCTCGTTATTGCCCAGCCCAGCCCAGCCCAGCCCAGCCCAGCCCAGCCCAGCTCAGCCGAGCCCAGCCCAGCCCACACACACACTTGGAACAAACGACTTCTACACACACACCCCGCAACTCCTCTTGCAGTACCGTGTACTCTGCGGCCCTGTCCCAATCATCCCACTCCTTGTTGCGTTTGCATTCCCCAATGCTCGGCCAGTGGGGGCATATTGCTGCTGCTGCTGCTGCTGCTACACACACACCCACTTTCTATGCACACACCCCACAGCTCTTCCTGCAGTACCCTAGGCTTTCCGGCCCTGCTCCCTCAGCTTCTCCCACCATGTACGCCTTGTTCCGCTCGCACTCCCCAATTCTCGCCCAGTGCTGGCAATTCTCGTTGTCGTCTGCACACACGGAGGGGTCGCGGGGGGGCAGGTCGAAGGCCCCAACGTGGATCCACTTGGTGGCGGACCACTTCTCCCCGGCCAGCACGGGGCAGCCCGCGTGGAGGGAGGATCGGTCGAAGGATGTGTCAGGGTGGAGGGAGAAGAAGAGCAGCGCGTCACCCTTTCGTGGCTTGGCTGGAGGCAGGCAGGGGTGGGGGTTGGGGTGGGGGTTGGGGTGGGGGTTGAGGTGGGGGCGTTGAGCGAATTCTGAGTCGCTTTTGAGAATTCTCGAAGAGCAGCGCAGCGCCCTTCCTTGGCTTGGCTGGAGCCAGGGGTGGGGGTTGAGGTGGGGGCATTGAGGGGGGGTTGAGCGAATTGGAGAGGGTGGAGGAGAAGGGGATGTGGGTGGTTGAAATGGAAACATCTAAGGCACGCATCGGCAGAGCCGTATAAAGGCGTGTGGAGGTGTATAGAGGTATATCAAGGGGTGCATAGTACGTACCAGCAATGCCCTTCTTCCCACAGTCACTCCACGAGTCATCCTTCACTACAGTGTCCTCCTGTACAAGCACCCACCACCAGCAGTATGCACACACAATGAAGGTGAGATGGAAAGAACAATGCAGCTGTTAGCTTCAGTCGTATGTCACTCAGTAGAAGCGAGCACATACAAACAGCACCTTTTCACACCCTTTAACCCCGGAAACCACACCTTCCTTCCTTAACCCTGCTGGGATAGCTGCCTGCTTCTCATACCCACCCCTACACATACGTAGTATTACCCCCTTTCCCCCCCTCTCCCCCCCCTCCCCCCCCTTCCCCCCGCCTCTTCTGTCTGCTCCTTCATACCTCTCATGCCCATCCATACTATCTACCCACCCAGTCCCCGCCTGCATGACAGACATACCTCGGACTCAGGGAAGGCCGTCTCGCCGCCCTTCTCCACATTCGTGAGGTACATGAGCACCGTGGCGTAGCGAGGGCCCCCTGGGGTGGGTGCTTTGATGGGGTCGATGTAGTCCCAGTGTGCCCCGTACTCCTGCCCGTCCCTGTACCTCAGCACTTGCATCGCCTCTTGATTCTCTGTGCATGATGCGTGATGTTTGGTACGGGGGTAACCAACAGAGAGAAGGAGGCAGGTGCTTTGATGGGGTCGATGTAGTCCCAGTGTGCCCCGTACTCCTGCCCGTCCCTGTACCTCAGCACTTGCATCGCCTCCTGGTTCGCTGTGCATGAAAAAGGGAAAACCATAGGAAGGGGGGAGAGAGGGAGGGACGGATGGACAGAGGAGGGGAGGGGGAGAGAAGGGCGGGACAAGTTGGTCTTTAGCGAATTTTCGAGAAGTGGCTCATTTACGCGGGGTTGATTAAAAAGTGTGCCAACCGGGGGGAAGGGCTTACCAATGGGGAGGAAGGGCTTACCAATGGGGAGGAAGGGCTTACCAATGGGGAGGAAGGGCTTACCAATGGGGAGGAAGGGCTTACCAATGGGGAGGAAGGTCTTACCAATGGGGAGGAAGGGCTTACCAATGGGGAGGAAGGTCCATGCAGCCACGCGCTCCTCAATGCGCCGAATGACTGCATTCTGGCACAGCAGGGAGATGGCGGGGCGGTGGAAGGAAGATGGGATGGAAGCAGAGTGGAGATGGGATGGAAGCAGAGTGGAGATGGGATGGAAGCAGAGTGGAGATGGGATTTTGAGAATTCTCGAAATAGGGTGCACTTTGGATGGAGATCGGGTGGAGGTGGGGTGGGGAGTGTGTGAAGCAAGAGTCATGGGGCCAGCAATCATACCAAATAGGATTTACGGAGTGAGTATCGCACGCACGGAACTTGAGCACACTATTTGAGCAAACTAGCCAATCTCACCAGCAACGAATGAAGTAAAACAACAGACACTCAGACAAAAGGATAAGGAGCTGCTGCAGCCTTGTGCTCTATATATATTGCCCCATTACACAACTAGAGCTGCTGCAGTCGCACCTCGTACTTGACAATGAAGGAGCCATCGCTGGTGCAGATGCTATCCCGCACGCTCTTCCCGCTCTCGCTTAGCACTGTAGACCGCTCCATCCGCGGACGTGACTATAAAGGGGGGTGATGGATGATGGGGCGATGTGGAGGGGTGTGAGAGGAGAGGGGTGGGGGTTGGGGGGGAAGGGAGGGAGGGGGAGGAGAGGACATGACAGAAAATTTGGAAGAAAACAAAGAATGAAAGGAATGGATGGGAAGGACTGCAAGGATGGGAGGGCTGTGAATGGTTGAAAGATGAGACGGATGGATCATTACAGGTGGTTCTGGGACTATTGAGACTCACATAGTTGACAATGTAGTCACACTCCGCCTCGGATAAGAATTGCGGGAACAGGAGCGCCCTGGAAGAATGGAAAGAGGTTACACCGTTACAGCATGACACGCCAGCATCATCTTGACCAACGTTCGTACTCATCATGTAACCACACGATTATTGCAAAGGACAACTCTCGTTACAGATTATGCGAAGAAGAAGAAGAGCACGAAAAGGCTGCGTCTTGCGAGGCAGTACCTAGGCTTCCAGGAAAGCCGTTGAACCTTGCTGACGTCAGGAATGTGAACAGGGGGTTCTTCTAACGGGGGTAAGTCCGTATCGGCATCACTGTAACACACGTATGATACAACGCTTTCTCAGAATAGAGACACGGACAGGTCATAATGGACAGAATATACGTCGTATAGCGCTACGATTGCGATAAGTTGCGATAAGAGTGCGAAACTGCGGTCTGGAACGTACGTCATGTCGGATTGATTGTCAGCTGCATCGATAGAGAGTCCGGAAACGGTATTCGCAAGAAGAACGCTCATCATAATCACAAGGGCTTGTCGGGAACAAGCGACGGAGGCCATGGCAAACCGTCGCCGCTGGCCCTGAACCAAGACTAAGAATCTCTCTGTCACTGCAGTTGACTAAGCAGCTTTGCCGCTTTTCTACCAGCCGACGAAGCTAACACGCTTCCTTGTTTGGAAAAAAACGCGTCTGGTCTTGCTGACCGACATAGCATGACAGGAGAACGCGGGGATGGTTTTGGTCAGGACAGATAGCAATAGTAGCTCACAATAAGGTTATATTATTCAACAATTCATGGACCAGACCAAGAACCGAAGGACTAGCAAATCCCAAGGAATTCCAGGGAAGGTGTGGTGTGAGTGGTGTGATAAGTGAAGCAAAACCCACAGGTAACAAAGAAGCATTAGGTTGGGAGGAAGAATATGGTTGGACAACGCGTTTCGCAAAAACTTTGTGCGAAAGCTTCCCACCAATGGATCTTGCGAATTGATTTCGCCACAGTGACAGTTCGTCGCAAACCACGATGAGAACCTTTGGGATTCTGTTTCACCCCTTCCTCGATTTGCATGATAATCCCCAGGCTGCTCATTAGATCCTCCTGGTATTTTATTCCATGAGTTTCAGGGACTTCGGGATTGCCATATTCCGCGTCATTGCATCCCATCCCACATCTCTCTGCCTTCTGCTCTTCATCCCAGAGCAGCAAGAGCAGATTCCTTTCTCTTGCCGTATCACTCACTCCGTCTCTGACTGTCGATCACCACGTGCCTCACACTCTTATGAATCTGCCGCGATTCGGAAACTAAAAAATGGATTCATGCCGTCGTGTGAGTCTAATGTCCATCCGTGGATCGTCCAGGCCGGCTCTGCTCCTGCTAGCGTCGCTCGCGCTCGCGCTTCTGATGCTGCTGGCGGAACCCACTTCGGGATTTGAACCCGACGCTCTTCCGGGCTGGCTTGGCGACACGTAAGCTGCGCAGACGACCCTCCGAGTCGACTCAAAAGTCAGACGGTGCCTTACCCTCCGAGTCGTTCGCATCCTTGCATAGTTACCATCTTCGCGTTTCGTCTTCTGCTGACTAGTCATCCGCGCGTCATCATTCATTTCCCCCAGCTATCGCTCCACTGCTATTCCCAAGCCACCAGCAGCTGAACCGGGTTGAGCGAGCCTCACATCAATCACCCAACCCCCTCCTCCTTTCCACCTTCCACCTCTTCCCGCTTTTCCCCGCACTCCCTTCAGCTATCGCTCCACCCCTGATCCCAAGCTAGCAGCAGCAGCCTCGCATCAATCATTCAACCCTCTCCTCCCCATCCCGCAACTTTTCCCCCTCCCCCCTCCTCCTCCCCCACTCTCTCCCTCCTCCCCTCAGCTATCACTCCATTCCGGATCCCAAGCCAGCAGCAGCTGAACCTGAACCCGGGCCGAGCGACCCTCGCATCGTCCACCCATCCTTAATACCGCTCTTTCGCACTCCCCCTCCCCCCTCCCAACTCCCCTTCCCTCCTCCCTCTCCCCTCCCCTCAGCTATCGCTCCACCGCTAATCCCAAGCCAGCAGCAGCAGCTGAATCTGAACCCAGGCTGAGCGAGCCTCGCTTCAACCACCCATCCCGCTCCTCCCTCCCCCTCCCTCCCCTCAGTTATCGCTCCACCCCTGATCCCAAGCCAGCAGCAGCAGCAGCAGCTGAACCCGAACCCGGGCTGAGCGAGCCTCGCATCGTGCGGCTATCGTGGAAACCAAGGTGAGGTGGAGTACATGCTGACGTGGACACCAACACGTCACGCGTTTTCCCTCCCTCCACTCATCCCCACACCCACTCACCCATCACACCCACTCCCTCGCCACACCCATCCCTCGCCGCGCCACCATCCCCATCTCCTGAATCAAAGGTCCTCAAATTGTCTCTTTATGTAACCCTCGTTTCTCTGCTCTCCCTCTCTCTCCCCTTCTCCTTTCCCGTCCGCTCCTCCTCTCTCCTCCCTTAGAGCGTGGATCTACAAGCAGTTCCTGACACACGATGAGTGCGATCACATTATTGAGCTGGTACGTCTGTCGCCCACACCACATGTTGTTGACGTGGTATGTATGCATGCATGCACACATGGCAAGTGTAGCCTCAACTCAAGTCCCAAGGTCTCGAATGGTCCGTGTATTAGTTGAAGGGTGGTACAAAGGTTTGAAGCAGACACATGCATACTAGACAAACAAGCAAACCCAAGGTCTCCGTCTCTCTCGACTCCCTAGTGCGTGGATCTACAAGCAGTTCCTGACGCATGAGGAGTGCGATCACATTATTGAGCCGGTATGTATGTGCGCACACACGTTGTACACGTGGTACGCATAACGCATGTACGTACAAACCCTGACTTAGCTCAAAGGTCACTTTATATGGACTGCAAACACATTTTTGAGCTGGTATGCATACATGCACAACATGGGCTAATCTCCACTGCCCCCCCCCCCCTCCCTTTACATTACCCCCAGGCGCGGCCCAACCTGACGCGGTCAGAGGTGGTGGCGGACAATGGCACCGCCAAGGCAGACAATGGCACTGCAGACACCGCTTCCATAAGCTACCCAATGGCCGCATTCCCCCACCCCTCTCCATTGCGTCCAACCTCCACCCCCCCTCCACCCCTCTCCCGAATCTACCCCAGGCGCGGCCCAACATGACGCGGTCAGAAGTCGTGGCAGACAATGGCACCGAGGAGATAGACTCCACTTCCCTGCGCTACCGCATAGCCGCACTCCCCCACCCACCTCCACTGCGTGTTTTGAGACGTCTCAAAACACACTTCCCTGCGCTACCGCATGGCTGCACTCCCCCGCCCACCTCCACTGCGTCCAACCCTCCCTTCGCTCCCCTTTCCCCCCTCCCAACTCTACACCAGGCGCGGCCCAACATGACGCGGTCAGAAGTCGTGGCAGACAATGGCACCGAGGAGATAGACTCCATTCGCACCAGCTACGGAACTTTCCTGGAAACTGCCCAGGTCAGTTCCCTCCTTAACCTTCCTCCCTTCCCTCTCTTCCTCCTTCTCTTCCGTTCTCTCCCCCTCCTCTCCCACTCCCGCTTTCTCTTTCCTCGTCTTTCGTCTGCTAGGCACGCCCCAAGATGGAGCGGTCGACAGTACTGGCTGATAACGGCTCCAGTGTTGTCGACGACTACAGGTCCAGCTCTGGTTGCTTTCTCGATATTGCTCAGGTTCGTTGCACATGTTGCCTATCATCAGAGTTAAGTGAAGAGTTTCCTCCCTAGGTGCGGCCAGAGATTTATGCAGCGGTCAACAGTGCTGACCGACAATGGCTCCAGCATTGTGGGCGACTACATGACCAGCTCTGGCACCTCTCTGGATACTGCCAGCTTTGTTACCCGTGTTACCTTTTGAGTTGAGGCAAGCGTTTTCTTAGGTGGGTAGGACCACAGTAGATGCAGCGGTCAACCGTGCTGGCCGACAATGGCTCCAGCGTTGTGGGCGACTACAGGTCCAGCTCCGGCACCTTTCTCGATACCGCCCAGGCTTGTTACCTGTGTTACCTTTTGAGTTGAGGCAAGTGTTTTCTTAGGTGACTACAGGTCGTGGGTGACTACAGGTCGTGGGTGACTACAGGTCGTGGGTGACTACAGGTCGTGGGTGACTACAGGTCGTGGGTGACTACAGGTCGTGGGTGACTACAGGTCGTGGGTGACTACAGGTCCAGCTCCGGCACCTTTCTCGATACCGCCCAGGTTTGTTGCTCAGGTTGCTACAAGCATCACCTTCTGAGCAACGTTGGAGTCGGTCAGAAGTTTTCTCTGGTGCGAGGGCAATATATTCCAGTTCCCACAGCTGATGCTCTTAAAGTCTTTCTCATTTCGTGCTATGCTATGCTCCATGCCCCTCTGCACGTCCCTTTGAATGTCCCTTCCCCCAGGATGATGTCATCAAGCGAATTGAAGACCGCATTGCTACCTGGACCTTCCTCCCCCCTGGTACGCTCGCCCTCTCCCCTCCCCCCTGGTACCACCCCCACCCTGATACGCCCCTTTTAGCCCTCGTTCAAAGAGGTTGTTTTGTTGCACGCCTGTGCCGCTATTAGCACGCCCCCCTCTTTTACCCCAGAGAATCAGGAATCGATGCAGGTGCTGTGGTATGCAGTGGGGCAGAATTACGACGTGTGTGTTTCAAACATGCCCACTACCGCCCACCCCACACACACACTTCTCTCACCTACCCTCCCCCCCCCCTGTCTGCTGCAGAGAACCAGGAGTCAATGCAGGTGCTGCGGTATGCAGTGGGGCAGAAGTACGACGCCCACCACGATTTCTTTGACGAGGACGAGAAGAAGCAGCAGGGCGGCCACCGCTACGCCACTGTGCTCATGTACCTCACTGATGGGTTCAGCGGCGGGGAGACCGTGTTTCCAGACTCGGAGGTGGGTATTTGTGTGTGTGCGTGGTCGGGGGGAGGGGGGGGTGAGTGTGTGCGTGTGTGGGGGGTTGGGGGATGGTAACTGAAGTGGAGGACGAAATGAAGCAGCAGGGGGGTGTTAGTGTTTTACCAGTCTCAGAGGCAAAAGTAACGTGAGAGAGAGTGTGTGCGTGTACATGCCATGCTTTGTCAGCTCGTATAATGCCACGCCGTGTATCTCATGGGCACATCATGTTTTGAGGCGCCTCAAAACTAGCCGTGTATCTCATGGGCACAGCATGCCGTATCTTGCCACATAAGTCACGTTGTGCCACTGTATGCCACGTCATGTCCCGTTATGCCTCGTCACGCCCTAACCATGCAGAAGGACAAGCAAGAGAAGGACGACACGTGGTCTGATTGCGGCAAACAGGGTGTGGCAGGTAAGACGGTGGGTAGGAGGTGGGAATGGGGGAGGTGGGGATGGGGAAGGTGGGAATGGGGGAATTGGGAGATGGTTTTTTTCCAAGTGAGCCTTTGTCAACACGTGTGGACTGGTGCACAACTAAGTGGATGTTCTTGCCCTTACCCACAAGCCCCATCCCTTGTAGCCCCATCTCTTCCCCACAAGCAGCCCTGCTTGTCTAAACTGACGCACTTCTCTTCACCCTCAACCCTGCCTGACCCGGCTTTTCAATGCAATTCCTTCCCCATAAGTCTCCGACGAATGCCACGAACTCCAAGGCCTTTCCCTTCCTATCTCGCCCCAATCCCTCTCCCAGCCAAGCCAGTGAAGGACGATGCGCTGCTCTTCTTCACCCTCAAGCCCTCCGCCTTCCCAACCCCCACACCCCCTCCCGCCTTCTGTCCCCCCATTTCACCCACTCCCCTCAATCCCTCTCCCAGCCAAGCCAGTGAAGGGCGACGCGCTGCTCTTCTTCTCCCTCAAGCCCTCCGCCTCCCAACCCCCACGTCCCCTCCTCCCTTTTCCCTCCCTCCCATTTCGTCTCCCATTTCCCCCACTCCCTCAACCCCCCTGCCACCCAAGCCAGTGAAGGGCGACGCGCTGCTCTTCTTCTCCCTCAAGCCCTCCGCCTCCCAACCCCACCCACCTTCCTCTCGTCTCCCTTCCCTCCTCCCTTTCTCGCTTTCCTTCCCCCCTCCAGCCAAGCCAGTGAAGGGCGATGCGCTGCTCTTCTTCTCCCTCAAGCCCTCCGCCGAGCCCGACCTCGCCTCCCTCCACGCGGGCTGCCCGGTGCTGGCCGGGGAGAAGTGGTCCGCCACCAAGTGGATCCACGTGCGCTCCTTTGAAAGCAGTTACAAGGGAATATTCAAGCCTTCTCCCCTCCGCTCCCTCCACCTTTCCTCCCTGCCCTCGTCCCACTTCCTTCCCCCACCAGCCAAGCCAGTGAAGGGCGACGCACTGCTCTTCTTTTCCCTGAAACCTTCTGCTGAGCCCGACCTCGCCTCCCTCCACGCGGGCTGCCCGGTGCTGGCCGGGGAGAAGTGGTCCGCCACCAAGTGGATCCACGTGCGCTCCTTTGAAGAAGAGGAGGACGACGGGGATGAGGGGAACGAGGGCGGGGATCCATCTAAAAAGTCGCACCCGCCCGGTGCGTGTGTGGACGAGAGTGAGCATTGCCCTTTGTGGGCCAAAGCCGGGGAGTGTGAGAAGAACCCGGGGTATATGCACAGCAGCTGTGCTAGGAGCTGCGGCAAGTGCAGTGTACTTGCTGCTGCTGCGTGACATAGACGGTGGAGCTTTTTGAATACGTATTTGTTATTAGGGCTGTATTTGTGTCAAAATGAGGAATGAATGATGCATTGATGTTGGTTGGGGTACATATAGCTAACCCTAAGTTTTGTACCCCCTAAGACAAACCTCACTATAGGCTACAATATTTGACACACCCCCATAGCCTAAGTGAGGGGTGTCTAGCAGAACCAAACGAGTACGGTCACAAGACCAGTCCAAGAAACGAAGCTCAGGGTGGATCACAACGTCACCACACAGTCTGAGCACAAACAACAGTGGCCACAAGGCCAGTCCAAGAAGTAACAGAGGTATATAGAAAGCAAAGTAAACAGTACACTCAAGTCTAAGCAACACGAGAACCAGTGTCAACAAGGCCTAACTGCACACAGCACCTCTGGTGGTCACAAGGCGGAAGCGCCTTGGTGAAGATGTCTGCAGTGTTGGCCTCGGACTCCACAAACTCAAAGCGAGCCTGTCCACGCCTCTGCAACTCTCGCAGAAGAAAGTACCTGACGTGAATGTGCTTCACTCTGCTCTCCAGTCGTGGCTCTCGACAAAGGAGAATAGACGCCTTGTTGTCAGTGAACAAGGTCGGTGCAGAGCTCGGCCGCTCACCAAGGTCGGTGAGCAAGAAGGTCAACCAACGCAGCTCCTGTGCCGCCATGGCACCAGCGTAGATCTCAGCCTCAGCTGTAGAGGTCGAGACCGAAGAGGAGCGCGTGGACCGCCAGGAAACAGCTCCAGAACCCAGGCTGAAACAGTACCCCTGAGTAGACCTGTGAGTCTCAGCGTCGTCAGCGTAAGAGGAGTCACAGTGACCAGTAAGTACGACAGACTGCTGCCCTCCAAGAACTAGCCCCACGCCTGACGTCGTCGCTAGGTACTTCGCCACCCTCACAGCTGCTGTCCAGTGAACAGGACGGTGTCTCCCTGGCGCAACAAAGCGCGCCAGGACACTGAGAGGGAAGGCGAGGTCCGGGCGAGTACAAGTCATCAGGTACATGAGGCAACCCACAAGCTCAGCGTAGGGACCACTAGGCTCGAACGGCTCGTCAGGAAAGGGTCCAGTGAGTCTGTGGTCAACAGCAAGAGGTGTGCGCTGTACTGTGGAGTGCTGAAGCCCGAACCGCTGAAGGACCTGCTGCACCATGTGCGACTGTGAAAGTGTAATGGTGCGAGCAGCTCTGTCCCTGGTGATCTGCAGGCCAAGGTAGTGGCGCAGCTCACCAAGATCAGTGCAGGTGTGTCTCTTCTGCAGTTCGGACTTCACGTGTGCCAAAGCAACCCTGTCAGGGGTGGCGAAAACAAGGTCGTCAACGTAGACCAGAACAAAGAAAGGTGTGGGGCCACGACGAACGAACAGCGACGGGTCAGCAGAAGACGGCTGGAACCCAAGGTCAGACAGGGTAGAACGCAGGGTGTCGTGCCACTCACGAGGAGCCTGACGAAGTCCGTAAACCGGTCGCCTCAGCCTCCACTGGGTCCCAGGAGGGAAAGAGCCAGTGAAGGCAGAGGGACGACGCAACCAGACCTCCTCGTGAAGACTGCCCTGAAGGAAAGCAGTAGAGAAGTCGAGAGAGTGTAACTCGTAGTCTCTCTGTGCTGCTACGTGTAGTAACACCCGAAGAGTGGTCATCTTCGGGGTGGGCGCGAAGGTCTGAAAGAAGTCAACTCCCTCGCGCTGACTGAAACCTCTAGCCACGTAGCGCGCCTTGAAGACCGGAGGAGATCCCGGTGGCCGCTTCACCCTGTAGATCCACATGCCGTCGACTACGTTCGCCCCCGGAGGGGGAACCTCATCGACGTAGGTGCCTGTGGATCTGTAGGAGGCCATCTCTGCGTCCATGGCAGCTCTCCACTGAGAGGCCCAAGGCCCTGACACTGCCTCAGCGTAAGTGCGAGGAGTCGGAATGTCAAGGGCGTCGGGGTCACCCTCAGGGGCGAGGAGCATGGCACAGAGATGAGGGGAAGCGGCCGCCAGGAACTCTAGCTCAAACTGCCTGTCCTCTAGGGCGTCACAGCCAAGGGCAGACACACCCCCGACGGCCAGAGGACTGGAAGGAGGAGCAGCCACAAGAGCGGTGGCGAAGTCAAGGCGGCGGGTAGAGGCAAACTCAGTGACTGCGGCAGTAAGAGCGGACACAGAGGACACAGAGGCACGAGGGTGGGTAACAAGAGAGGCGAGAACACGAGAGAGAACAGGACGGTACGTGCGGTAGTAGTCAGTGACAGGAGAAGGAAGCGACACAGTGAGGGCTGACTCAAGAGGAGACGGAAGCACAGACGGAGACGGACGAGGTGGACGAGAACAAAGTAAGGCAGTACGAAGGTCAGTGAAGGGAACAGGAGACGAGGGACGAGCACGAGGGGAGCGACGAGAGGCCCAAGTCTGAGAAGGAGGAGGAGACAACGAAGACTGAGAACGAGGGAAAACAGCGGGAGAGGGGTCAGGAGGAGGAAGCGGAGGACCAGAGACGGGAGGAGAGGGGGAGGAGGAAGGAGAGGGAGAGGGGAGACCAAGGGTCCGAAGACCCGAGACAGGAGGAGGAGACGGCTGCTGCTGCTCCAGCGGCTGCTGCCCCTGCTGCTGCTCCTGCTGCTGTCGCTCCTGCTCCTCGAGCCGCTGCAACTCTCTCTCCTCTCTCTCCAACTCCAGCTGCTCCTCACGAGCACGGCGAACACGAGCCTGGAACCTGGTCGGGTAGGGGTGGGGGGAAGGAGTAGTGTCCGGGGCAGCGGCAGCCCCAGAGTCGACCTCCGAAGCACCAAGTACACCACCCCCAGAGGCAGCACCAACACCAGCTCCAGACCCAGGCTCTCTAGAAACCGAAGGGACACCCTCACCCCCAGACTCCGCACGACCAGTACCAGCCCCCGGAAGACAAGAGTCCTCTGCAACCCGCGGCTCAGCTCCAACTCCAGCACCCCCAGAACCAGAGACCTGTACAGGGACAGTCGCAGGACCAACCTCCCGAGAGGGAGCACCTGCAGGAGGCGGCGAGGAAGACTGTGGGGAGGGAGGCTGTCCCTGTACGGGTCGACGGGCAGCGGGGGGAAGCGCGGGTCGACGGGCAGCGGGGGGGAGCGCGGTTCGACGGGCAGGGGGGGGGGGGGGGGGGGGGGGGGGGGGGGGGGGGAAGCGCGGTTCGACGGCAGCGGGGGGGAAGCGCGCCTCGACGGGCATCAGGGGGGGAAAGCGCAGCGCGACCGGCAGCGGTACGCTAGATCGGGCTACGCTAGATCGGGAGGAAGAACGAGCGGTAACGAACGAACGGGACTAGATCGGGCCGGCACTAGGCTCGGGCAAGACGGGCGAAACGAGAGCTAGGATCAGGCTCGGGTGGTACGATCGGAGAACGGAGAAACGGGATCCCACAGGATCCTAACCTAACTGATACCATGTCAAAATGAGGAATGAATGATGCATTGATGTTGGTTGGGGTACATATAGCTAACCCTAAGTTTTGTACCCCCTAAGACAAACCTCACTATAGGCTACAACATTTGACAATTTGGTATTTCGTGAACGACCTGGCCATATAGTACATTACCCATTTGTGCCTTATTCTACAAAGCAACGCTTAAGTGTAATAAACAAAAACCCCCAGACAGTTAAAGCAAGCCCAGTCAGCCCACCCACCCTACTACATTCCTAAGAAAAGAGGAGAAATTACCCATTGAACCGAACGATTTAATTAGAAGCACCACATCAGCAGAGCTGCGAACAAGCCAAATAAGGTAATTGGACAAGCCGAGAGTAAACAGCCTGAAAGATTACCGTAAAAGAGAGTGCCGAAGGAGTCTCTACAGACAGCAGCACCGGGGAATCGAAGCTGGCTGGTGCCAGCACCTGCAATCTAGCGGCTGGACCACATCAGCTGCGGGCGTATCGGTGGTAATAGACGAAAGCGGTGGTAACGACAGGCGAACTGCTTCCCGCCGTCGCACCTTCAACCAATGCTACCAGCGACCAGTAACAGCTACCGTCTTGCTGACTCGCTGTCGCCGCATTCGCTGCTGATAACCTTTTGAGAATTCTCAAAGGTAAACCCCGATAGCGAGAAGTATCCAGGAGGAAAATGGGATTCACCTGACGCCGTTCCTCCCGCTGCTGCAATACATTGACCTTCACAAACCCCGTTTCATGCCTAAAAAGCGGCCGACTAGCACGTCCCGGATCAAAAGACACACAACCGCGTTACAGACGCAATGCCAAGAAAAATATGAGAGCACCATCGACCGTTTTATTTCTTCTTGATGCTCCCGCGGACGCCGGGACGCTCCTTGTTTTCGAGATCCAAGCCTTCGTGCTGATCGGTGATCTTGCTCTCGTCGAACGGTAGCTTCGGATGCCGAGCCTCGTGGTGGATCTGCATGCTCTTCACGTCCGGCGCCGTCGCTTTGCAGACCGGACACACGTACTTCGCATGACCGCCTTTGTCCAATCCCAGGCGGTCCGCTTGCCCGGCTTTTCCGCCTCCGCGATTGGTCGTCGCCGCGTCGGCCTTCGCGGCGAGCTCCTTCGCCGTGTGCTTCTTCGGCTTCGCCTTTCCCGTCATGCTGTCGCTCGGAGATTCGATCAAAACGGTGTGACTAAATCGAGGGCGAGGAAGAATGAAGTTGTCGGTTTGTGTAGCGGCCACCGCGGGAAAAAAATGCGAGATCTGTGAGAAGCTGAAAAACGTGTCGGGTCAGTCGAGAAGCCCAATTGGTTCTAAAAGGTAGTGACTGTACAGTCTAGCCCAGCTAGGTTTTGAGCGCGAGAAATCGAACCAAGGAGAGAAACGCAGACTAAACCACGGGGAAAGAATCTAGGTTTTGCATAGAAGAAACAAACAAGGTGGCCTGTTTTATCCCTAGAGATGATCGGATGGTGTGTTGTGTATGAAAGAAAGGTGGCGGGCTCTGGGTTTCTCGTCCGTCAAGATTTCTGTTCTGTCCGTCAGCGAAAAGGCTCGTCTTTTCAGGAGGGTTGGGGCGGGGTGGTTGTGGAGGAGGTCTGCTACAACGAAGGTCTGAGAATAAGTTACCCGATTTCGCTGTTTAGCTACAGTCGAATCTGCTTCCATACAGTCTCCATCTATACATTCTGATAAAACGGGAAAGGTGAGCGTAGGTACTAAACGGTAATGTACGGTTCATCTCCTCCCTCCACTTCCCTCCATGGCAAAACACTCGTACCTCCTCACACCAAGTGGCCCCCGCATTTTGCGGCACTGTTGCTGTGCTTTTCTATAGCCACTGCCGCGGCTGTTCGAAACTAGTACTCAGATGAGTGTCGACTAATTAGTGGTTAGAGAGAGCGAGATAGAATAGCGGGAGTGCATCCCAAGGGATACAGCTAAGTCTCTTCGCATAGAATAGAATTTAGTATCGCTCTCCTGGGAAACCCAGTAGACTTGGTAAATAGTCCATAGAATTTTATTTTCCTGTATCTCTTGTTTTAACTCTGTACATTTCGATTGAGTTTCCACTGCTCGGGCCTCTATTCGAGACACGATTTAACTTGGCGTCCTGGTTTGCCATCTCAGCCTGTATTTTATTTCCGTCCGTCCTCTCTCACAACCGCGTCTAACCGCTGTAAAAATATTTGCAAGAGTTGCCCGTTTTCGAATCCAGACTTTGCTTGTCTGACAAAGTTCCCTTCCTCTCTTAGAAGCCCGTATCCGCTCGCCTTAGCTTCTACGGTACATTCGAGCCAATTCGACACAAGTTTCACGCTCATTCGCTTCGTATTCGTCCTCGCCGCCTCGTCCGACTCGCTACTGCTAGTTTCAGTCCGCCTCACCTCTTGGAGACGTCACTAAGCTTTCGAGGTCATCTCAAAAGCCGTCCCCGCCGCCACGTCCGACCCGCTTCTGCTAGATTCGGTCCCCGTCGCTCCTTGCTGCCTCACTTTCTCCTCCGCACCGCGATGGACGCTTGCGCGGACAGCGGTCCGGCGAAGCGCGCGGAGATATACACGTACGAGGCGCCATGGCCGGTCTACAGCATGAACTGGAGCGTGCGGCCCGACAAAAATTTCCGCCTCGCCGTCGGAAGCTTCATAGAAGATTACCGGAATAAGGTAAGGCGGACGGCTAAGGAGTTTGGACGGGTGAGAGTGTTGCACAAAATATCGGAATGAGGTATATTATTCTTATCTTTGTTCCACTACGAAATTTCGCACGGACCTTCCAAAAAAAAAAAAAAAAAAAAAAAAGGTCCTTCCGTCTCTCCCCTCCCCCTCCTTCTCTCCCTCTCCTCCTCACCCCCTCTCCCCCGACCTCCTTCCCCTCTCCCCCCACCTCCTTCCCCTCTCCTTTCCATCTTCCTCCCGCTCCCCCTTCCTCCTTCCCCCTCCCCTTCCCCCTTCCTCCTACCCCCTCTTGTAGGTGGAGATAGTCCAGCTAGACGACAACACAGGCGAGCTGAGGAGCGACCCGCGCCTGACGTTTGACCACCCATACCCGCCCACCAAGCTCATGTTCGTGCCGGGACGCGACGTTGCCCGTCCGGACCTGCTCGCCACGTCCGGCGACTTCCTGCGGATTTGGCAGGTGCGGGAGGGAGGGGAGGGGGGAAAAGAGCCGGGGGGGGGGGGGGGGAGGTGGGGGGAGCCCGGGAAGGGGAGGAAAGAGGATGCATGTGCAGTATGCTCAACAATAATCCTGATTGAGGCTATGCAGTGTACATGCGCGGTGCGCTGAACAACAAGGCCTGACTGATCCCCTGTGCACGGCTCTCATCTTCTGTTTGTGTTCCTCTCATTGCTGCAGATCACCGATGATGGCGTGCGCATGCGCAGTGTGCTCAACAACAATAAGAACAGCGAGTTCTGTGCGCCTCTCACCTCCTTCGATTGGAACGAGTCCGAACCAAGGAGGCTTGGGACGTCCAGGTACAGAAAAGAAATCAAGTTCGTTTTTTATCTGGATTGCGTTTCCAACCCATTGCGTTTGGCCTCAGACTCTAACTACCTTCTCCACACCCTCTACTTCCTTCTGCCCCTCACGCGGCATGTCCTGCTCCCGTCCCGCAGCCCGCTCCCATCCCCCACCAGCATCGACACGACGTGCACCATATGGGACGTAAAGAAGGAGTTGGTGGATACGCAGCTCATAGCTCATTCCATTTTTACTCCTCCCACCTCGCACCCCCTACCCACCCTCACTCTCTTATCCCCACCAGCATCGACACGACGTGCACCATATGGGACATAAAGAAGGAGTTGGTGGATACGCAGCTCATAGCTCATTCCATTTTTACTCCTCCCACCTCGCACCCCCTACCCACCCTCACTCTCTTATCCCCACCAGCATCGACACGACGTGCACCATATGGGACATGGAGAAGGAGGTGGTGGATACGCAGCTCATCGCTCACGACAAGGAGGTCTACGATATTGCCTGGGGGGGAGTTGGCCTCTTCGCCTCCGTCTCAGGTGAAAATGTAGATACCTTAGGTGTGCTGTAGCAATGACCCCTGGCCCCATACCCATTCTTACTTGCCTCTGTGTTTCTCTCTTCCCCTCTTGCAACCTCCTGTCACCACCAGCTGATGGGTCAGTGAGGGTGTTTGACCTGCGGGACAAGGAGCACAGCACCATCATCTACGAGAGCCCTCAGCCCCATGCTCATATCATTGGCACCTGTCTCTGTGTCCCACTCTTCCCTTCCTCTCTCTCACCTGCTATCCCAACCAGCTGATGGGTCAGTGAGGGTGTTTGACCTGCGGGACAAGGAGCACAGCACCATCATCTACGAGAGCCCCCAGCCGGAGACCCCTCTGCTGCGCCTGGGGTGGAACAAGCAGGACCCCCGCTACATGGCAACCATTCTCATGGACTCACCCAAAGTGGTCATCCTCGATATAAGATTCCCCACCTTGCCAGTGGCGGAGCTACAGGTAAGATGCCTCACTACCATCACCTGATCCTGCTCTGTCACTCTAATTTTCTGGCTGGCTATGGTTAGCAATTACGCCTCTACTATCACAACCTATGGTCAGACCCTATCCCCACCATAGGTCTACAATCTTTCCCCACATGCTGATCTTTTCCAGTTGCGCTAGCCCCACCGATTTGTTTTCATTATCTCCCCCTTTCCCTCCCTTCACTCCCGTTCCTTATGCCTCTTCCTCGGCTTTCGCATCAACAGCGCCACCAGGCATGTGTGAATGCAATAGCATGGGCACCACACAGTTCATGCCACATCTGCACAGCAGGAGATGACTCACAAGCTCTAATCTGGGACCTTTCCACCATGGCCCAGCCTGTGGAAGGAGGGCTGGACCCCATCCTGGCTTACACTGCTGGAGCAGAAATCAACCAGCTACAGTGGTCATCTTTGCAACATGATTGGGTTGCCATAGCTTACGCTACAAAATTGCAGATTTTGAGAGTGTAATGCTCTTCAGTTTGGCCGGTACCTGTACTGAAATTGTACATGTAAAATAAATTTTCAGTTCTGAAGTGCAGTTTCGAGTGATGTCAACGCATTGGCAGCCAGCTGAACATCTAACAAGGAGAGGTAAGACGTTCTGAAAACACTTTACCATACAGACACTTGCATTACAACTAGCCTAAGCTTCATCAATAGAACTACAACAGCTGGGTCAGTAAGAGCCAGAATATACAGAAGTCCCTGTGTGTGCTCCACATGAGCAGCTTTATGGTCTTAACTACTGGCCCTGCACACAGAAGATAGAGTAAGTTAGTTTCATGGGCACAATGAAATCCAGAAAGCATGCGCAAATTGAAGAGAGGCTTACGGGTATGGTAGTGGCAGCAGATAAAATAATCGCTGCTGCCAGGTCTCACGCATTGGGGTCTTCGCGTTAACAGCAAACTGCTCGCTCAACAAGCTGAGCGGCAGGCTCCTCTAGGGTCTGAGTTCTTTTCTCCTTGGCCAGGCTCGCAAAAAAATCGGACATCACGTGTTCGTAACCAGGCATCTTTGCAAAGCCCGGAAAATAGTTGATGTCGACGATGTAAAACCGTCTGCTGCAGTTCCTGTCCCGAATCAGATCGAAGTTAAACAACCTCAGCCCAAGGTTCTTTCTCAGTCTGGAAGAAATCGAGATCATCAAATCTGCTGGCGGTAGCTCCACATGTGAAAGGCTCGCATCAGCTACCTCTCCTCCTTTCCTTCCCAAACCGGGGAGATTAGAGACCTGACAGAATGATCTTAATCCATCAGGGTTTGCAAGGTCTTGCGGTTGAGGATCTGTGGAAAGACACAATAGTTGATATTCAGCACCTCATAAGGAACCAAAAGAGAGAAAAAAAAACGATATAAGGCACCTACAACGGAGAATAAAAATGAAACGAGGAAACGACTAACTCAATAGCATATGGCACTATACCAGGCAATGACTTCCGCCGGAGGCACTTCACTTGGTTCCCCACAACGTAAACTTTAAAAATCACACCACCGTGATTGACGAACTTTTGAAGAACAAACGGAGGCAACAGCTTCTTCAATCCTTCCTCGTTGTACACGAGCCACATGAGATGCGACTTGGGTGTTCCGTCGACCAGTAGTGGTTTCGCGATGACAGGAAAGGACAGGCCGGAGGTCGCAAAGCTTTCGGTGACCGACTGTTTTTCGTGTACAACAATTTGTTTAGGGATCCCGACGACGCATCCACACTCGTATTGCAGTTTGTCGTCAACCGCCTGAAGCATGGAAATACGATTGTATAACCGCGCGATGGCTTCCGGTGGGTCAATGACGAGAACATCTGGTCTGCTCAGTTGATACTCCTCCAACTCCTCATACCACTGTTGCGACGGAATCTTGTGAAGAATGGCGTCAAAAGGTCCTTGCTCTGCTAGCGGTTTCGACAGATCTATTTTTACCAGCTCAATACCTTTCCTAATAGACTCCCTCTGAAGCTTCTCCTGAAGAAAGCTGTTGATTTTCTTCTGCACCAGAGCGTATCCTATCCGAAACCTAGTAGGAGAGCCGGACCTTTCCTCCATCAACAGCTCCACAACACAGGCTCTACCTGGGTGCATGAAAGGCAAGAGGGGAAAAAGAAATATGTGAAACCCTGGGGGAATTAATCCTGCTCAAAGCAGAGTCCTTCCTCTTATACTCCCTGCGTCCTGTCTGTTTCGTGGCTGAAAAACCTGCTGGTTGGTGTACCAAACCGACTGACTGACTGTTGAAAACACTTCCGCCGATAGTATCACCAATTGCGGACCATGAGTGGATGAGAGTGATGGTCGAGAAATTTGAGGGGATACGAAAAGGAAGAATAATTTCCAAATACGGGATCGGGATAGGCGCTAAGAATAAACTTCGGTTGCCTTGTATCGAACGGAATCGAGTTTCGCATGGATGGCAAGTGCTCACAATAGCTGACGTGGCGGCCCCTGGCACCGCGTAATGACAACCAGCAGGATTTCATCGACGGTCAAGAATGATCAAACATCCCCCACGACCCAGCATAAATGTCCACCTGGCAGGATCCCCCTTGCCTAACGAACTTGGGCAAGACGCATCCAGCATTTTCCGAGAATCGGCGAGCTGATATCGACGATGGTCGCTTGTCGCACCAACTTCGTTTCCATGGTCGAATATTCCAACGAATCAGGTTCGTTGCCACACACCAACATCCAGGAGGGCGAATCGTGCAAATTTGTGAAACCCCGACCGGACAATGTCTGTTCTGTTCCAGCCCAATTTCACTTCCATTCCCGATTGTGACCTAGGAGGATTATGACCGCCGAAATTGCTAACCTAGGTGATATTTTTGTGATAACACAACATTCCATACTTCTTGATCTCCAATGTCAACCCTCAGTTTCTAACATGAAAATTGAGCAAATGCTTCCAGTATGCTTATTAAAGGTGGTGGTGATACATAGCAATAAATGACGTGGAACTATGTACAAACGGCTGTCCAAAAGTTGACGACTCCCTTCAATGTCTGAGCCGGTGTGGTAGGTTAGGAATCACAGCTCAGGCTGCAAGGGGTATGCGAGCTGCTGCAGCTGAAAAGACTTCGTCTGCTCCTTTAACTGCGAAGGTGCAAAAACGAGGGAGAAAGACAAAATAGGGACGCGGAAACGAGCTCAGGCGACGGATTCGAGACGAATTAGTACATATACGGTGCATGCAAATAGCTGCTGCTAAAGCTGTCTGTGATTGGCACGAGCTCACCCCCAATAGCCACTCGGCAAGCATCAGCGAGGCGATCAGTGTTGGCACATGCAGCATTGAGAACCGCCTTGGTAGAGGTGAGATGATTGGCTATGGATGAGACGAGGCACGATGACCTTTGAGTCGACTCAACTCAGCACTGTACCAACACCCCACTCCAGCTGATAGACACTCAGAGAGGCAGCAGCGAGGCGGTCATAGTTGCCACATGCAGCCTGATGGCTTCCAAGTCAACGCAAAGGTCAAATCAACACTCAACAGCCACTCACAGAGGCAGCAGCGAGGCGGTCACTTTTGCCACATGCAGCATCGAGAGCCGCCATAGTAGCAGAGAGATGGAATGATGGGCTATGGATGAGACATCACAAAACTAAAATCAATGCCCAGGCATGAGAGCCACTCACAGAGGCATCAGCCAGCAGGTCACTGTTGCCGCATGCAGCATTGAGAGCTGCCTTGGTTGAGATGAGATGGTCGGCTATGGATGAGACGACGCACGATGACCTTTGAGTCGACTCAACTGAGTACTATACCAGCACCCCACACCAGTTGACACTCACAGAGGCATCAGCCAGCAGGTCACTATTGCCACATGCAGCATCGAGAGCTTCCTTGGTAGCAGTGAGACGATCGGCTATGGATGAGACAAGGCACGCCACCTCAGGCACCTGATGGCGAGGGTGGGGTAAGCGGTGGAGCACAAACACAGGATTGGGCATGCAGCACCAAGAGCCGCCCTGATAGATGTGAGATGGTCGGCCATGGATGTGACAAGGCAAGCCACCCCACACACCTGATGGCGTGGGCGGGGGGAGGGGCGAGTGGGAAGGAGGCGAGGGAGAGGATGGAGGGAAAGGAGGGGAGGGATGGGATGGATGGGAGGGAAGGGATGAGGAGGGTTGTAGTGGTTCCATCAAAGTATGCTTTTGAGGAGCAAAGAGAGAGGCGCATGGGAAGGAGGCGAGGGAGAGGATGGAGGCAAAGGAGGGGAGGGATGGGAGGGAAGTGATGGAGGAGAGATGGGTTGTATAGTGGTACCATCGAAGTATGGTTTTAGGGGGGAGAGGAGCACAAGCACAGCACTGGGAATGCAGCAGCAAGTGGCAGCAAGTGGCAGGTGAGATGGTCGGCTATGGATGTGTTGGATGTGTAAACAAGGGTACCCCAGACAGGCTACTTCAGAAAAAAACGTGTGCCTCATGTTCCCTGTGTGCCTCATATTCCCCGTGTGCCCCATGTGCCCCATGTGCCCCATGTGCCCCATGTGCCCCATGTGCCCCATGTGCCCCATGTGCCCCATGTGCCCCATGTGCCCCATGTGCCCCATGTGCCCCATGTGCCCCATGTGCCCCATGTGCCCCATGTGCCCCATGTGCCCCATGTGCCCCATGTGTGCCCCACGTGTGCCCCACGTGCCTCCTCTGCCAAAGCATTCATGAGAGCACATCAAGGCACCTGGGAGAGGTCATCGGCACAGGGCTGCATGGCTGCGAGCACGTCGTGCAGGCCGTCCAGCTGCTCCTTGAGCCGTGCTGCATTCACCTGTGATGTGAGGGGTGCAATGTGAAGAGTAGTAGTGATTCGGGACATGGGGTGCGGGACGAGGGAACATGGAGAACAGGGGACATGGGGTCAGCGAGTAGTGTGTATGGCTGTGAGCACGTCGTGCAGGCCGTCCAGCTGCTCCTTGAGCCGTGCCGCATTCACCTGTGATGTGGGACACGGGTTGCAGGACATGGGGTATGGCACATAGAACATGGGGTATTGGGATTGCTAGTACAGTGCATGGCTGTGAGCAGGTCGTCCAGGGTGTCTGGCTGTTCCTTGAGCCGTGCCGCATTCACCTGTAATGTGGAACATGCGTTGCAGGACATGGGGTATGACACATAGGACAAGGGGTATTGGATTTGCTAGAACAGTGCAAGAAGTTTCAATAGATAATGACCCACCGTGGGGATACAGTCACTCATAACCCACCGTGCTGGAAGGGTGGATGGGCAGTTTCACCAGCGAGTCAGACAGCGACTGAATAATGGTCCTTAAAGCCAGCTGGTGGCTGCTGCGCCGCTGCTGCTCGTGCTGCAGGCACAGCAGCAAAGGACCGAGGTCATCCACCACTGACACCGACTCACCGTGCTGGAGGGGTGGATGGGCAGTTTCACCAGCGAGTCAGACAGCGCCTGAATGACGGTCCTTAAAGCCAGCTGGTGGCTGCTGCGCTCGTCATGCTCCTGCTGCAGCAGCGGCCGCAAGCCCTCATTGCTCAGCAGCTCCCGAGCCCGCTGGTGGATCTCCCTCTGCTGCTGCTGCCCCTGCTGCTCGCACCGCTCCCGCTGCAGGTCCAAGCAGTAGGTTGCTGCTGCTGCCAGGGCAGCCTGGAAGAGAGGAGAGGGGATGGAAAAGGGGGAGATTCAAGCGGGAGAATGAGTAAGACTCCTGCTGCTGCTGCTGCTGCTGCTTGCACCGCTCCCCCTGCAGGTCCAAGCAGTAGGTTGCTGCTGCTGCCAGGGCCTCCTGGGAATGTGGGGAGGAGGGGGAGGGGGGGGAAGGGGGAGAGGGCATGGTGAAGGGGGGAGTGGGATGGGGGGAGGGGGGAAATGAGCACTGATGGGGACAAGGAAGATGCTCCTGCTGCAGCAGCGGCCGCAAAACCTCCTCGCTCAGAAGCCGGCGCGCTCGCTGCTGCTGCCCCTGCTGCTTGCACCCACCGCTCCCGCTGCAGGCGTGAACAGTAGCTTGCTGTTACTGCCAGTGCCAGGGCCTCCTGAAGGAGAGGAGAGGGGATGAAAAAGGGGGAGATTTAAGGGGGAGAATGAGTAAGATGCTGCTGCCGCTGCTGCTCATACAGCCGCCGTTGCAGGCGTGAGCAGTAGATCGCTGCTGCTGCCAGGGCAGCCTGGAGGAGAGGAGAGGGGAGAAGGGAGGCAAAGGGGGAAAAATACCTCGTCTTCCCTCTCACCTGCCTCTCAGAATCAAGCTCTCTTCACATTTTCCAGCTTCACTACTCATCTTCCTTCCCCTCCCTCCCTCACACTCACCACATTCTGGCTGCCCCTTTCCTCTCACCCCTCATGCTCAACAACACTCCCTCCCCTCCCCTACACTCACCATGCTCTCCCTGTTTCTCTCCTCTGCCGCCTCTTCCTGCAGCACCAGCATCGCCTGCACCTGCAAATCCTTGTTGCTCACAATCGCTCCTTGAGTAGACCACGGGATCCCAGACAACTCCTCCATCACAGCAGCCACTGCCGGCACCATCTCTTCCTCCTCGCCCCTCTCGCCCCTCTCGCCTCTCTCGCCCCTTTCACTTCTCTCCGAACCTACAGAGTCCGAGGGTACCAAATCCAGATCCCCATGGCAGTGCACCGAGCCTGCATTGCTGTGCACTGACCCTGCGTTGCTGAGCTCCAAGCCTGTATTGCTGTGTGCCGAGCCTGTGTGGCTCCGTGCCGAGCCTTCTGTCCTGCTAAGCTCGAGTCCAGTTGTCTCTGGTGCTAATGCAGGATGGCTTAACTCATTCTCTCTATGCGCACTCCTGCTGCTGCTGTTGCCGCGGCTGCTGTTGTTGCCTCCCCTGCTGCTGGTGTCACTGCTGACGCTCCTGCCACTGCCAACGCTGTTGCTCCATTCCAATTTCGCACCATCCAAACTCGCTGAAACACGTGAAGCGCCAGCAGCACCAACATCCCCTCGGCGAGTAGCATTTTGAATATTGGGAGCAGCACCAGCAACACCAGCAACACCACCAGCAGCAGCAGCAAAACCACCACCAGCACCAGCAGCTCCCACTGCTTCCAACAACGCAGCAAAACCACTGCCGTCACTACTCACAGAGCCTCTCGCCCTTTCCGCCTGCTCCCCCTCCGCCTGCTCCCCCATCGCCTGCTCCCCGTCCGCCTGCTCCCCTTCCGTCTTCTCCCCCTCCGCCTGCTCCCCGTCCGCCTGCTCCCCGTCCGCCTGTTCCCCGTCTGCCTGCTCCCCGTCCGCCTGCTCCCGGTCCGCCCGCTCCCCCACCACCTGCTCCCCTTCTGCATACACTCCTTCCGCCAGCTCTTCCGCCTGCTCACCCTCCGCCAGCTCCCCTTCCGCCTGCTCCCACTCCTTGTGTTCACCAGCGGCATGAGCCAGTTGTAGCGCCAGCATCCCACTAGCTAGAGTAGCCTCTCCCGGTTCCCCCAGGGCAGCGCTGTTCCCTTCTTCCTGTTCCCCCCTGTCACCGCTGATTGCCTCGCCCTCACCCCGGTCAGTGATAGTTGCCCCTTCCTCCTCCCCCCTGTCATCGCCGGTAGTAGCCCCTTCCGCCCCTTGCGCATCCCCTTCACTCTCTCCTACCAACGCATCCTTGCAACCAGCTGCTCCTGCCACATCAGCATCCAGCGCTGCTGACATGGCGGCCGTCGCTGCTGCCAGCTCAGCACCCTCCAGAGTCTCGCCTGACGGAACAAGAGTAAAGTTTTGGTTTACAGGGTTAACTCCACCACCTCCCCCACCACCTCTGCCACCACCTCCCCTGCCACCTGCTCTATCCCCTCCTCCATCTTTTCGCCTCGCCTCCCCTGTTGCTGCACCCGTTCTGTCTCCTCGTCCCACCATCGCCACTCTCCCCTCCCTTCCGCTAGCACCCATTCCTCCTTCCCCTTTTCCAGCCATGGGAGTCTGGAAAAGGCGTCCCTTGATCCCTCCTCCTCCTCCACCATGAGGTGTCTGGTATACATTTCCCCCTCGCCCTCTCCCCCCGGGAGTTTGATATTGAGGCCCTTCAAATCTCCCCCTCCCCGCTGCCTGCGGAAAGCCTTTTGCAGCACTGGGGACCGCGCGGAAACCTGCGCCGCCTGTTCCGCCTGCTCCGCCTGCCCCCGATGCGCCTCTTCCGCCAGCGCTGGCTCCGCTCACCAGCCCCGTGGTGGATCCGCCGCCTCTGCTGGCTCCCGCGCGGGATCCCGCAGAGGTTTGCGCGGGGGTGAGGCTCGCGCGGGGAGTCGCGGAAACTCGGCCTGTAACACTGCTGGCGCCGCCTCTGACGGCGCTTTTCGCGGCGGTGGATGGCGCGTGCATTGAGGAGAGACGCGTACCAGGAGTGTGGATCATGGAACCTTCGCGACGGGAGGCTGCGGGAGTTTGCATGAAACGAGATTGGACTGTAACGAAAACGGAAAAAGGCGGGAGATAATGAAGAGAAGGGAAAAGTAATGAGTGTCCGTCAAACTGAGATCCGAGAGTGAAATCTTATCCAGATTCACGGATGCCTTTCAGGTGAAGCGAAACACGGAGTGATTCTTAACTCAAGTCAACAGCCGATCCAGGTTAATGGAGTAACGAGATTGCCACGACGCTCGTGCCTTTTAATGTCGCGAAAAAAAAAAGGCTGGTCTTATTGCTATGTTGCCTTCGTGAATGCGCTCCCATTTTACCTTGAATTCCTGCCGCCTTTTTAGGAGCAGGAAGCTTGAACTCGGAGCTCGCATCTGTCGGCTGACCCGAAGACGGATCCATGGCAGGAAGAGAAACCGGAAAAAGAAACCGAGAAGAGCAAACCGTCAAACTTTGACGTCTCCAGCAAGGCTCGCGTTAAACTCGTCGCCGCAAGGCTTTGAGAAATGGTCTAGATTCTAGACACGCTGCTCCAGCCAGACGAGACACTGATGGAAAAATATGTCGAAGTGGTGTTCGTGACGACGTTTGGTGTTGATGACGGACGGAGAGGCTGTATGATCTCGATGTCAGGCTGTATGATCCCGATGTCAGGTTGTATGATCTCGAGGTCAGACTTTTCCGCCAAAAACTCGAACTTGAAATTGGGGTTCAGGCAGCCGAAAGGCTTCGAAGAATGTACGCGCCTGAATGTACGCGCTGCATCCGGTCCGCGTTAAAAATGCTACAGTAGACTGGTAACTAGTGTAACGCCGTTCTTAATATCTAGATAAGCAAGATCAGCCATTTAGTAGACATTCGGGCAAAAACAAAACGCTAGCAGCTGCTCATGCCATGATATATGGCATGAGATGTCTAAGCTAGAAATGCACTCGCAAGTGCTATTGCCACAATTTCACGCATTTGTCATGGCTTGCTGACGCAACGAGCCCACGTGCCTGGGAATGTGCAAGTGCAGCGATAAGCCCGTCGTGAGCCCCTTGCACAATCATGCTCTTGTTCTCCACCATGTTCCATAGCTCCAATGACTGGAATGCGGGAGGAGAGGGAGGGGGGGGGGGAAGGAGGGAAGGGGTGTTTAAGATGAACGGTTGGGCGGAGTTGCTAGGGGAAATGCATGAATCAGCAGAGCCTCCCGCGCACTATCATGCTCTGGTTCTCCACCATGTTCCACAGCTCCAATGACTGACAAGAGGGGGGGCAGGGAGGAGCAGGGGAGGAGGTTAGGGATTTGAGGAGGAAAGAGTGGAAGGATCATGTTTCATCGTTCTCCACCGACATGCATGCCCAAACCCCCCCTTCCTTTCAACCTTCCCGCAAAAAAAACAAGAGGCGACAATGTCGTCCTAAGGGTTGCGAAGCAATTTACAAAAAGTTGTATGGTATGTATTTCAACTACAAACTGTAGATGCAAAAGCGAATGTGAATGTAGCCTTGAGCACTCTTTGAAGCAATCTCACAAGATTCGAACCCGCAACCTTCTCATTGCAATTTTCACATTCTACCGACTGGGCCAAATCAACCGAGACAAAAACTCGTCCTAAATTATCTATGACTTGTCTTTGCGACGAAATTGAAACCATCCTAGGGTTTGCGTTTCTCTTTCCCCTCCCTCGTTTTTCTCGCTGGTGGAGCTGGTTTGGTGCCCACCTGCAAGCCATACTCTTACCTACCATTGTAAGGTGAGAGGATTCAATGCCATTCTCTAGAGCTAGCTTAGATTATGCTAGACTACGGTTTCGTAATATCGTATCCTAGTCGTCTACTTCTAGTTTGTTGGCCGTTCTAGAGGTATGCAGGTTGTTTAAACTTCAAAACTTGTCCTTTGTAAGACGGCAGCTTTCCCTTCTGTTTTTTAGGTCATTCATGGTCCAGCATCCTTGATACTTCATTTCTTCTATTGCTTAGCTTATTCCTTTCTCCTCTAGTGCTTGTCGTATTATTCTCTTTCCTTTCATCGTCGTCTCTGTACTCGTTTTAGATCATCGTTGTTTCTGCTAAGCTTCTCTAATTTTGTATGTTATTAGTAGTTGTTCATTCTGTTTCTTATGCTTGTACCGTCTTCTCTCCGTTCATTCTGTTTCTTTTTACGATTTTCTGTTTTCCATCACATTTTATTCACATACTTTATTATCTAATCACTTGTTACGTGCTCCTACTTTTGGAGATTATTAGTACGTTGGTCATTCTGTTTCTTATGGTTGTACCTTCTTCTCTCCATTCAATTTGTTTCATTGATTGATTTTCTGTTTTTCGTCACATCTTATTCTTATTTATTCACGTGTGCTGTGTTTGTCTCTTTCCGCTTCCTTAATCTTGTATAATCATAGTACGTTGTTCATTCTATTTCTTATGCTTGTACCGTCTTCTCTCCGTTCATTCTGTTTCGTTTGGTAATTTTCGTTTTTCATCAGACCATTCTGGTTCTTATGCTTGTACAGTCATCTATCCGTTCTTTTTGTTTCGTTTATTGATTTTCTGTTTTCCTATCTGTTCAATTCTGGTTCTTATGATTGTACCGTCATCTATCCGTTCTTTCTGTTTCGTTGATTGATTTTCTGCTTTCCTATCTGTTCTTGTTGCTTTTTAACACGAGGCTCAACAATTTCATATGTTATTGGTTAGTTTTGAGTTTGATGCATTCCTGTATTGATTGGTGTTGTACCAACTGTAAGGCAATAATAACATAATGCATGTATGTCCTCCCCTTTTCTCCCATTATGCCTTGTTATTTCCCATTTGCTTTCCCTTCCTTAACCCTGTTTTGTCTTACCCTCCAGGCAGTCGAGCTCAATATGAGAAGTAGACTGATATTGCTTGTGACTTATGGTGTAGGATACATGATGTCTTGGTAATTTAGGTTTTTATTTCATCTTCGGTTAATATGCTTTGTTCGGCTTCGTGCATGCGCGTATGTGTGAATGTATATGATCATGTGTATGCGTTGTGTTATGTGCGCTTTCATTCATGTTTCCATTGCATTAATAACACATGTCTGTGGGTTTTAAAAATTGGGATCAAACTATCATTTCCGAGAAGGTTCTTTGCGCACTCAGTGAGTGTGTCCATTTGAACTGGATTTGATAGAATTGACCTTTTTTTTAGATCACACAGATTGTGTTGTTTTTTGTGACAGTTGGATGATTAAGAAACTATGCTATTGAGCTCCTCCCCATGCTAGGCAGAGGATGCGGTAGCATAGAGTCTTGGTCAATTAACTGTTACGCATTTTCATCATGCTATGCATTCATTTCACTACCACAGTAGCATATGCATTGTAATTATGCATTTTGCATTTATGCATAACAACATCCCGCATATGCATCACGGAATAAACAGTTACGCATTCACAGTACATCATTTTGGCAACTCATGAAAATAGGTTCAGTCAAACCAAACTAGGAAATGAGAAGTAATGTGGTTGGGCACGTGGTAAATTGACTTGGCAAATACATCAGCCAGTCACTTAGCTACCGTTCACTAGATTTTTTTCATCCTTTATTTTTTGAAGTAAAGAGGATGAAAAAAAAATTGTACATAACGATTGTAATAGGTTGCTTCGCAACCCAAAAAACACAAACCCTACCCACGCCCACTGACTTGGTAGAAGCCAATGACGAGCAGCGAGGGGTATCTGGGGTGGAAGGTGCAGGAGTGGCAAGTGAAACAAGACCTATGTGCAAGCAGCCACACACATGCCCCACATACCCCCCAACAGACCTGGTAGCAGCCGCACACATGCCCCACATGCCCTTTCTCTACACACACTCACACCCTCAACCAACCTGGTAGCAGCCGATGACGAGCAGCGAGGGGTACTTGGGGTGGAAGGTGCAGGAGTGGAACTTGTTGCCGCTGCTGACCAGCTCGTGCACACACTCTCCCCCGTTGCCCGGCCCCAGCGCGTACACTCGCACCGCATCCTCTGAGACAGAGGCTATAAACTCGCCTGTTGCGTCCCAGCAAACTGAGTGCACTGGCTTGCTATGCCGTTGCTGGTGATGGGCATGGGGAGAAAAAGGAGGGGGGGGGGAGAGGAAACGGGGCAAGTGGGGTAGAAAGGCAAGAATGAGAAGGCGATGGTCTTGTTTAGCTTGCTGAGCCGTTGCTGGGAAGGAGGGGAGAGGGGCAGGGACGGTACGGGGGGTAAGGGAAGGTGGGGATGGGAACAGGAGAGAGAGCAAGTGGGGCTGACAGGAATATGCGAAAAAAGAAGGGTAAGAGAGCTAAATATACAGCTCAGAACAATTCCAGCAAGGTGGCAGTTGAGTCAACTCCAGAATCGCCTCGCACGGGTTTTCTTCTCACCTCGAGTGTACGCAAACACGCCTCTGTCTCGACGTCGAATATCGAGACCACCGACTCGGCCGCTGCTGCCAGCAGCCGCCCCATGCGCGGCTGAAAGCGCACCTGCGTGGTGGCGCCCTGGTGTGTGGGAGGGGATGGAGGGAGCAGATGTGGAGGGGGGGTAGGAGGTCAAGGGGGAGTGGAGGGGGGAGGGGGGGAGGGGAGGAAAGGCATGTGAACACGCAATAAGCCGTTGCTGTCAGCAGTCGCCCCATGCGCGGCTGAAAGCGCACCTGCGCGTGGTGAACGAAAGGACATCTGTTCGACATTTGAAGCGAAATAGAGGGAACAGGAGATGCAGTTGTGGCTCCAAAAACGAATCTACTGAGCAGTTAATAGCGACACAAGAGCAGTTAATCCAGACTGCAGCCCATCTTGACTCAGATTCAGAAAGGGTCAGAAAGGGTCTAAATCTTGAACCCTCTGATTTAGAAAGGGTCTCACCTTGAAGACTCGAGTGCACATCTCTTGGTTGACGCTCCAATAGCGAATCTCCCCATCAGCATCGCAGGAGCACAGAAGATCCTCGTCCTCTGGGTGGAAGTCGAGAGACACCACAGAAGTCATGTGGCCCGCTAGCGTGCGCAGGGGGAAGGCGGGCTGCAGGAAAAGGACAAAGAGAAGGAGGCAAAGGTAACGGAAAAACGGGGTATGATGTATGAGCGTCGCAGGAGCGGAGCAGGTCCTAGTCCTCTGGGTGGAAGTCAAGAGACACCACATATGTCATGTGGCCTGCTAGCGTGCGCAGGGGGAAGGCGGGCTGCAGAGGGAAGGGAGCGAAGACGAATGAATGGGGAATGAGGGATCGGCGTCGCAGGACCAGAGCAAGTCCCCGTCCTCTGGGTGGAAGTCGAGAGACACCACGGACGTCATGTGACCCGCTAGTGTGCGCAGGGGGGAGGCCGGCCGTAGCGATGGACAGGGGAAGGAAAGGTAAAGAGAATGAGTAGTGTGAAGTGCGGGATTGACACTACACGAGCAGAGCAAGTCCCCGTCCTCTGGGTGGAAGTCGAGAGACACCACGGACGTCATGTGACCCGCTAGCGTGCCCAGAGGGAAGGCGGGCTGCAGGACAAGGCAAGGGGAAGAGTGCACAGCAAGGTGCAAAAATACGGTTTTCGTAAATTACGGTCCGTTTTTTACGGTTCGTTTTTTACGGTAAATTTCCAAAAATACGGCGTTTTTTTGTTAGAGAACTCTTGTCACCAAGAAAAAACAGGCAAAAACAAGGTCGTACACATTTTCAATCATGCCCACACATGCACACATGCAAGGAGGGGTTCGTCCTCTTCATCCTGGTGATTTTCGCCATCAATTTGGTCCCATAAAATGTCCGATTTTTTCTTCAAACAAAAATCACCTTCTGGAACCGTTTTTTACCGTTTTTTACGGCCGTTTTTTACGGTAAATTTTCAAAAAAACGACGTTTTTTTGAACCTTGGTGCACAGGGGGGAGGTTGGCTGCAGCGATGGGCACGATATGGAAGAGAGATGCCAAATAAGGCTTCAACAAGAACCTGGCGAAGGAAAAGGAGAGTGGGCACTTCAGAGCATCACAGGCAAGAAACATGATCAATTTGCTCTGTGTGCGTATCATGCGTGTGTGCCATGCGTGTGTGCCAGTAGCGCTACCAAAAGAGCACGCTAGCGACGTATCACAAAAAGTGACGCACGTACGTTGTCTCACACGCGCACGGTCTTGTCAAAGGCGCCCATGCCTCTGCGCCCATGCCTCTGCGCCCATGCCTCTGCCTGTGCCCACTCCCTACCAATCTTAACCGAGCAGAGCGTGCCTGGTACCCATTGAGGCGACTTACATTGTCGATGTCCCACACGCGCACGGTCTTGTCAAAGGATGACGTGGCAACACGTGGCAGGCTGGGGCTGAAGCGCACGTCGGTGATGAGCAGCGAGTGGCCCTCCAGAGTGGCGCGCATGGAGAGCGAATCCATCTCCCACAACACAGCCTGGCGTTGGGGACAAGGGTAAGAGTAAAAAAGTGCGGCGGGAGGGGAAGAGGGTGCAGCATAATAAAGAGATGGTGACTGGCCCTCCAGAGTGGCATGCATGGAGACGGAGTCCATCTCCCTCAACACAGCCTGGTGTTGGGAGCGGGCGGTGGAATGAACGGGGAGGACGGGATTTCATTTTTGAGGCACGTCAAAGGTTGCCGGGATGGAGATGCTGGGATGATATTCTTTGTAGCCCATATTGGCAGGTGAGAGTGGAGTGTGGAAGGATAGGAGGGGAGCGGGGGCAGGGGAGAGAGGAATGGGAGGGGTGGGGTAGGGCGGGATGGAGTGGGTGGTGGTGTTGGGGGGGTGTATGTGAGAAAAACGGTTGACATGCACTTTCATCATCACGACCGGAATTGCCCGTCTAATGGTGCAATGCGCACTCACCGTCTTGTCATGGCCGGCACTAGCGAGCAGCTTGCCGTCCTGGGAGAAGTGGCAGCACACCACACAACCCCTGTATCACCACGGCCGGCAATAATCGTCTTAATACTCACCGTCTTGTCATGGCCGGCACTAGCGAGCAGCTTGCCGTCCTGGGAGAAGTGGCAGCACACCACCTTGGTGGAGCTGGCCCTTAGGCACCCGTACTCCGTGAAGGAGAAACCTGCGAGGGGTGAGAACCAAAGATGGCAGAGGGAGGTGTGGGCGGGAGGGGTGGAGGAACAAGTGGAGCTTGGATTGAGCAAGTGGCAGCACACCACCTTGGTGGAGCTGGCCCTAAGGCACCCGTACTTTGTGAAGGAGAAACCTGAGAGGGGGAGTGGAGGGAGGAGTAAAGAGTGGTGTGGAGGGGGATAGGGGCTACAGTGACAGTGCCTGTGAGGGAGAGAGGGGTTACAGTGCAGCACACGACCTTGGTGGGGCTGGCCCTCAGACACCCATACTCTGTGAAGGAGAAACCAGAGACAGGGAGTGGAGGGAGGAGTGGAGAGTGGTGTGGAGGGGGATACGGGGGTGAGGGAGTAGAATTGACCAAGTGGCAGCATACGACCTTGGTGGAGCTGGCCCTCAGACACCCGTACCACGACGTTATTAGTCCGCTTTTGAGTCGACTCAAAAGCAGACGTTATTAGTCCAAGCTCCCAGCCCATACCCCACCATCCCCCCTCCCCCCTCCCCCCCTCACCTTTCCCGTCCATGCTACCCATGCTGCTACCCTCCCCCTCCCCCTTCCCCCCCTCACCTTTGCCGTCCATGCTACCCATGCTGCTACCCTCCCCTTTCCCCTCCCCCCCTCACCTTTCCCGTCCATGCTACCCATGCTGCTACCCTCCCCTTTCCCCTCCCCCCCTCACCTTTGCCGTCCATGCTACCCATGCTGCTGCGCTTGCCGGTGCAGAACAGCGGCTCGCGGCCATCCCCGTCATCAGTCGACAGAAACGAGTCCACATTGTCGTCCAGCGACCCATCGTCCCCCACCCCAAACCGCTCCAGCTCCACCAGCTGGTTCCCCTGGGGACGGCACAGCATCACCTCCCCATTCCCCTACACCTCCCCACCCCTTCCCCCTTCCCTTCCCCCACCCCTTCCCCCTCCCTTCCCCCACCCCTTCCCCCTCCCTTCCCCCCCCCCTTTCCCCTCCCCCCCTCACCTTTGCCGTCCATGCTACCCATGCTGCTGCGCTTGCCGGTGCAGAACAGCGGCTCGCGGCCATCCCCGTCGTCAGTCGACAGAAACGAGTCCACATTGTCGTCCAGCGACCCATCGTCCCCCACCCCAAACCGCTCCAGCTCCACCAGCTGGTTCCCCGGGGACGGCTCGCCTGAGAGAGTCCCTTCCATGCCGAAGCTGGTTGGGAGGGGGGGGACGAGTGGGGGAGGTAGCATCTGGGGGAGGGAGGATCCTAGCTGGGGACTCGGCTGCTGCTGCTGCTGCTGCTGGTGGTGTTGGTGTTGGTGCTGCTGCTCCTCCTGCTGCTTCTGTTGCTCGGCTGCCACTTGCTGCTGCTGCTGCTGCTGCTGCTCTGCCTGTGCCTGTGGGTGAGGCTCAGGCTTCACAGCCCCTCCTGCAGCGCCCCCATCTACACCAGCAGCACCAGAACCAGCAGCGCCACCAGCGTTACCAGCAGCCCCATCACCAGCAGCAGGAGGAGTCCCGGCACCACCACCACCAGCAGTGGCAGCAGCGGTAGCAGCAGCGGTAGCAGCGGCGGTAGCAGCAGCAGTGGCAGCAGCAGTGGCAGGGGTGCCGTTGCTGGCGGCAGGACCTGATGATCCCGGCTGCTTCCTCTTCCGCCCCAGCCTTCCCCCTTGGCCCCTCTGTTTAGCACACGAGTTGCAAGGCGGAGGCAAGCAATAAGGGAAGGGAGAGAGGGGAGAATGTTAGAAGAACCGCAGTGGCTGCAGCAGTGGCAGGGGTGCCGTTGCTGGCGGCAGGACCTGATGATCCCGGCTGCTTCCTCTTCCGCCCCAGCCTTCCCCCCTGGCCCCTCTGCTTGCCACAGGGGAATTGAAACACGGAGCAGGCGAGAGGGGAGGGGAGTGAGGGGAAGATTGTCGGAAGAATAGCAGATAGTCAGCAGGACGACACGCAACAGAGCAGAGAAGTGATGCATTCAAGGGAAAGAAAGGGGGGGAGTGGGGCGGAGCGGGTTTGAAAGGAGAGAGAGTACCACATTAGGTAAACCAACAGAAGAGGGGCGGGGGGGGGGGGGGGGGGGGGGAGGGAAGGGTTCCGGTGCTTAACAAAAAGGGGGGTGGAGTGAGGGGGAGGTTTAATGGTGAGCGAGTGCCAAATAAGGTAAAGAAACACGGCAAATGCAGCAAGAAACTGGAATAATGGTTAACCACGCAGCTGTGATGCAGATTCGTCCCGAAAGCATGAGACACCCCCTAGGTGACCAAGTACCTTGGTGACAGTGCCTGTGCTGGTGATGCTGGGTGCGGGCTCCATGCCACTCAGAGAGCCCAAACCAGAGGGTGCTTGCTCTGTGTTTCACTACTAAACGCACCGCACCGCTCTGCACATCTATCCCAAACCCGACTGCTAGCGAGGGCGCCTACCTTGGTGACAGTGCCTGTGCTGGTGATGCTGGGTGCGGGCTCCATGCCACTCAAAGAGCTCTGTTCCCCTGCCGCTACCCCACCACCCCCTCCACTTCCGCCATTCCCACCCACAGCTGCCCCCCACCCGCCACCACCACCACCAGCAGAACCAGGCACACCCATCTGCTGCTGCTGCTGCTGCTGCTCTTGCTGCCCCTGCATACTCCCCCCCGCCCCTCCCTGTCCCCCCTGCCCCTGCCCCTGCCCCTGCCCCTGCCCCTGCCCCTGCCCCTGCTGCTGCTGCCCTGCTGCTCTCACTGGTCCGCCCATGCTGCCCTGCCGTCCCATCCCCCCCTGATGCCCTTCCTGCTGCATGTGCTGCCCAGGCGCCCCCATCACCTGCTGCTGCTGTTGCTGCTGCTGCTGTTGCTGCTGTTGCTGCTGCTGCTGCAGTAGCAGCTGCTGGTGTTGCTGCAGCAGCAGCAGCTGCTCCTGCTTCACCTGTGCGCCCATCAGCCCCCCCATGGCGCCCTGTGCGCCCATGGCCCGCGCTCGTTGGGCTTGCAGCTGCGGGAGGCCATGTCACAGGAAACAGAGCGGGCAATACACAAGTGAGAATGGGGTGCCAGTGAGAACAAGTAAGGAGAGAACAATTGCTGTGCGCCCATCAGCCCCCCCATGGCGCCCTGTGCGCCCATCAGCCCCCCCATGGCGCCCTGTGCGCCCATCAGCCCCCCCATGGCGCCCTGTGCGCCCATCAGCCCCCCCATGGCGCCCTGTGCGCCCATCAGCCCCCCCATGGCGCCCTGTGCGCCCATCAGCCCCCCCATGGCGCCCTGTGCGCCCATCAGCCCCCCCATGGCGCCCTGTGCGCCCATCAGCCCCCCCATGGCGCCCTGTGCGCCCATCGCTCGCACTCGTTAAGCTTGCAGCTGAGAATAACCACCCATTGAGGTTTTCATGCCTCTCTGCACCCATATAACCACCCATTCGTACTACCGCTCTACCCACCTTGAGAATCATCTCTTGCTGTTCTTGAGGAGACGCCCCTCGACTGAGAGCAGCAGCGGCCGCCACAGCAGCAGCAGCACCAGACGGCAGCATCCCAGCAGGCGACCCCACACTGGGCGACCCACCCCCCTCCTCCCCTCCTCCCTTCCCCCCCGCTCCCGCCGCTGCGGCTGCTGCCATCGCAGCTGCAGCAGCAGGGTTCCCAGCTACTCCCTTACTCAGTAACTGCCTCAGCTGCCGGTTTTCCATTTCTGTTGCCATACCCGCCCCGAATCCCACCAAAGACGTCCCTCCTGCTGCCCGTCCGGGCAGATTGCCGCCCAAACCCGCCCCACCGCTCGCCGCCCCAGCTCCCCCGCCCCCTCCCCCTTGCATTCCCCCTGCTGCGCCTGCCCCTGCTGCTCCCCCTGCAGCGCCCCCTGCGCCTCCCCCTGCGCCTGCAAGCCCTGCTAGCGCGCCTGCGTTGGTGATGAGGCCCTGAGCCTGTGCCTGCTGAAGCAGGTGCTGCTGCTGTATTGGCGAGAGCATCTGGTACTGGGGCGAGTTGAAGAGACGCGCGATCTGAGGGACGGTGGGGAGGGGAAAGAGGGGAATACGCCCAAGGATGGAGGATCAGTAAGAGGAGCTTGCATCGTGTCCACTGAAGCAGGTGCTGCTGCAATATGGGCGAGAGCATCTGGTACTGGGGCGAGTTGAAGAGACGTGCAATCTGAGGGATGGTGGGGAGAGAATAGGGGGATGCAAGGAAAGAGGACCAGGTATGGGGGAAGAGGGCACATGTGGGGGGAGAGGACTAAGTGTGGGGGGAGAGGACTAGGTGTGGGGGGACAGGACTAGGTGGGGAATAAGGACCAAGCGGGGGAGCTTACTGAATAAATAACCCTGCAGGCCAGCCAGTGACAGTTCACCCGCAGCAGTGGAGGGTCTAGCTAGCAGAAGCGTACTCAACTCTGCAGAACCCCTTCCAACCTCACAAGCCAGGGGTTAAGGGCTTACCGAAAGGCCTGCAGGCCAGTTACCCTTCATTTGCTGCAGCTGAGCCGACCTAGCAGCTGATGATATGCCTGGCAGGCATGAACACCAGGGATGGGGGAAAAAGGGAGGGAAGGGGAAGAGGGTATTTTTCCGAGGCGCCTAAAAAACACAGTTCTGCTGCAGCTGAGCCGACCTAGCAGCTCATGATATGTCTGGTGGGCATGAACACCAGGGGGGAAGAGGGGGGGGGAAGGAGGGGAAGGAAAGAAGGGCGGCAGATGACGTGCCTGGTGTGTATAGAATCAGGAGGAGAGGGGTGGGGGGAGGGGTAGGTAGGGGGTAGTGGCGGGAGATGGACGCAACTGCATTGTCCGATAAATGAAGAGCACCGCTATTACTGATTGGTTTTTGAGAATTCTCAAACACCGCTATTACTGAAAGAGCACCTGATCGATGTGACAGCGTAAGTGCACAAGTGGGACCCACCTTGTACCATGGACGCAACGCAACTGCATTGTCAGATATGGCTGGGCCCGCCCTGCCAGACATGACTCCATGCACATCTTTTGAGGACCCCCCCACCTTCTCCTTCTCGTTCTCAAAAGCACCCACCTTGTGCCATGGACGCGAGTGCATTGTCCGATATGGCTGAGCCGGCCCTCCCAGACATGACCGCATGCACGTCTGCCTTGCTCTCCTGCTCGCACAGAGGGCAGCGAGCCAGTTGGTTATACAAAATTCTCAGGTATGGGAATCGTGTACATAGGAGGAGGAGTCCACATACAACTACTTGGTATGGGGCTAACGCAAGGGAGGAGCAGGCAAAAGGGAAAAGACTGGCGAAAGAGATAGCGCAAGCAAAAGGAAGGAACGAAGGAAAGGAGGAGGGAGGGGTAGGGGAAGTGGGATGGGGAATCACCTGGCTAACACTAGGGGATGCCGCCCCAGCTGGGGGCATCATTTGCTGCTGCTGCTGCTGCTGTTGCTGCTGTTGTTGTTGTTGTTGTTGTTGCTGTTGCTGCTGCTGCTGTTGTTGCTGCTGTTGTTGCTGCTGCTGTTGCTGCTCGTGCTCCTGCATCTGGTGTTGCTGCTGCAGTTGTTGCAGCTGCTGCTGCAGCTGTTGCAGAGGCAGCTGCGGCAGACCCTGGGACTGAGACTGTGACTGCGCTGGCTGCTGCTGTTGCTGCTGTTGTTGCTGCTGTTGTTGCTGCTGCTGCTGCAAGTGCTGTTGCTGCAGGGACTGTTGGGACATGCCTGCGGCGTTGCCAACAGTCGCCAGGTGCCTGTAGAGGCAAGGCGGCAAGGCAACAGCAGAAGGTGGAACGTAGCATACAAAGGGAGGCAAGTTTAGTGTGGGCGCAACTGGAGGGGGAAGCAGAGAGCATGTGACGGAGGAACCAAGAGTGGTGACGTGAAGGGAGAAGAAGTGCAGAAGGTTCAAGGAAGCGCAGGTGGTGCAATGAACGATTGGAAGAAGTGGGGAAGAACGAGGGTGGCAAAGGAAAGAGGGAGAGGAGAAAGCGAGAGCTTACCTCTGCTCAGTATGGGAGATTGTCGGTGGTGAATCCAGCATGAGCCGTACGCGCATGCAATGAACACATGCCAGACAAACACGGCACGGACACACACACGTCAATCGTAAGGGGCGGATAGAAGGAGGAGATTAGAGCACACGTTGGGGGCAGGTGTGGGAAACACGTGAGGAGGGCATGAGTGTGCTGAGGGCATGGGAGCACATTAGTTTAACACAACACAGCATTCCCGTACGCACCCTCCCCGAATGCACCCATCAAAACATGAAAACCACAAACTCCCACACACCTATGGCGCCCTGAGCGCTGAGCACTCACCCTGAGCGCTGCCTCGTCCATGCTCGCCCCGCTCTCCGCCCTGGCCAGCTGCGCCTGCTTCAGCCGCTCCTCATACAGCCGGCTCGCCAGCACGCCACTCGCTGCCTGCCTCAACCCCGCCTCCCCTGCCACCCCTCCCGCCACGCCATTCGCCGCTCCGTTTCCCCCCAGCCCTGCCAGCTGCCCCGCCTCCCTCCGCTGCTGCTGCAGCTGCCGCTGCTGCAGCTGCATTTGCAGCTGTTGTAATTGCAGTTGTTGCTGCTGCTGCTGCTGCTGTTGCTGAGAAGAAGCTGCGGGTTGTGGTGGCGGTGGCGGGGGGGTTGGATGCGACGCTGCTGCTGCTGCTGCTGCTGCGGCTGCGGCTGCTGGGAGGGGGGCTGCATTTGCGACTGCTGCTGCTGCTGCTGCTGCTGCTGCTGCTGCTGCTGCTGCTGCTGGTGAAGGCTCTGTGCTTGGGACTGCTGCTGCTGCATCCCTGGAACCACGGACTGGGGCAGTTGCTGATCATCCTGCTGCATTGAATCCTCTCTCCCCTGCTGCTGCTGCGTCTGCTGGTTCAGCTGTTGCGGGGTCACGGCCTGCTGGGTTGCCTGGTGTGGGGATTGCTGGATGGCACCACCACCTAGCTCTTGCTTCAGCTGCTGCCTCTGCTGGGCCCTCTGCTGCCGCTGCAGCTCCCTCGCTTTGATCTGCTGAGTCTGGAATCAGGGACATGTGAAAGGAAAAAACAAAATCTCATGTTGACAGCAGAAACGGGACATGTCTCATGACAATAGAGGGGTGGTTCTGCTGGAAAATGCGTCAGTTCCCGGTCTGGCGAAAAAAAAAGGATTGTGAGTCTTATACTTTTGCGTGGAGCTAGGGATACCTCGATATAGGAAGCCGCGACTTCAGAATGCTTTTCATTTGTCCGTGCGATAAATATGTCCCAGAACACCGACCACCACTCGAAAAGGAAACCTCCCGGAGCATTAATGGCTGCAAACAGCAAGGGGTTATTTAATTGCGTGGAGGGAACAATCCATGACGCAGCAAAACCGTAATCCTCGTTAGAAAGAAATCGGTACGACAATGTGGAGCGACGAAGAGAGAACAGAGGACGGAGCCGTACCGACGGGGTCTGACGAGACTTTCGCCTCGGCAAGAAACGTCTCCGCGGATTTCGGTAGGCCTCGCTTGCACAGGTAGTCGTAAATGTACACATCCAGCCTGTATGCAGTAACCGGGTAACCAGGATTAGCGAACAAAAGACGCAGGAAAATAAGGATCTTGGCTGGTCATGTTTGCAGCTGAAGCCCTAATATATACACTGAAATATTAAGAAGGGGTTTGACGCCGGCTGATGAGGGATCGAGAAAAAAGTGGAGATATTGAGTAGCCAGGAGAAAGTAAAAACAAAAAAATCGCGTCGATGACGGAAAGAAAAAAGAAAATGGTAAAGAAAAACATCGTTCCCAGAAGAAAAGCAAACGCAATGACAAGGAGCGGGGAGACTGGTGGCTTCAGAATAAGGAAGCCTGCTTCAGCGAACGCCTTTCTCCAATGTTGCGGACTTCCGGACATAATGACTGAAACTCCGATGCGAGAGAGAGTATCAGTTGCGCCTCCAGAGCAGACGTTCGCAATGTTCCACGCATACTAATGTATGGAACCTAGGGTCTGAAACACGTACATTTTGTCAGCTTCCCAGCTGTTGTGTGCCATAGTCCGATTCCGTGAAAAAACGATTTGCCTGAGAAGTTATCACGGCCAAAGCTCTCAATTTACGTCATGCGAAGACCTAAGCCAGACAATTACTATGCACAAGGTTCAGATCACATTGTCAGCTTAGCAGCAATGGGCTATCCCCGCTAGCGTCAAGAGACAAAGTCAGCACATCGCCCCACGTGCGCCGTCTGTAACAGAACCCGCGTGATGGTGCGAGAGCGAGAAAATGCACCCTAGAAAACTGTTGCTTGCAAGCTGCAAGGTTCGGTTGTTCCCCTCCAGATTATAGCTTGACCTGTCTCTCTCTTCTTGCTTGACCTTGCAGTCCACCACCACCACGCAACAGGCCTTCTGAATCCTGTCCCGAACAAGGCAAAGATGGAAGAAATTCGGTATTCGGTATGGTTCTGCATGATTTAGTATGTTTCAGAACGGTACGAGCTTTGTTCCGTGCGGCACCTTGGGTGCTTCTTTGGTGCAGGCAACAGCAGCACCACCGAAGTGGACGGCCAGCCACTGGCGGTCGACTTGGCTGCTGCCCAAACGCGCTCCTCCCACTTCCTTCCGCCTTCTCCACGCGCACGCTTCTCCACGCGCTCGCCTCCCCTAGCGCAGGCCAGGCTTTGACACACGGACGCTTCCGCCAGCTTGCGGACGTCTCAACTTCCGAACCTAGCCATGTGGTGCGGCTCTGCAGACACGCAGCCAGACAACTAGTCCGAACCGAACCACACCACACAGAATCTCAGGTTCCCTATCTTTCCATGCCTGAACCGTGCCTATGATGTTTGTTTCCAACATGATGTTTCCCAAACCTCTCCGTACCTACTTCCGAACGCGCGATTTGCGCATGTCGTGCGGCGTGGTTCATTATTGCCAGACATCGCTAGGAAACATTGTAATAAGCCGGTCAATCTAATAATAAGAGAATGTTATGCACAGGCATTCTTAGACTGTTGCATGAAATTATATGTGAGAGCTCATAATATTGCCAAACCGTGCCAAAAAATTGAGACCAACGTGCCATCTACACGGTCATTCTACTGCCTAATGCCTACATCCATGAGGGAGGCGGAGGTTAAAGCTTACCTTGCAGATTATCAAAACGTGTAGCACCCTCCTACTAGTTGCCACACAGCCATTGTGCCTGGTTAATGCCTGACGTGCTGGCAAGTAATACCTTTAAGACGTACAATGCGCACATTTCGCGCATGGAACCGCCGCAATACACCAACTCCCTAACAAGCAGCTAGAACTGGGTGAGAGGGACACGCTCTTCCTCCCCAAGCTCAACCGCATCATCCGCAACAGGCTGCTGCCCGTGCCCGTCGTGCCGGCCCGATTCCTTGAGTCCTTGCGAGTAATCCAGGTATGTGTTGAGGAAGAAGATTGGCACGAGCATCACGATGAAGATGTACACGAAGGCGGGCCGGATCTTCCCCGTGAACTGCATCCAAACACAAAAAACAAAGAATCATGTCATGAAGTGCAACATTAATCAAGCATAGCGCACAAAAGCTGAGAACATAGCAAAGAGAATAAGGTGAAAGATGGTGTTGGGGATACAGGGGTGGGGGGATACAGGGGTGGGGGGATACAGGGGTGGGGGGAAGGTGGGGGGAAGAGTGAAAAGGGGAGGAGGAGAAGGGGGCTACAGGAATGAGGAACTAGCGAAAAAGCCACTGAATGGTTGAAGGCAGTGAGAGAACAAACAGAATACCCAAACTCCGTACCTGAGCAATAGCAGCCACCACGAACGGCCCGAGCCACGAGCTGCCCTTGTCGCTGATGGCATAGAGTGAGAAGAAGGCGCCCTCACGGCCCTTGGGAATGAGGTCCACAAACAGCGTGCGTGAGTAGGAGATCAGCGGGCCCAGGCAGAACCCAAACCACCCGGAATAAGCAAACAGCTCCCACGACGCCTTCAGCCCGAGCCCGCCGTCCGGGGTAAAATACCCTAGCAAACCCCAGAGCGGCAGCGGCAGCATGGCTGTCAGCAGCGCTACGACCATCGTCTTGTTGTTCCACGCCAGCTTTTTCTGCAGGTGGTAGGCCAACGGCATCCCAAGCGCAGCCCAGAAGGAGACCGAGGTTGCAATGACTGCGAGCATTGCCGGTTCGACACACAGGTCATGCTGCCCGAACAGCACACCGACTTGAATCACAGTGGAGAATCCATCCGCGTAGATGAAGTAACACAGCATGAACACAAACGCGTTTCGGTACCGCCGCGCCTCGGACACCAGCGCGCCCATGTGCCGCCAGCTGGCGGCGATGGTCAGGGCGGCGTTGCCGCCCGCGGTGGCGGAGGCGGGCGGCGGGGGGCCCGGGCGGGTGCGGAGCCAGAGGAAGGTGAAGATGGAGAAGACAAGCCACCAGAAGCCGCAGAACGCCCCTGCGAGGCGCATCTTGAGCAGGTCGGTGGTGGCGGCGAGCGTGATGACGAACGCTGCTAGGGTTGCCACCACGTCTGCTAGACAGCCCGCCGCAAGACCAATGAGAGAGATTCGGTTCTCAACCTGAAGGGATGGGAGATGGTAGGCGGGGAGAGGAGGGAGGAAATGAACGATGAGCCTAAGTGGAAGGAATTGCCACGAATATTTTTGAGTCGCCTGAAACATAGACTCTGAACCCCTCGCACCTGACCCCTCGCCCTTTACACCTCGCACATATCACCCACCTGTTCCCTGATGGATGCAATCTTCCGAGGCTCCTTAAACATAGACTCTCACCCCCTCGTCCCTTCGTCCTTGCACGTGTCACCCACCTGTTCCCGGATGGACGCAATCTTCTCCTTGTCGCCTGACACCTCAGCGTGCATCACTGCTGGCGTGGCATCCACCAGCACAGGCAGGTAGCTGCCAGCAAGGCGGAATTGGGGGGCATTACGGGACAAGCAATAGGGGCATTGGCAGGAGGCGGAAGGTGAGGAGTTAGAGGGTGGTTCTTGGTGTAGGGTTCTGGAAAATCTCAAAACTACAACCGAGAATTATTGAGGGTGGGGACGGGCCGAGATTAGAGACAAGGGAGGTTAAGACAAGGGCAACAAGGATCATGCCAGCAAAGAGTTGAGGGCCAAAGGAATGCGATCTACAAAGCCTGATCCGTCAACACTTGCTGCCATGCTCCTTTCATGCTCGCACCGGGGAAGCGTGATAAAAAAGGCCCACAGCACTTTCATACACGTTACAGGCTTTCTTTTCTCACCTGTTGTAGCTGATGGTGCAGAGGCCATAGCCCACGTTGGCAATGATGACAAGCAGGTATTTACAGAAGTCACAGAACCTCCATACGCGTCATGGTCTCTCTTTCATACGTGTTATAGTGGCGCTTCAGTCTCACCTGTTGTAGCTGACGGTGCAGAGGCCGTAGCCGACGTTGGCAATGATGACGAGCAGGCCAGCGAACCACCAGTAGGAGCTGTCGCCCAGCACGCCGATCACAATGGACGTCACCACGCCGATCAGCGTTCCCACCTTGAGCAGCTGGAGAGAGGGTTTGAAGAGCATGTGGAATGAATGGGGGAAGCGGTGAGGAGAGGGTGGATAGCAGTGGGGGAGAGTGGAGAGAGCGAGGTAAGGAGATGACGAGCAGGCCAGCGAACCACCAGTAGGAGCTGTCGCCCAGCACACCGATCACAATGGATGGCACCACGCCGATCAGCGTTCCCACCTTGAGCAGCTGGAAAGGGGGAAGGAGGAGAGGGTGGAGAACAATCGAGTATGTAGAGAGAGGGAGGTAAGGTTGGGGACGAGAGCATCAAAAGCCCATCCAACACTTTCTGAATCCCTTTCCCCACGTCCAAGTGGTTAGTGCCATGTCCGTGAAAGGGCCGAGGGAGATGAGAGAACAGCTATGCGGCCAGTGTTGTGATCTTATACGTGAACTTATATGTGATCTTATGTGTGATCTTATATGTACAGAAACCCATACGCATGTCCATGCGGCCAGTGCCGTAGGAGATGAGCGCGAGCAATTGCGTCGTGCGCCACTTTCAACACTTGACTGAGAGCATTTACAACCACCCAAAAGCCACACTCGGAGAATCCCGCCACTCACGTCCATGCGGCCAGTGCCGAAGTCCGTGAAAGGGCCGAAGGAGATGAGCGCGAGCACTTGGCAGATGACAGCGATGCCGATGATGATGGTGGCGTATGACACGGGGTTCACGGCCAGGGGACCCGCGTGCACCATCGGCAGAATCAGGTCCTGGTACCTGCCAGGGGTAGTGGAAGGGGGGAGGGGTGAGGGGGAATGGAAATGTTGGTCTCAAAGACTTCTCAGAATCCAGATGAAAGTGACGCATATGACGATGGTGGGGTCTGGCTCGGGGTTTCCGGCCGTACATTGTTTGAACGTCAAGTACTGTGTTCCGTGTTGTGTTCGGTTCGAATGTCATTCATACTGATGCAACCAGAATTGGTTCGGTGATCCTGCCTTCCAATTGTTCGCTTGTTTCTATCATTGCCCTTTCTAGAACGCACGTACCCTGCAGCGGTGACGAGCTGGTCGCCGCGTCCCGGAATGCATTTGACGCAGTTGACCGACACGGAGTCGCTGCAGTTGGGCGGTTTCGAGTCCCCCGCCTGCATTCACGCGTGGTACGCGTCGGCAAGAAAGGAAAGGAGCGGATGAGACAGATACGATGCATTTTAACTCGCGAACGTTACTGCTCGCCTGCATTATGGTGGGAATATTTCCATTTCGTTTGCACTCACGCGTGCGTCGGCAAGCAGGAGCAACAGGTGAGAGGGACGAAAAGGATACTCAAGAATGCTACGTATTTTGATGCTTACGTTGTGAATCCCCTGGGCAAGAAGAATGTAAAGGTACATCAACAGCTGTTTCGAATAAATCATCTCATCTCCGCAACCAGGCGTGTGTGTCGGCTCGAGAAGAAGACGCTCATTGGAAGGTGTTACATTTACGTTCTCGGTAATGTACGGGGAAAAATATAACATTCTCACCTGCAGCCACGCGTGTGCTTCGGCGAGCAGGAGAAGCAGGAGCGGGAAGAAGATGGGCATAGCGACGGAGCTGAATGCGTTGACGGCCACATTGTACGAGTACCACCCGTATAGCTCCCACTTGTTCACCGGCGTCTTCTTATCGCTCGGCTCTAACCCTACCGATGCTAGACTCGACATGGCTGGTCTAGAATATCAGAGCAGATGCAGTATTGACTGATATGTTCTCCAGAATCTGCGAGTTTTGTGCGTGACGAAGAGGTCTAGTTAACGGTTTAGGAAATGAAGAGGAGAGCACAACGAAAGCTTTCCTGCTGCAAATGGTGGTAACAAGCTACAACGCGGACCCTCACTTGGTCAAGGTCTTACACAGAACCACTAAGTTCCTGGGGAGCAATGCTCAATCTACCAAGCAACGTCTGAAGACAGAGTATTCTAAAGATGCAGGACAATCGGAAAATGCTCAAGGGAAGCGGTACTAAATCAGTTGCGGTATTGGGCATGGATCCTAGAATTTATGCCAAAGCACAGTGAATTGGGTGAATGAAGAGTGGAAACAAAGAGGAAACCGAGAACTCTTTTCTCTTGCGTTTGTGAAGTGGGTCGGATCTCCCCTTTCAGTCCCGCTCCGCCTTCCCGCCTTCTTTTCTCGTGCAGGATTATCACAGGAGTCTACGGGGCTCCTGATTGGTTGAGATTTTCCGGCAAGGTCTAGGGAGTGGTGGGTTCAGAACTCGACAGCCTGGTCCTGCGCTTTCTGTCTGATACACACAGGTCCGCCGAATCGCTACCGTCCGTAGCCTCACCTCACCTCACCTCACCTCACCGCATCTCATCTCCATCGCTTGGTTTGCCCTGGCTCACCTACAAACTGATCGCGTAACAGAAGCCGAGAAATAAGTCAGATATAACTACACTACACCTACTTAACTCCGTATAGATACATTTCAAAATCATCTGTCATCACCCTACCATCGTCGTTTGCCACTAGCTTTTGACAACCCCATGGCCCCCGCCGATGGCTCAGAGGTGGCGGATGCAGGCCTTATAGGGCCACCTTCTCCAAGCTCACGCTTCCCATGTGATACGCGTTTCAATACGTTTGCCACACAAGGGACAACTGCAAGCCATATGAGGGCATGCTGGACGGCAGAGGTGGAAAGGTGTGCACATGCGTTCGGCTCCATCCCAAACCAGACGCATGATCGACAGACGTCGCGGGACATCAAGGAGGAGGTCTGGGCCGAAGTCTCTTGGGCGGTTAGAGAGAAAATAGTGCGTCAGATCCCTTAGCGAGATTAGGTGAGCATCCTTGACGTACTCGGCTGCATCTTGAAGCGGCTGAAGGGCTGCCCAAAGGACGAAGCAGGCACACTAGTCTTCCTAGCGTTTTTGAATCTCATCTTACGCGCGCCACCATCTTAGGCAAGCCAGGCCCATAACCCCCTAGGCCATGGGGGGTTATAAATATGGAGTGTACTGGGGGGCTTTGGGATGGGACGTGGCGTCAGCTGTACGTTTCTGTCAGAATCCCAGCCACTAACCAATAGGATAAAAAGGCTTGTTTGTGTAGCGAGAGAGTGCACCAATAACCCCCCAGGCCAACATGCATGTAACCATTCTGTAGGATCAATCGAGGATCTCGAGTGCATCTGTGACAGTTTCTGCCACGACCACAGCACGCTCGGCTGCCAAATGACCAGGAACCTAACGCAATCCAACTGGTACAGTGTCAAGTGTGGTGTAAAATGGGTGCTTGGAGCTAAGGGTCGGCTTGCCTTATAGTGGGGGAGTTGGTGCGTCAGTCCGAGGTGATGGTAGACTCGTTGCACTTGCAGCACCTCCAATCCCCATAGTGATGCAAAACCGGTCTCCAACGGTGAGGTGTTGCCACACATCTATGCACAAGCGCGTTGCATAGTACTTCGTCCAACCATGGCGTCTCATTTCCTGCCATGTTACCAATTGAGGGCTGGAACTAGGGAGGGAGTCAATAAACACTTCCATAATCTTCGCTAGACTCTCACAATCCACCCTGACTAATGAGCGTTGCGGATAGACGTCACTGTTAAGAACGGAATGATGCATTGATGGTGTTGGTTGGGTTATATAAACCTAACCCTAACAACTGTACCCCATATGACAAGCCTCACAATTGACTACAACATTTGACACACCCCCATAGCCTAAGTGAGGGGTGTCTAGCAAAACCAACACAGTACGGTCACAAGACCAGTCACAAGAAACAAAACTCAGGGTGGATCACAACGACACCACACAGTCTGAGCACAAGCAAAAGAGACCACAAAGCCAGTCCAAGAGTTCAGAGGGGTATATCTAAAGCGTACAAGCAAAGCAAGCAGAGAACTCAAGTCTACGCAAGACGAGAACCTGTGTCAACAAGACCTAACTGCACACAACATCTCTCTCTGGTGGTCACAAGGCGGAAGCGCCTTTGTGAAGATGTCCGCAGTGTTGGCCTCGGTTTCCACAAACTCAAAACAAGCCTGTCCACGCCTCTGCAACTCTCTCAGTAGGAAGTACCTGACGTTAATGTGCTTCACTCTGCTCTCCAGTCGCGGCTCTCGACAAAGGAGAATCGACGCCTTGTTGTCAGTGAACAAGGTCGGTGCAGAGCTCGGCCGCTCACCAAGGTCGGCGAGCAAGAAGGTCAACCAGCGCAGCTCCTGTGCCGCCATGGCACCAGCGCAGATCTAAGCCTTAGTGGTAGAGGTCGAGACCGAGGAGGAACGCGTGGACCTCCACGAAACAGCTCCAGAACTGAGATTGAAGCAGTACCCCTGAGTAAACCTCTGAGTCTCAGCGTCGTCAGCGTAAGAAGAGTCACAGTGACCAGTAAGTACGACAGACTGCTGCCCTCCAAGAACCAGCCCCACGCCTGATGTCGTTGCTAGGTACTTCGCCACCCTCACAGCTGCTGTCCAGTGAACAGGACGGTGTCTCCCTGGCGCAACAAAGCGAGCAAGGATTGTTAACGGGAGTGAGTGTTGGCCCCGCCCTCGCTTGGGCAACGCCGACGACTTGGTCGGATGTACGAGAGTTGCAGCCGACCGTTCACAGTGGGAGAGCTGCTCGACAGGTTTCGTCGAGCTGCAGGGGACCGCTGTGGTGTTGCTGTTGACTAAGGAGCTCGACAACTGCAACGCACTAGTCTGGGCGACGAGTGGCCCGTCGACCAGGAGGGGCAGTTCGACCGGGAGGTCGACGGAGCTGCCGGTCGACCTACAGTTCGACCGGGGAGGTCGACGGAGCAGCTGTCGACTTGACAAGTGAGCAGCGGTCGACGAGGGGAGCTCGGCGACGACTGCAGACAGTTCTGGTCGCCGGAAGGGGTCCGTCGACCAGGGGGTAGCTCGACGGGAGCTGTGGTCGACCAGGGGCACCTGGTGGTCGACCAGAGGGAGCTGTGGTCGACCAGAGGCACCTGGTGGTCGACCGGAGGCACTGGTGGTCGACCAGAGCACCTGGTGGTGTCCAGGTCGACCAGGTAACCTGCTCGGCGAGTTCTGCGGAGGCACGCGAACGTCGTCGAGGTTACGATGACGAAGGCGACTTCGGGTTCGTATCCGGAAGTCGATGTGGCTCGTCAGGCGCAGACGATAGCCGACGGATGTACAATGAAGCATGTCGGGCCAATCGTCTGCGCGCACATGCGAGCGTGCGCACTGCTGTCTCATACGGGGCAACGCTGGACAGCCGCACTGCTGCAGCGTTGGCACGCCATCGACCTGCAGTGTTGGCAGGTCGCCCTTCTGCAGTGCTGGCGCGGCTCCTCTACGCAACGCTGGCAGGCGGTCGACCAGGCTAGCTGCAGGGTTGCTAGGTGCCTGATGTAGTCATTGTTGTCATTGCTTGTTCCATCATTCTGTGATTCCAACTTTGAACTAAGCAAAGCTACGATCACTCCTAGTAGTTCGTGCCACCTCCCGTAGTCTAGCTCACTACCGTTGTAGAGTGACTCTCTGCAAGGATGCTGAGAGGGAAGGCGAGGTCCAGGCGAGTACAAGTCATTAGGTGGTTGAGACAGCCCACAAGCTCTGCGTAAGGACCACTAGGCTCAAACGGCTCGTCAGGAAAGGGTCCAGTGAGTCTGTGGTCAACAGCGAGAGGTGTGCGCTGTACTGTGGAGTGTTGAAGCTCGAACCGCTGAAGGACCTGCTGCACCATGTGTGACTGTGAGAGTGTAATGGTGCAAGCAGCTCTGTCCCTGGTGATCTGCAGGCCAAGGTAGTGGCGCAGCTCACAAAGGTTTGTGCACATGTGTCTCTTCTGCAGTTCGGACTTCACGTCAGCCAAAGCAACCCTGTCAGCAGTGACGATATGCGATGTTCGAGAGGTTGCATGATTCCCATTTCCTGGGCGTTTATTATGGAACACACAGCGACTTTTACCTGTGGTAGGCCCTTTTGTGGAGGCCCTAGTTTCTGCACAGAAGTTGAGACAGGAAGACCCACTCGACCCCTTTTTTTTTGCATTCGCACAACAGAAGGTTAAGAAGCCGATCATCGAGGATTTCGTGGACATCCTGTTCTTGGAGGCTTTTGGCGTGTTGTGGAGCAGTTGCAGAGGGTGGGGTTGCAGGTGCGGGCGGACCATGGTTTGTTATACCTTTAGGTGGTTTGCACCATACTTGATTATGCTTACTTTAGTATTTTAACAAATCCCAGTGAAACCAGGCAATTTCGATAACCAGCGTGCCAGCAGAACCCAAGCACTCGGCATTTCCCATGACAGTTTCGATGGCTTCCACTTCAATGGCTGCTCTCGAACTTGTCCTTCAGAACTGACCACAATGGACCGACCGACCTTGGGTTCTTTTCCAGGTAACCATCTTCTAGGCAGTTTATGAGGGAAAAGCCTAGTCGATCGGCTCTATTCGATGCCAGTGCATGAGGGAATTTCGAAAGATTTGGCAATTTTTCTGGCAAGACGGACGAACAATCTTGAACGCTGATGCGTACAACGTCATTCTAGCAATTTTCAGCCATGGACGAGACGGCGTCGCTCTTCTTCCAGCTTTCTCCCCAGCAATCCCTCCCGCCTCGGGTTAACGACATTCCCGCAGCCGCTGATTGGCTGCGAAGCTTCGCCGGCCACAGCTGGCTGGCTTACGGGGCCGGTGGCTGCGTTGTAATCACAACCGCTCCGTGGCTCGTGCACGGCAGCGGCGCGCGAGAGGACAGCCTGCCACGTGGCGCTCGTTTCTATCACCAGGTCCTGGAACTCCCGCCGTCGCTCAATCCAGAATCTGCTGACGAGGATCCCGCGAACCGCTCATTCCCCGTCTTAACCAACATCTTGGCTGTCCAGAGAAGAGCAGAAGGGGAAGCTGCAAGGAAATTACCGGCTGTGGAGGATAGGGATCAGGTAGCCGTTGTGACATGGGCATCACCAGATAGTACCTTGGCGGGCGTTCTAGCTGCAGCTAAGGGAACATGCATTTACCTCTTCGCTCCAAGCTGCCAAGGTAATGACACCTTGATTGCTAATTCTTTCGCTTTTGCACGTAATTTATATCTCCCCGTCATGGAGTCTCAGTTGGTTTATCCTGGTTCTTTTTTCGATATCATCGTTGGTATTAGAGGTCTGCAGTACTCCCCTTGCCTCTGTTCATCCGTTGTGCTGTGCAGAAATATCTTTCTTGTAGCTGCCTGCTACATGTACCCAGTTCCCTTCTGGTGTCAATTTTCACAGCAAGCAGTTTGAATGAACTATCTTTCCGCTGCTCCTTCTGTTCGTCTCTGCAGAAATCCCACTCTCATGACGGCCTGCTCAGTTCCCTTCTAAGGCATGTCTTTTAGCAGATGGCCTGAATGAATTTCCTCCCTCCTGTTCCTTTCCGTGCCTCCCTATGTCGCCTCTGCAGATATTCCTCTCTCATGGCGGCCTGCCCTGCCCAGCTAATATATTTTCCTTCCAAGGTCCTCTCCCTCGCATTGACTGGCTCAGCAGACAGATTGAATGCAGAAATCCCTTTTCCCTCTTCCTTGCGGCTGTTCGTCTCTGCAGATATCCCGCTCTCATGGCGGCCTGCTCAGCAGATTCAGTTCCCTTCCAAGGTCATCTCCCTCGCATGGATGGACTGGGTTAGAAGACATTGAAATCTGAGACCCCTTTCTCTTTGCTTTGCTATTCGCCTCTGCAGATATCCCGCTCTCATGGCGGCCCGCTCAGCTGATCCAGTTCCCTTCCAAGGTCACCTCCCTCGCATGGACTGGCTCGGCGGACGGTCTTCTGATCAGCGGCGAATCAAATGTCGCCATGTGGCACCGTTCGAAGAAGAAGCAGCAGAGCACGGCCCTGCTGCAGCCGCTGACGTGTCTGTGGCAGGTGCAAACAAGTGTCGCGCAGGGACTGGCCGCGACCTCGCTGCATGCAGATGGATTCGCTGCTACTGCTGACGTGGCAGGAGATGGAGGAGAAGGAGGTGGAGGAGGAGGAGCATTTGGAGGAGTGGGGTCGGCATGGGGACGCCCGAAGGGCATGGCGAGGGTGTGGTATTACTGGGGAGGCAAGTGCTCCTTTGATGCTGATGATGATGCGGAGGGTGCAAGCAGACAACGATTAGCCAATGGGACGAGTCAAGGGGTTGTGCGTGGGGATGGAGAGGGTATGAGGGATACGGAGGCTGATGTAGGAGGGGATGAGGAGGGTGCGGAGGAGGACGGGGAGGAGGATGAGGAGGAAGATGAGGAGGATGATGCTGTGTCTGTTGTTGATCTGCCACACCCCGCACCTGTGCTGGCAGTTCAGTGGAGACCACAAGATGCAGCCTCCCAGCTTTTGTCCTCTTCTGGGGTAGGTGCAACTGGTGCCGGTGCAGCTGGAACAGGCGGATCAGGTTCGGCGCCGTACCACCGTCCGATCCTGCTGACCTGTGCTGAAGATGGCACGGTGCGGCTTTGGATGGAGATTGACAGTGGCAGCAGTCGAACCAAAGCTGGAGGCTCGGCAGGAGCGGCAGGTTCGGGGAGCCGGGCCGGGAGCAGATTAAGCTCGCCGAAGCACCCTGGGAGCAGCAGGTACGGGAACCAGAACGAGAATCCGAACCTGGAGGCTGGGTTCGGCCAGAAGGGAAGGAAGGGGATTTTGAGGCAATCATCTGAAGAGGGGAGATGGGCGCCCCCGCCTGCTTTCTTTGTCTGTGCTGTTGTTGACGGGAATATGACTCTTGGAGGGAGATTGGGGATGGATATATCTGTGCTGTGGGCAAAGGAGGTTCGGGTGGGCGATGGGAGCAAGACTGTGAGTGTGGGAGGAGGGGGAGGGGGAGCCGCAGGAGGGAAGGGGTCATTTGGGGTTGAGGTGATACAGGGAGGTGACGTGGCTCCCTGTGAGTGGCTGGTTGGCGTGGGGCCACGTGGCACTGTGGTTCTCTGGGCGGTGTTTTGCCTAGATGACACGTCACCGCCTCGCTGTCCGCGCGTGATGATGTGGCAGCAGGCAACTGGCGTCCTTCAGGATAAGGCTCTCAACAACACAAGCTTGGAGGAACACACTCACAATCACACCCACAACAGTCACTCTCACCGTTCCAGCCCTACCACCCACCTCATTTCAGCCATAGTCCAAAGAGTCACCGGCCAGTCGGGGAGCCCTCCAATGGCTGTCGAAATTGCAGAGAAGCTGCCCGGAAGCTTCGTGCGCTGGTCCCGCCTGTGGCCGCCCGTGCTAGCAATTGGAGCCGGGGGGAAGCTGGGGCCCAGGATTGGTGGCAGCTCCACGGATGGGCATGGGGCAACAGGGGGGGTCGGAGGAGGGGTGCAGCATGGCAGTACGGGTTACAGCAGCCACAACAACAGCAGCGGTCACATGAACAGCAGCAGCGGCGGCGCTACTGCCAGCAGCAGGAGGGCAGCATGGGGGTCCGTGAGTCAGCACGTGCATCTGACAGGGCATAGAGGGGCGATCACAGAGGTAGCCGTTCACCCAGCACCAGGCTTCCCTCTTGCCGCTACCTTAGATGCTCATGGTAACACTCTCCTATGGGGCCCTCGTGCCCCTCCCTGGCTCCCTCTCCTCACGGAAACCCCAGAAGGTGCTTCTAACGAGTGGGTTTTGCTGGGTTCTCTTCCACCGGCTGTTGCAGGCAGTGGTGGAATCGGATATGAGAGGGGTTTTGCACGGTTGGCATGGGTGCCTGTGCTGCTGCCAGGTGGCGCCAGCATACTGGCTGTTGCGGGCACGGGGAGTGTAGAGCTGTATCTAGTGAGGCGCGTGTGTGAGGGGAGGGAGGGAGAGCATACAGGGGGGAGCGAGCATCAAGGGGAGCACAGGGAACACAGTGACCATGGGGTTCATGGAGGTGGGTATGTTGGCGATGGAGAGGAGGAGCGTGCAGAGTGCAAATGGCTGTGCTCTCTCACTCGCCTGAGCGCATCCCCGGAAGCACCTGCAGAGGAAGCTGCAGGTGTTGCCACTACAGCTGCCGCTTCAGGTGCTGCTACAGCCAGTCCGTTCCTGGGTGTTGCCTGCCTGCCTCACATGCCCCACTCTGCTGCCCATTCTGCATCCTCAACTCCAACCAATTCAGCAGCTGCTGGTCTGGCCAGGCCAGGCAGAGGAGAGAGGAGGGGGATTCGAGTGGTGGGTGTGCGGCAGGGCGGGCTATGTGTGTGCGTGTGGACTGTGGAGATATGCATTCAGAGGGGTGAGACAAGGGTGGTCGTGCACACACAGACGGAGTCGGCGGGATGTAGGGCTATCACTGACGAGGGGAAAGCAGGGGAAGGCGAGGAAGGAGCGGAAGGAGTGGAGGGAGCAGCATGGGAAGAGAATGCCGTTGGCTGGCTGGTGGGTGTGGTGGGTGTTGGTGGGGCCGAGGGAGGAGGGGAGAAAGGAAAAGGAGGGGAACGAGGGGAGGGAGAGGGCGGAGGGGGGGTAGCAGCTGTAACGACGAGCACACGTGTGATCCGGTTCCCCAGCAGCCGCCGGGTCACGTGCCTTCACTGCGCCCCTGTGAATGACTCGATATGGGTGTCTCAACTAAAATCACATGGTGCAGATGGTACTTTGCATAAGGGAGGAGGGAAACATGCCGCTGCTGATGGTACTGGGACTGCTGGCAGTGCTGGTGCATCTGGTTCTTCTGAATTGCAGGCCTTGCAAGAGATGTTGAGTCGAAGGGGCTGGCTGGAGGATGCTGGCGGTTTGCTTTCAGGGGCAGGAGCTGCTTCTGCTGCTTCCGGGCAGTTTGAATCTGGGCAGTTTGAGTCTGGACAATTTGGATCCGGGCAGTTTGGTTCTGGGCAGTTGTCTGCCCGTTTTGAGCTGCCCAAGGGGAAGCACGCAGAGGAGAAGGAGGGTTTGCCTTATGAGTTTGCTGTTGGGTGCAGCGATGGGTGCATGCGATTTTGGAAGGAGACGGGAATTGAGGCCGCAGTGAGTTGTGACACAAACGATACAGCAGCAGCAGCTGGAGCAGCAGCCACAGCAGCACCAACGATGGAAAAGATCAGCAGCTCTGGAGCTTGGGAATGCGTTGGCTGCGTTAGAGTGTCCTCTGGTCCCGTTATAAGCAGCAGCGCATGTCCGAGCGGAACCTTGTTTGCTTCAGTGGCAGGAGGGGCAGACACAACAGCAAACGAGACAGCAACTGAAACAGTCTCTGCTGCAGCAGACGCTGAAACAGAGAGGGGGATAGCAACGGGAACCACTGTGTCCCTTTGGGAAATGCTTCCTGCTGCCATTCATGGCTGGTCATCCTTTCGACTGGAAGGCGAAATTCAAGTATCTCTAGCCCCGCTAACTTCTTCAACAGCTGGGGCTGCATTGGCCGAGCCTGGTGCTCTGGAATGGTTGGGGGGGCCCGAAGCAGTGCTCATGGCTTGGCACGATCCTGGCAGCGGCCATTCACTTCTTGCAGTAGCCGCCGCAGCTAGGGTTTGTGTCTTTGCACGCGCCCGCACCCCTGCTCCTCTTCCCCTTGATCCCAATTCCACCAACCCCCTAAGCTCCTCTGCTAGTGCCTCTGCTGATGGTGTGACTGGGACTGGGGGTGGTAGTGGCAGTGGCACTGCTGCTGCTGGTTCAGGCCAGGACCGGGGCAGTGTTTATCAGGAATGGAATCGGTCGGGAGGAAGGATCCAGGAAGCTTCAACGGGGAGGCGTGATTCGGTGGAGGCGGCAGGGGGAGGGGGGTGGAAAGCCCCTGGGTGGGCGGGGTGGGTGGAGGTGGGGCGGGTAGACCTGGTGGAGGTGGGATCTGTGCGGTGCTTGTCGTGGACCCCACAGGGGGTGCTGCTGGTGGGGACGGGGCAGCAGCTGCTGGTAATCAGCCCTGTGATGCGAGCCGAGGCAGCGATAGCAGCAGTAGGAGTGACAGAAGTAGTTGTAGGCTCAGCAGCAGGGGCTGGTGCAGCTGATGTGACACCAGTAACAGCAGCAGGAGGAGGAGGAGGAGGAGGAGGGGGAGGAGCAGGGGCAGGTAGCGTAAGGCCAGGGATTACAGGAGGCAAGGTTGGGCTTGGGTTTGCCTATTCCCGAGAGCCATCAGCAGCGGACCTTTCCCTGTCCGTCTCCCCTTGGCTCTCCCCTGCCACATCACACCTCAGTCTTTCCTCAATGTCCCACATCAGCCTCACAGACCTTGCGGTTGTGGCTTCCCGAAGCGGCAGGTCCGGGGCTGGCGCGCAGGCTCGGCCCGTGGCTCGGGTATCCAGCCGCCTGTCTCTGCCGCTGTCGGCGTCCGACCCGGCTCTAGCAGCGGTTCAGAGTGTTCTGAGTGGGGCAGGTACAGCAGGGACAGGCACAGCAGGGGCAGGTATAGGAGCAGGATTAGGGTCAGGAGTAGGAGGGGCAGGAGGGGCAGGAGGGGCAGGAGGGGCAGGAGGGGGAGGAGGAGGGGGAAGGGCAGGAGTGCTAGGAGGGGGACGGGTGATGCCATACACTCCTTCTGCTCCCAACTTTGGCCTTCTGGGCAGCCCTGCAAAGCATGACGCTGGCAGCAGTGGGGGACGGTTCACAACAGGAGAGGCAGGAGGAGTAGCAGGAAGTGAGATAACTCCAGAAGGAGGCTTGGGTGCTGGTTCGGAGGATGTGAAAGTATCCGCGCTGGTTCGGGCGCTGGACGGCAGCGGGCGGCTGCTGCTGTCCGATGCGGTGGCAGCAGTGGCATCAGTTGTCCCTGACTACCACCCAACGGCTATCTGGACTCTACTCAATCAGGGCCTAGTGCCTTCTGCACGGGCATGCATCCGCCACCTCTCCCGCTCCCTCGCTGCAGCGCAAGCCAAGGCTCACAGTCAACAGCAGATCAAGGGTTTCTACTCTCAGACCTGCACTGGTTCTTGCATCTCTCCATGTGTCCCCTATTCGCAGCTCTGCCTCCCTGAAGCCTCCTCCTCTGCCTCCGGTGCTCTTGCCTCGACTGCTGCTGGTGGTGGGTCTGCGGCTTCTGCTGTCTCATCCGGACGTTTGTCGGGGGGGTTAGGAGGAGATTTTGGTGGGTTTGGAGGGGGTTTCAGTGGGTTCAGCAGCGCAGGAGAAAGCAGCATGGGAAGCAGGTCTGGTGGGGGGTTTGGGGGCGCTGGAGGGGGGACTAGTGCTAGGGCGAGTAGTGGTGGTGGTGGTGGTGGAGGTGGCTCCAAGCAAGCGTATAATCCATTCAGTCTCGTGAACTTGAGAAGTGCTTTGGACGACAGTGATGGGGAGGAGGAGGAGGAAGGGGTGGGAGTGGGTGGGAAGAGAGGGGCAGCAGCGGCTGGAGCAGGAGAGAGCGGCAAGGGTGCTGATAGCGGTGGTGGTGGAGGAGGGTTGGGAGTGAAGGGTGGAGGGGGAGGGGTTGTTCCTCCTGCAGTGTTGCGGTGGCAGCAGCTGCAGCAGCGGGTGCTGGTGGGGGGGCAAGCGCCCTTCACAGAGGCCGAGGCAACAGCCATCTTCCAGGTGCTATCTGAGGCAGGTGGGACCTGCAGCATCAGCACCACCTCTGGTGGTGGTGGTGGTACACGGGTGGCTGATGTTCGGTACACCTGTGGGTTGACAGCAGCGGAGGCGGACATGGTGGTGGTGTTATTAGACGTGCTTGCAGCCATGGATGGGGTGGGCGTGAAGGAGGAGGAGGCGCTGCAGCAGCAGCCCGAGGGGGGTCTACCATTGGCACCATCGTCAGCAGCAGCAGCAGCAGCAGCACCATCAGCAGCAGCAGCAGCAGCGTCGGTCGCGCGAGCAGTCACAGCTTTGGATGAACCAGGAAAAAGGTAGTTTGTCGTCTCTTCTCTTGTCTTACCCCACCCATCCCCCCCCCCCCCCCCCCCTCTTCCTCTTTTCTCCGTTTTGACCCATCTTGCTCCCCACCCTCACATTCTTCTCCCACCGTCTGGCACTTCTTCCTAGCTGGCAGCGCACTATACATCTGCATGCAAATAGATCTCTCACTTCTCACCTCTCGCCTCTCACCTCTCACTTCTCTTCTTCTCCCCTCTCTCCATCCCTCCTGCAGGTTCTGGCTCGCACTCCACCTCTCCCGTGCAGCGAAGAAACACCAGCAGCGCCGTGCCGCCGCTGCTGCTGCAGCCGCAGCCGCAGCAGCTGAAAAGGCCGCATCTGCAGCAAGCACCAGAGCAGGAGCAGCAGCCTCTGCCTTCGCCTCCTCCACTGACCGTAGGCTCAGCAGCAGCAGCAACAGGTCGGGGGGAGGTTCATCTGGTGCAGGTGCAGCTGGAATCGGGCAGCAGCAGCAGCAGCAGGGGCAGGGGCAGGGGCAGCAGGGGCAGGGGCAGCAGCAGGGGCAGGGGCAGGAGGGGCAGTTGGAGGTGGAGTCGCGTGCGGTGGCGTGGGCGGTGCACACGGAGTCAGTGGGTGATGTGGTGAATGCATGCCTGCATGATGCCGACAAGCCCACATGGGCGGGGTTGAGAGCTCTAGGAGTGGGGTACTGGCTCTGCAACACCTCGCAGCTCAGACAGCTGGTGGGTCTATGGCTATCTGTGGTCTACATCTTTCATGCGATGGAGTGCGGTAGAGTGTGGTGGTTTGCTTGCAAGGTGGTGGTACCTGGTACCTGGTAGGTACGTAGCTGGTAGCGTGGGCGGTGCACACGGAGTCAGTGGGTGATGTGGTGAATGCATGCCTGCATGATGCCGACAAGCCCACGTGGGCAGGCCTCAGGGCCTGGGCGTGGGGTACTGGCTCTGCAACACCTCGCAGCTCAGACAGCTGGTGGGTCCATCTCTTTCTTTAATCTATCATGTGATGGAATGTGGTGGAGTGTGGTGGAGTGTGGTAGAGTGTGGTGCTTTGCAATGAGTGGTGGCACCTGCTGACAAGTTTACCTGGGCGGGGCTCAGGGCGCTGGGCGTGGGGTACTGGCTCTGCAACACCACGCAGCTGGTGGGTGTATGTATGGCCATCTATATTCTATCTTGTGGTGGAGTGCGGTGGAGTGTGGTAGAGTGGTGCTTTGCAATGAGTGGTGGCACCTGCTGACAAGTTTACCTGGGCGGGGCTCAGGGCGCTGGGCGTGGGGTACTGGCTCTGCAACACCACGCAGCTGGTGGGTGTATGTATGGCCATCTATATTCTATCTTGTGGTGGAGTGCGGTGGAGTGTGGTGGTTTTCTAACGCCGCTGGTTCTGCACCCTTGCCACCCGCTCCATCTCTTTCCCTCTCTTACCGCACCACCCCTTTCCCACCCCTCCCACCGTCAGATGGAGCGAGTGGCGCGGGCGCAGTACCAGCAGAGGCGGGATCCCAAGGACTGTGCGCTGCTCTACATGGTGCTGGACCGCCGCTCCGTGCTGCACGGGCTGCTCAAGCTGAGCCGTGACGACAGGGACAAGAAGCTGGTGGACTTCCTGGGGAGGGATTTCACGGTACGCGTGTGTGTGAAATTCTATGAGTGAAGTGGACGCTGCTCTACATGCTGCTAGACCGCCGCTCCGTGCTGCATGGGCTCTTCCTGGGCCGAGACTTCACGGTACGTGTGTGTGTGAAATTCTATGAGTGAAGTGGACGCTGCTCTACATGCTGCTAGACCGCCACTCCGTGCTGCATGGGCTCTTCCTGGGCCGAGACTTCACGGTACGTGTGTGTGTGAAATTCTATGAGCGAAGTGGACGCTGCTCTACATGCTGCTAGACCGCCGCTCCGTGCTGCATGGGCTCTTCCTGGGCCGAGACTTCACGGTACGTGTGTGTGTGAAATTCTATGAGTGAAGTGGACGCTGCTCTACATGCTGCTAAACCGCCGCTCCGTGCTGCATGGGCTCTTCCTGGGCCGAGACTTCACGGTACGTGTGTGTGTGAAATTCTATGAGTGAAGTGGACGCTGCTCTACATGCTGCTAGACCGCCGCTCCGTGCTGCATGGGCTCTTCCTGGGCCGAGACTTCACGGTACGTGTGTGTGTGAAATTCTATGAGTGAAGTGGACGCTGCTCTACATGCTGCTAGACCGCCGCTCCGTGCTGCATGGGCTCTTCCTGGGCCGAGACTTCACGGTACGTGTGTGTGTGAAATTCTATGAGTGAAGTGGACGCTGCTCTACATGCTGCTAGACCGCCGCTCCGTGCTGCATGGGCTCTTCCTGGGCCGAGACTTCACGGTACGTGTGTGTGTGAAATTCTATGAGCGAAGTGGACGCTGCTCTACATGCTGCTAGACCGCCGCTCCGTGCTGCATGGGCTCTTCCTGGGCCGAGACTTCACGGTACGTGTGTGTGTGAAATTCTATGAGTGAAGTGGACGCTGCTCTACATGCTGCTAGACCGCCGCTCCGTGCTGCATGGGCTCTTCCTGGGCCGAGACTTCACGGTACGTGTGTGTGTGAAATTCTATGAGTGAAGTGGACGCTGCTCTACATGCTGCTAGACCGCCGCTCCGTGCTGCATGGGCTCTTCCTGGGCCGAGACTTCACGGTACGTGTGTGTGTGAAATTCTATGAGCGAAGTGGACGCTGCTCTACATGCTGCTAGACCGCCGCTCCGTGCTGCATGGGCTCTTCCTGGGCCGAGACTTCACGGTACGTGTGTGTGTGAAATTCTATGAGTGAAGTGGACGCTGCTCTACATGCTGCTAGACCGCCGCTCCGTGCTGCATGGGCTCTTCCTGGGCCGAGACTTCACGGTACGTGTGTGTGTGAAATTCTATGAGCGAAGTGGACGCTGCTCTACATGCTGCTAGACCGCCGCTCCGTGCTGCATGGGCTCTTCCTGGGCCGAGACTTCACGGTACGTGTGTGTGTGAAATTCTATGAGTGAAGTGGACGCTGCTCTACATGCTGCTAGACCGCCGCTCCGTGCTGCATGGGCTCTTCCTGGGCCGAGACTTCACGGTACGTGTGTGTGTGAAATTCTATGAGTGAAGTGGACGCTGCTCTACATGCTGCTAGACCGCCGCTCCGTGCTGCATGGGCTCTTCCTGGGCCGAGACTTCACGGTACGTGTGTGTGTGAAATTCTATGAGTGAAGTGGACGCTGCTCTACATGCTGCTAGACCGCCGCTCCGTGCTGCATGGGCTCTTCCTGGGCCGAGACTTCACGGTACGTGTGTGTGTGAAATTCTATGAGTGAAGTGGACGCTGCTCTACATGCTGCTAGACCGCCGCTCCGTGCTGCATGGGCTCTTCCTGGGCCGAGACTTCACGGTACGTGTGTGTGTGAAATTCTGAGTGAAGTGGACGCTGCTCTACATGCTGCTAGACCGCCGCTCCGTGCTGCACGGGCTGCTCAAGCTCAGCCGAGATAACAGGGACAAGAAGCTGGTGGACTTCCTGGGCAGGGATTTCACGGACGTGCGTAGAAACGTACTGCACTGCACTGCACCGTATTGCACCGCACTGCACCGTACTGCACCGTACCGTACCATACCGTTCCATACCCATCTGCGAAGTCCTAAAAAAAGGAAGGGTTTCTTGGGGGGTCGCTGCACAGGCTCCCTTCTCCTTCCCGCACCCTCTTTTTTTTTTGCCCCTGTGCTCTCCCACCCACCCAGATATGCACCCCCCCCTTTCCCTCTTCTGCTTCCCCTAAACCCCCACTCTCTGGTATTCCCACTGTTCACCGGAGCAGGAGGAGCGGCACAGGGCGGCGGCACAGGGCAGCTGCACTAAAGAACGTGTATGTGTTGCTGTCGCAGCACCGCTTTGACCTTGCAGCCACCTTCTTCCTCCTGGGCGACGACATTCCCTCCGCCGCCTCCGTGTGCGCGCACAACCTCAACAACCCGCAAGTGGCACTCCCCCTCGTGCTGTGCTGCCAGTGGCCAAACTAGTGCCTTCACCCGGATATGCCTCTCACCACCGATCCCCCTGTGCCCCATTCCCCCTGTTTCTCCGGGCAGGAGGAGAGGCACAGGGCGGCAGCGTTGAAAAATGCGTACGTGCTCCTTTCGCAGCACCGCTTTGACCTCGCAGCCACCTTCTTCCTCCTGGGCGACGATATCCCCTCTGCTGCCTCCGTGTGCGCGCGCAACCTCAACGACCCCCAGCTGGCGCTCGTGCTGTGCCGGCTGAGAGAGGACAAGGCGGGGGCAGCGGCATATTCAAAGGATGTGATTCAGCGCCTGCTGCTGCCAGATGCTGTATCGAAAGGGGACACCTGGATGGTCTGCACGCTCAAGGTGAGAAAGTGACATCCCCTCCGCTGCCTCCGTGTGTGCCTTGATGCAACCTCAACGACCCCCAGCTGGCGCTCGTGCTGTGCCGGCTGCGGGAAGACAAGGCGGGGGCGGCAGCGTACTCTCGGGATGTGATTCAGCGCCTGTTGCTGCCAGATGCTCTTTCGAAGGGGGACACCTGGATGGTTTGCACACTCAAGGTGAGAGGAGTTTGAATTTGTTGAAGGTCATGTTTGTATCTTATCACCCTGCAGCATCATTCGATCGCAGCACACGGAACCTATCCTATGCCCTTCCTGCCCTCCCACTCCATCCCCTATCTGCCCCCTTTCACAGTGGCTTGTGGGGCAAAAACTCGGAGCCCTCTAAACTAAGTCCTTGTCTTGTCTTCTAAGTTGACTCTTGTGTCGACTTAAAAGTCATCTGCTCTCGCTCTCCCTTCCCTGTCTGCTTGCTTACCCCCTTCCTTCACAGTGGCTTATGGGTCAAAAGCTTGAAGCCCTACAAGACCTTGTCCTGTCCTCCCACGAGAACACCAACACTCCCTCCCTCACTCGCTCCTCCTCCTCCTCCACCGCCAACACTGCCAGCTCAGCACTCGCCCCGTCCCACCCTGCCACATCAGCAGCCGAGCCAGCTGGCGCTGAGGTGGCGGCGTTCTGTGCCACAGTGGCACGGAAGCCCGGGTTAGGGGAGGAGACAGAGGCAGTGCAGAGACTGGCGGCAGTGGCAGCAGTGGAGGCAGTGAGTGGGAGCGACCACATGGGTCTTGTGCTGCAGTCGGTGCTCGAAATCACCAAGCAGAGGGGTTCGGGCTCGGTTCAGAGTGGTGCCAGTCAGGCGCAGAGCGGTGCCAGTCAGGCGCAGAGCGGTGCTGGTGGGCTCAGTGGTGGGGCGCTGGATTTTCAAGGCATGAGAGTAGGGTCGGATAGCAATGGTGCTGTAGGTTCGGTTGAAGGGAGGGGCGCTGGTTTGAGTGAGCCCATAGGGACAATGGTGGGGAAGGCAGTAGGATCTGTGCCAGCGGTGGTGGGGGAGGGATGGGTGGTGCCTGCAGTGGTGGCAGCAGTGCAAGCTGCCAAGCTGCGCCAGCTGCTCAAGCAGAGAGCTGCTGCCTGCCTTGCCGCTGCTAGTATGGCGGATGGAGTGGTTAAGAGTGGTGAGGGAGAAGGGAGAGTGGGGGGAAGGAGAGGAGGAGGAGGGAGAGGAGGAGAGAGCAGGGGGGTGTGTGAGGTGGTGGAGGAGGTGGAGGCATGGGCCAAGCACTGTGCGAGCGATCACACTGCTGCCCTCGCTGCTGTGAGTCTCTTTCTCCCTCGCTGCTGTGAGTCTCTTTCTCCCTCGCTGCTGTGAGTCTCTTTCTCCCTCGCTGCTGTGAGTCTCTTTCTCCCTCGCTGCTGTGAGTCTCTTTCTCCCTCGCTGCTGTGAGTCTCTTTCTCCCTCGCTGCTGTGAGTCTCTTTCTTCCTCGCTGCTGTGAGTCTCTTTCTCCCTCGCTGCTGTGAGTCTCTTTCTCCCTCGCTGCTGTGAGTCTCTTTCTCCCTCGCTGCTGTGAGTCTCTTTCTCCCTCGCTGCTGTGAGTCTCTTTCTCCCTCGCTGCTGTGAGTCTCTTTCTCCCTCGCTGCTGTGAGTCTCTTTCTCCCTCGCTGCTGTGAGTCTCTTTCTCCCTCGCTGCTGTGAGTCTCTTTCTCCCTCGCTGCTGTGAGTCTCTTTCTCCCTCGCTGCTGTGAGTCTCTTTCTCCCTTGCTGCCCCAGCTGATCTGATGCTTCGCTTCAGCTGCTCTAAGATTGAGCAGCTTTACAACTAAGTGTTCTTACCACCACACCATCCCTTCCGTGCTTTTGATGAGGATACCTATGATGACCTTTGTCTTCGTTCTGTACTGTACTAAATCCATGTGTGGCGTCCTCACTTCACTGCCACCTCCCTTTCCTCATTCCCTTTTCCACCCCCGAGTTACATCCCCTTACCCCCCACCCCACCCCACTTCCCCCCCCCCACCCCCTATCCCCCACCTCCCTTTCCTTTCCCTATCCTCTCTCACTTGAACTCTCCAGATATCGTCCCAGGCTGTAACCACCTCTCAGCCATTCACCTTGTGCCACGTCACCGCCCACCTGGCACAGTGGCACATCCCCAGGCCACTCCCGCGCCCAGATGCAATCTCCACTGTCCACCCGCCGCATGCTGTTGAAGATCTACGGGCACAACTCTGCATGGCAATCCTTAGGAGAGTGGCCGTGAGTCTCCCCCCTGCTCTGTCACGGGTGGTGATGGGGAGAGGGGCGGTGGGTGGAGGGAGGTGGAGGTTAAAGCGAGTGGGCTCTGGGCCTGGTGAAACGAACTTCCCACCACAGCAGCAGCAGCAGCGGCATCAGGGGCAGCAGCAGCAGGAGAAGAAGCAGCGTTTGCTGAATCATTATCTGGACGAGGGTCTGGGCGTGGATGCATTGCGATTGGTCCACGTGGCAGGGGAGATTCTGCAGATGTGGCGAGAAGGAGCAGCATCAATGCGAACTGCCTCTGCTGCCTCTGCTGCTGCTGCCACAGCCAATGCTGCCTCTGCCCCTGCCTCTGCCTCTGCTGCTGCCAGTGCAAGGAACCACCCATCCAGCCCATCATTCACCCCCCCCACGTCCCCCATCCCGCCCCACATTGTTCTAGACGAAGCAGAGACCTTGCTAGAACAGAAGATAGACGCAGAGGGGCGAGTAGTGGCTGCTCTAGCTCTCATCTGCCTTGTCACCGCTGCCTGGATCTCCCACCGCCCTCGCACCCTCGCTCGACTGCTTGAGCCGGTGGTGCGGGAGCGAGGCGGTTGGGAGAGGGGGGGAAGAGGGGTCGGGGAGGGCGGGTTTGGGGAGAGAACTGGGGGCAATGGGGAAGGGGAGAGAGTGGGGCGGAGTGTGGGGGGGAGAGTGGGGGTTGGGGGGGGTTGTGGTTCGCCTGTGCTGCCTGGAGAAGGGGAGGATTGCCTGGAGTGGTTTCTAGGGCTGGAGAGACGGGTGGAAGGGGGAGGTGGGATGGCAGGAGAAGGATGGGAGGGAGAACAGGGAGGGGGTCTGGTGCATAGAGGAGGGGGTGTTGATGGTGCTGGGGGGGAGAGAAAAGGGGATAAGGAGAAGGAGTCGGGGCAGGGCGTGGCGGAACATGGGGGAAACGATGAGAAGGGCAGTTTCGTGGGACCTGGACGGGCGGTTGTAGAGGGGAGAGTTGTGGTCCTATCAGAGGACGACATGTGGCGCGTTGTGGGCGCGTCGGTGTGGTCGCTAGTGGAGCGGTATGTGAGGAAGCAGGCGGTGCCTCCGTCGCTGATCAGCCGGGCGTTCAGGTCGTTTGGGTGGATGTCACCTGTCCAGTCGTACCTTCAGAACCACCACCAGCAGCAGCCGCAGCACCCCCAGCAGCAGCAGCAGCAGCAGCACCGGGGAGTGCAGCAGGGTGTGCAGCAGGGGCAGGGAGGACGCAGCCCCATGCAAGCCCCCCCCGCCCACCCTCACCATCTCTCCCACCTCCTTCCCCAGCATCACAACCAGCAGCAGCAACAACAGCACTGGCAGCCGCCGCATCACTTTGTTCCCTACAGCCCACCTCAAAGTGGCACCACCACTCCCACTCTCTCCACCCCTCCTCTCTCTCCCCACCTCCACCCGCAATCCCTTCTTTCCCCTGACCAACACCAACACCAGCTGCTGCAGCAGCAGCAATACCAGCACCATCACCAGCAGCAGCAGCAGCAGCAGCAGCAGCCGCTCCCTCCTGCCACCTCCTCTTTCTTCTCTGCCTTTGCTCGGCCTTGGGCCTACCCCGCTTCCCCTGCCCCCTCCTCCTCCTCCTCCTCCCTCCACTCCCCCGCGCCATCACCTGCTCCCTCCCCCGCACCCTCCCACCTGAAGCCAACAGGGGCAGCAGGAGGGGGGATGACGGGAGCTGCTGCAGCGGCAGCATCAGGAGCTGCTGCAGCGGCAGTGGCAGCAGCAGCCAAAGCAGCAGATAGGGCAGGGGGAGGGGGAGAGCGAAGGGCAGGGGCAGGTGGAGGGAGAGGGGGTAGCAGAGAGGCAGCAGCGGATCCAGCACACTTGTTTCCACAGGCGCTCCTTCCAGACGCGTGTGCGGCTGCAGCTGCCTCTGACGCACTGGTCCTCGCGTCTGCACGCGTGGCGTCTGCTCTTAGGCGCCAGCTGGCGGCACACGTCAGCAGCCGCATGCGCGTGCGTGGGGGTGTAGGACCAGGAGCACGGGGTGTGGCCTCCAGGAGCGTACAGCGTGGTGCTGCTGCTGTTGGCGGTTCTGGCAATGCTGGTGATGGTCTGAAGGAGGAGGCGGTTTCTGCGTATGCGCACTTGGCGGCCCTAGCAGCTGCGGATGGGCTGCTGCAGTGGCTGGCAGATGGACACTCGCTGCACCACACCCACCTGCACAACCACCAGCATGGACAGCAGCACGGACAGCAGTACCAGCAGCACATTCAGCAGCAGATGCACAGCAGTGGGGGCCAGGGGCACATGTCACGGCACCACGGCAACATACCCACTCACCCAGACGCGCATGCACATGGTGCTGCTGTCACGACGCATGCAGCGTCCACGCACTCGCACCTGCCATCCGCCCATCCCGGCACAGTTAGCGCTGCAGCAGCAGGAGCAGCGGGGATTGCACCAGGCACCACTGCAGGAGGACTTGCAGGAGGAATGGCAGGGGGAGCGTCAGGAGGAACGGCAGGAGGAACGGCAGGAGGGATGGATTTCAGCAATGTATCTCATACACGCGTTGAGACGTGCCCCTTGCTCTCTGCCATACCCCATACAGTGCTCGAGTCCCCTGAATCCGGCCCTGTTCTAGTCCTCGCTGCTGCAGCAGATGTTGCTCATATCGAAGCTTCTAGTAACGGGGATGAAGGGCCTGGAGGTGCTGCTGGTGCAGGTGCTGCTGCTGGTAAGGCTGGTGGGAGGCTGGAGGGAGGTAGATCTGGGGTAGGTGGTATCAGGGGACCTTCTGTTTTGGGGAAAAGTGCATTGGGGTCAACAGGGGTGGGGGGGCTGAGGGCAGGAGGAGGGGGGAAGGATGAAGGGAAAGAGGGGAAGTGGAGGATGGACGGGAGGGGAGGGAAGCAAGGGGGGGTGGGAGGGGCATGTGATTTGGGAGAGTGGGGTCGGGCGTGTGGCAAGCTTTGGCAGCTTGTGGTCGCTAAGGACAAGCTGCGCAGCGTTCTGGGCGTCGATGGGTTTGATTTTGCTGAGCTGGCAGCGTGGAGGGAGAGGAGAGAAGCTGACGTGGCAGCCGCGGAAAGGGCAGCTAGAAAAGCCGCCACTGCAGCAGCAGCGGCAGCAGCAGCCGCGGCAGGAGGCGGAGGAAAAGGAGCAGAAGGATGGGGAGGGGGAGGTGGGGGAGGAGCAGCAGGAGGAGGCTGGGGCGGAGGAGGAGGTGGGCAGGGGAAGGTGACAGCTGGGGGAGGCGCAGGGGGGGGATGGGGGGAAGCAGGGGGGAAAGGGAAGATGGGGAGAAGGGCCGCTGGGGGAGGAATGGAGCGAGTGCAGACAGAGGGACAACTAGGCCTCGGGATAGGGGGTTTGGGATCACGAGCAGTGTCAACACCGAGCCTGATTGGGCTGATTGGGAGAGAGAAGGAGGTGGAGGGAGGAGGGGGGAAGTGGGGAAGCGCAGGGGGGAGCATGGGAGATGTGAGGGAGCAGGCGAGGAAGGCGGGAGCGGGTGAGGGCGAGGAGGGGGGGAGGGTGAAAGGAGGGGCAGGAGAAGAACCAGATGACAGCAAGTCGGGTGAGGGAGGGGAAGGGGGAGAGGGGGGAGAGGGGGAAGAAGAGGCGGGTGTGTGGTGGGCGAAAACAGCCCTCGGGGAGCCCCTAGAGGTGCTTAAAACGGGGGTAGAGCTACTGGAAGGGGTCTGTGTGAATGCTCTGAATCCGAGGCAAGCAGTGGTGGCCACCAACCGAAAGGGCCTAGTCTTCTTTGACATTCACAGTGCGTCAGCTGCCAATTCCTCCTCTTCCTCCTCCTCTGGTTACACCAGTTCCGCTAGTCACACTGGTGTTTCTGGTTATGCCAGTCATGCTGGTGCGGGCGGCTCTGCTGTGTTTGACAATCTCTGGGCGTCTGCCTGCTGGCCTGCTGACAGCTACGCAGGCCGTGTTGCAACCCCTCCTCCCGCCCACTTCGCCCTGCTCACCCACTCCCCTAGCGGCCGCATGAACCTACCTGGTTCTGCTGGTTCTGCTGGTGCTGCTGGTGGGGGTGGTTGGGGCGGGGGAGCAGGGCAAAGCGGGGAGAGCATGGGAAGCAGTGGGGCCGGGAGCATGGGAGGTGGGGGGGGGGGAGTAGGCCGGCTGGGCGGGTTCGGGAGCAGCAGTTTCAGCAGCGCGAGCATCGGCGGCACCCCTGCCAACACCTCTTCTCCCTTCTCCCCGATAGGCTCGGCGGTGGGCCGGGGCGCGGCGGCTCGGGATTCGTCTTATGCGGGCGGCGTGGGGATGGGGATTCCGGGGTATGGGGGGATAGGCGCGTGGGGGTTGGGTTGGGAGGACTTGGAGGATGCAGAGGAGGGGTATGTGGATCCGCCTGCTACAGCTGAGTCTGTGGCGGGGAGGGCGCTGGCGGCTCACCCACTCAGGCCGTTCTTCCTTGTCGGCTCCACCAACACTCACGTGTATCTCTGGCAGGTCAGTAGGCTGTCTTTAGCAGGTGGGTGTGTGTGGTGTTGCCATGGCACGTTGGCGGCTCACCCGCTCAGGCCCTTCTTCCTTGTCGGCTCCACCAACACTCACGTGTATCTCTGGCAGGTAGGTATGAGTTGTTGCAGGTTTGTATATCTACAGCTGCAGGTGGGTGGCATGGCATGTGTGTCGTCCTTGCAGGTGTGTGTGGGGGTTGGGATGGGAGGACTTGGAGGATGCGGAGGAGGGGTATGTGGATCCGCCTGCTACAGCTGATTCTGTAGCAGGGAGGGCACTGGCGGCTTTTGAGGCGCCTCAAAAGACGATTTTTGAGGCGCCTCAAAAGACGATTTTTGAGGCGCCTCAAAAAGAGTCTGTAGCAGGGAGGGCACTGGCGGCTCACCCCCTGCAGCCATTCTTCCTCGTCGGCTCCACCAACACTCACGTGTATCTCTGGCAGGTAAATATGTGTTGTTGTTGCAGGGATATAAATCTATAGTGGCAGGTCGGTGGCTTTCCCTGTGGCCTAGGAGGTACAAAATGGATACTCGCAGGTGCGTGTGGTTGGTGTTGCCTTGTTGTGCTTACCTGGCGGCTCACCCGCTCAGGCCCTTCTTCCTTGTCGGCTCCACCAACACTCACGTATATCTCTGGCAGGTGGGAGGCTCCCCTCATTTCCTTTTCTCCTCAATACACCCACCAGAGGACTGGCGTCTCCTTTTGAGTCGACTTTTGAGTCGACTCAAAAGTTTCCTGTTCTCCTAAATATACTGCAAGATGTTTTTGATAATTCTCAATACACTTTTGCGAATTCTCAATACACTTTTGAGAATTCTCAATACACTTTTGAGAAGTCTCAATACACTTTTGAGAGTTCTCATTACACTTTTCAGAATTCTTAATACACTTTTGAGAATTCTCAAAAACACCCACCAGAGGACTGCTTCTCATTCCTTATCGCACCCCAACGCATAAACCCCCTTCCCCCAGTTCGGCGCACCAGCAGCAACAGCAACATACGGGGTCCTACCAGCGGCCAACACACCAGTGCCGCTTGTCATTCCTTCAGTCACCTCACTCGGCATCCACCGCTACGGGGAGCGATTCGCCACCGCTGCTGCAGACGGCACGGTGTCGATGTGGCAGCTGGAGGTGGGGGGGCGGAGCAACGTGAAGCCCACTGAAACGAAGCACTGCTTTGGGAGGAGTGCCAGGTGAGAGGTGGTGGGGTTTCTGGGAGCAGTGCTCGGTGGGGTGGTGGGAAAGGGGGCAGTGCGGTGCTATGTGGTTGTTGAGGGTGGGACGGTGGCGATGTGGCAGCTGGAGGTGGGGGGGCGGAGCAACGTGAAGCCCACAGAGACCAAGCACTGCTTCGGAAGGAGTGCAAGGTGAGAACGAGAACGGTGGGGCGATGGGAAATGGGTTGTCCCTTTCTATGGGACCGCTGCTGCGGATGGGACGGTGTCGATGTGGAACCTGACGTCAAACCTGACCTCAAACCTGACCTCAAACCTGACGTCAAACCTGACCTCAAACCTGACCTCAAACCTGACCTCAAACCTGATCTCAAACCTGACCTCAAACCTGACGTCAAACCTGACGTCAAACCTGACGTCAAACCTGACCTCAAACCTGACCTCAAACCTGACCTCAAACCTGACCTCAAACCTGACCTCAAACCTGACGTCAAACCTGACCTCAAACCTGATCTCAAACCTGACGTCAAACCTGACCTCAAACCTGACCTCAAACCTGACGTCAGAACTGACCTCAAACCTGACGTCAAACCTGACGTCAAACCTGACGTCAAACCTGACCTCAAACCTGACCTCAAACCTGACGTCAAACCTGACCTCAAACCTGACGTCAAACCTGACCTCAAACCTGACCTCAAACCTGATCTCAAACCTGACCTCAAACCTGACGTCAAACCTGACGTCAAACCTGACGTCAAACCTGACCTCAAACCTGACCTCAAACCTGACCTCAAACCTTCTGGCGGCAGTGGGGCAGAGCCCCTCGCAGGACAACCTGGTCGTGTGGGACTCCCTCGCCCCGCCCAACGCCATCTCGTTCGACCCATTCAACCCACCCAACCCCGCCCCACCCTGGTCTACCTGCCCACAGTGGCGTGGCGTTCATAGGGGCGAGCAGCAGTGTGCTGGCGGCAGTGGGGCAGAGCCCCTCGCAGGACAACCTGGTCGTGTGGGACTCCCTCGCCCCGCCCAACGCCGTCTCGTTCCACCCCATTCAACCCCACCCAACCCCGCCCCACCCTGGTCTACCTGCCCACAGTGGCGTGGCGTTCATAGGGGCGAGCAGCAGTGTGCTGGCGGCAGTGGGGCAGAGCCCCTCGCAGGACAACCTGGTCGTGTGGGACTCCCTCGCCCCGCCCAACGCCGTCTCGTTCCACCCCATTCAACCCCACCCAACCCCGCCCCACCCTGGTCTACCTGCCCACAGTGGCGTGGCGTTCATAGGGGCGAGCAGCAGTGCGCTGGCGGCAGTGGGGCAGAGCCCCTCGCAGGACAACCTGGTCGTGTGGGACTCCCTCGCCCCGCCCAACGCCGTCTCGTTCCACCCCATTCAACCCCACCCAACCCCGCCCCACCCTGGTCTACCTGCCCACAGTGGCGTGGCGTTCATAGGGGCGAGCAGCAGTGTGCTGGCGGCAGTGGGGCAGAGCCCCTCGCAGGACAACCTGGTCGTGTGGGACTCCCTCGCCCCGCCCAACGCCGTCTCGTTCCACCCCATTCAACCCCACCCAACCCCGCCCCACCCTGGTTTACCTGCCCACAGTGGCGTGGCGTTCATAGGGGCGAGCAGCAGTGCGCTGGCGGCAGTGGGGCAGAGCCCCTCGCAGGACAACCTGGTCGTGTGGGACTCCCTCGCCCCGCCCAACGCCGTCTCGTTCCACCCCATTCAACCCCATCCAACCCCGCCCCACCCTGGTCTACCTGCCCACAGTGGCGTGGCGTTCATAGGGGCGAGCAGCAGTGTGCTGGCGGCAGTGGGGCAGAGCCCCTCGCAGGACAACCTGGTCGTGTGGGACTCCCTCGCCCCGCCCAACGCCGTCTCGTTCCACCCCATTCAACCCCACCCAACCCCGCCCCACCCTGGTTTACCTGCCCACAGTGGCGTGGCGTTCATAGGGGCGAGCAGCAGTGTGCTGGCGGCAGTGGGGCAGAGCCCCTCGCAGGACAACCTGGTCGTGTGGGACTCCCTCGCCCCGCCCAACGCCGTCTCGTTCCACCCCATTCAACCCCACCCAACCCCGCCCCACCCTGGTCTACCTGCCCACAGTGGCGTGGCGTTCATAGGGGCGAGCAGCAGTGTGCTGGCGGCAGTGGGGCAGAGCCCCTCGCAGGACAACCTGGTCGTGTGGGACTCCCTCGCCCCGCCCAACGCATCCCGCGTCGCCATCAACTGCCACCAAGGTGAGTCCGCCTTGTGAATCATTGCCAGCAAGGCACGGCTGCCCTTTGATTGATTGTTTTCCACCAGGCAAGCTCGTACAGGCTTGCAGGATTCCCTCGCCCCGCCCAACGCCTTGCGCATCGCCATCAACTGCCACCAAGGCAAGTCCGCCCTTCATGCATGAATCCCCGGCCATACACGGATGGAAAAATTAGAGAGAACAAACAAACAAACAAACAAACAAATTAGAGAGAAACGCTCCTTTCTTCGTTTTTCTCAGATTTGCCCCCTTTTTTTTCTCCACCATGTGTCTGTCTCCTCTCCATTGTCTCCCCCCTCATGTCCTCCCACATCGTCTCACTGCCGGTAACTTATGAGACTCAAAAGTTTCGCCACCATGTGTCCTCCTTCTCACCATTATCCCCCCACATCGCCCCACTGCAGGTGGTGCCACCAGCATTGCCATCGTCGACAACACAATCCCTGCCGCCGCCACAGGAAGCACCGGGGGAGCACCCGCACGGGGAGGAGGAGCAGGAGGCGGCAACGGAGGAGGACAGCTGTCGGCGTCTCATTCGCTGATCGTGACGGGCGGCAAGGGGGGAGACATCTCAGTGCATGATTTCCGGTTCATTGCGAGCGGCAAGAGCGGCCGCAAAGGGGGCGGAGGAGGAGGCAACAAAGACGGAAGCAGAGACAGCAACAACAGCGGCGGCGGTGGTAGCAGCGGTGGCAGTGCTGGCAGTGGGGCAGTGGGAAGCGGTGGTGGTGGGTATGGGGATCGAGCGTTGTGGCACATACCCAGGGCGCACAGCAGTAGTTTGTCGGCGATTCTAGCGGTGCCCGGCACGCCGCTGTTCCTGAGTGCAGGAAAGGACGGCGAGGTGAAGCTGTGGGACGCCTCGCGCTGCCGGCTGCTCAGGGAGTGGCCGCGTGTGCATGAAAAGCGCACTTTTCTAAATGCCCGTGGATTTGGGGCGGTTATGCAGGTGGGTTTGGTGTGGTGTGGTTTGGTGTGGTGTGGTATGTTGTGCTGTTGCATCGTGTTGGCTGTTGGGTATGAGGGGCAGGGCAGCAGGTGTGTGTCAGTGTGTCGGCGATTCTAGCGGTGCCCGGCACGCCGCTGTTCCTGAGTGCGAGAAAGGACGGCGAGGTGAAGCTGTGGGACGCCTCGCGCTGCCGGCTGCTCAGAGAGTGGCCGCGTGTGCATGAGAAACGGACTTTCCTCAATGCCCGTGGATTTGGGGCCGTCATGCAGGTGGGTGTGCTGCTGTGTGGGCTGTGCTAGTCACGCAGGTGAATGTATTGCGCAGAACTGATGGTTAACTATTTGGTTGAGGGACACATTGCTCAGACCTGAGGTGTCCGAGGGAGTGAGTGATGGTGGGGACACATTGCTCAGACCTGAGGTGTCCGAGGGAGTGAGTGATGGTGGGGACACATTGCTCAGACCTGAGGTGTCCGAGGGAGTGAGTGAAGCATTGCGCAGACCTGATGGTTAACTTTTTGGTTCCCATTGTGACGGTGAATGTGGGTGCTCTGTTACCCATCCTTACCCATCCTAACCCCTCCTCCCGATTTTCTTGCCCCGCCTCTTTGTGCTTGAATGGCAGGTCGGTGTGATGGACATGATTCCCTCAATGCATATCATTCTCACATATGGTGATGGTGAATGTGGTGGTATTCTACCCATTCTCATACCCCTCTTTCCCTTCCCCCCTTCCCTTCCCCGACCTCCCCCTCGTTCTCGATTCCAGGTCGGTGTTATGGATATGATTCCATCAACCCATGGCATTCTTACATGTGGCGGTGATGGGTTTGTCAAGCTCATTCCTTTCACTGCATAGCCTTCACATCATATCAGATCAGATCAGATCAGATCAGATCAGATCAGATCAGATCAGATCAGATGCTTCATTGTGTCAGAAGAGACGTTTTCAGCACTCGTTCATGGTGTATTTGCGTTGAGTCAATATGAATACGATCTTTTCTTATATTGTCACCACCTCTTTAGCCATTTAGTTATTCGCATAAATGAACTTAAGCCAAAATATAGGTTTTGCGTGCTTGTCATATACATAGCCTAGTCGTCCACAATACTGCAACAAGAGCCGCTAATAGCGAGGATTCTAATGCCAGCTTGATCCCGCATCTGATTGAAGTTCTGAGCAAACAAGCACCTTACTTCTTACCATACCTTCCTTCTAGTCTACGTAGGACAGCTGGAACTCAGCAGTCATTTCCCTACTCGTGGCACGTCACGCCTCAGGGTTACCGCCGCCATGCACGCGTAGTGAGGGTGTTTTTGAGACGTCTCAAAAACACCCTCACTACACGTCACGCCTCAGGGTTACCGCCGCCATGCACTCTCCTCTCGTCACACCCGAGGTGGCAGCGACGCCACTCAAGCCGCATATTGCGGTGTTATATGGGAGATTCCATCCAGAGCGCTTGGGTTGGACGCATGCAGCACACTGGCTCGCTCTTTCGCACCCATTGCGTGTTCCTTCCTCCCATGGGTCGGTCTCCCCTCCCGCGCCTACTACACGCCATCACCGCGTCGGCCTTTCTGCTGCTCGTTACCCCCTTCATCGCTCTCCTGTTTATCACGCTTCGCATTCTGCTCCTTCCTGTTCGCCTCCAGCAGACGCTCAGCTTCTCGACGAAGATACGGAGGTTCTTTGGCGGATTGTCAGTTGAGGAAGAGCTTGCGGATCTGTCCATTAGCCACGCGCGAATTAAGCGAGGAGATTAATCTCGTGCGACACGTCAGCGTTGCCATAACTGGTATCAGCGTACCAGCGTCACCATAACCGATATTCAGGGTGCAGTTGCTCTATTCCGCCATGGCGCTCAGCTGGCTCACGCTGCTCCTCATCGTTGTTCTCTTCATCGTGCTATCTCCCGGGCTGCTGCTTCAGGTACTACTGTCCGTGCGGTGCTGGAACAAAGACGGTTGCAACAGCTGGTGTCTCTCGTTCTGTCAGATACCATCCACGTGACTTATACTCATCCTTATCTGAATTTTCCGCTTGCAGAGTCTCCAAATAATCTTACCTTAGTCACTCCCCATCCGTTTTCCTCTACCTTTCTATCTCTCTCACCGTTTCGTCTCAGATTCCAGGCGACACGCAGCCAATAGAGTTCCGCAACTGGCGCACGTCTCTGGCGTCAGTGCTGGTGCATGCAGTGGTGTTCTTTATCTTGCTGCTTCTGATTGATGAGTATTACTTCTCCAGTGCTGCTGGCAGCGGTGGTGGGGGAAAACATGACTAAATGATCAAGCATGGTGTGCTGGTGGTGGCGGCGGCGGCGGCGGTGGGATGCAGGCGGCGGTGGACTGTATGATCATTTGTCAGTGCTGGTGCATGCAGTGGTGTTCTTCATCCTGCTGCTTCTAATTGATGAGTATTACTTCTCCAGTGCTGCTGGCGGCGGTGGTGGTGGGAAGCATGATTAGAGGATGGATTGTGGTGGTGGTGCTGCTGCTGAATGTTGGGATGGGTTAGAAAGGCAGTGCATTGTTAGTGGGCAAACGGCTATGGTCCATGCAGTGAAATTCAGTGTCTGTAGTTTGTAAGTAGCGTTTGTACAGTGTTTTCCTGTATATAATCCACCATGAACTGTCGATGCTGCGAGAAAATGCGCACTGCTTATGCTATGCACAAATCCCCCTACCTATTTGTTAAGAAACTGTTTTTCAGCCAGTAAGACAAACTTTCAGATGCTTATGTTGATGTAGCCCAGCTACCTTATGATTTTGTACCAGGTTCAAAGCCCGCAGGCCCCCCGGTCCGAAGGCTCGCCGGCCCGACTAGACTATTGATAAAGAAAAAAAAACGTAACTCATGATAATATCATATAGTGTTCCTTATTGTGGATTGTTTGATTCTGCACCTTATACGGTACCATACCATCAGTTGCAATACCAGATGTATTCTAAAAAAATTATAGCAATTTCAACTTGATGACGTTTGTAACACCCTTCGGTACTTCGGCTTCAAGCGCAGCTTGCTGCAATCCGGTATGCCGAGCTTTCAAGCCATCATATGTCCTGTCCTGTCCCGACAAGCACCAGATGCTGCCAGAAGTCAGCACCATCTACCACCGCCATGCACGCTCATTTCGGCCTCCCCGCGACGTGGCAACTGCATCACTCGAGCCGCATGTCGTGGCGTTGGAAATCACGAGGCGCGTGGAGCATCATGTTGCGCGCTCGCCCGATTCCATCCCGCTTCCCGAAGTGGCCTCCCTTCCTGTCCCTCAACTCACCCATCCGACTTCCCTCCAGCGTTTCACGTTGATAGATTCATTACGGGTGGCATCATATTACCTGTATTTTCCTTGCTTATCCTCTTGCTCGCTCCTCGCGACCTTTCCCGTGGCGTAACGCTCAGCAGAGCTTTCAGTGGAACCCCGCGCAGCCACACCCCAATTTGACGCTCGGTTTCTTTCGCAGATTCTTTATTCGTGGGACTTTCTTGACAGAGCATGATGTTTTTCACGTGGTATGGCCTCGTGTTCATCACCGTGCTCTTCGTGCTGCTCTCTCCAGGGATGCTGCTTCAGGTACGCTCCACGCCCCACCATCAGTTTGTGGCAACGTGAAGTCAGGTTCGCGCTGGAACGTTTTCAGGCTCGCTTGGATCACCAACGGTTCGGTTTTGCTGGATCGGATGTGCTCCCGTCAATATAAGCATCACAAAAGCCAGAGTCAGCTAACACGTGATTCTTTTTTTTGCTTACTAAGCCTGAGTAGTTTGTGAGTTAGTTAGTTAGTTAGTTAGTTTGTTTGTTTTTTTTTTTTTTTCCGGGCGAACCCATTTATTCCCTCTGCTTTCCTTTGCTCTCACCCCACATCTCGAATTTCCCATGTGCATATCCCTGGGGGGGACCAGCCGACAGTGCTTCTGGACTGCTAAAATTCAACCCCCTTTTCACTCAACCAACCCCCCACCCCTTCCCCCTCCCCTCCCCCCCTCCGTCCCACCCCTCCCTCCCCCCCTCCTTCCCACCCCTCCCTCCCTCCAACCCCTTTTCAGACCACCCCTTTCCCTCCTCCCCTACAGATCCCAGGGGACAACCAGCCAGTGGAGTTTCAGAACTGGCGCACGTTGCTCCTCTCAAAGAGCTTTTACTACTTCAATACCTCGTCCCGTCTTTGCTTTCGTATCCTTCTCTCCCCTCTGCTCTGCAGATCCCAGGGGACAACCAGCCAGTGGAGTTTCAGAACTGGCGCACGTCTCTACCCTCAGTAGCTGTGCACGCTGTGGTCTTCTTCGCCCTCATCCTGCTCTCCAACTGGCTCTTCCCTTCCTTTCTACATGGGTAGAAGTGGGCCTCCGAAGCTTTTAATCGTGCCAAGAAACGATAGATGAGAATGGCTAGGCTCCTGCTGCTGGATGGTCTATGGGTCGGTCGGGTGCATGGGTAAAGATATTGTTCCGGGAAATACGGTAGAACATTCGTTTGTATGTACATGATGAGTAAGGTTGTTAAAGACACACTGTCTTTAGTTCCCCATTTGGTTTACTGTAGACATGGTTCACGGGTTTTGCTTGTCTTGCAACTTCACTCTACAAAATCAGTTATGGGTTGATGGGCCTTGCTTCCAACGACCCATCTCATTCCTCAATTGTTGACAACACTTAATGTGAAGCTGCTCTAGCAGCACATACCTGTGTGTGGGTACAGTACACGAGCTGCATCCAACGGAGGGGGGGTTTGATTGAACACGTTAGGTGGCATGTTACCGGTAGCTAACCCTAAGATATGTGAGTATACCACACAACGCAGTGCAATATCAGTGAGACCGAGGACTGGACCCTAGCGGGCCCTGGTGGTTCCACACCCACCCTCACATTCCACAACCCCACTAACCCAATTCTACCTCTCCTCACTCCTCCAAACCCCACTCAGCATTCCCAACTTGACCTTCCCTCAGCCAACCCCTTCCCAATCCGCACCTTCCCCACCCCGCCTTCCTCACTTCTCCGGCACTCTCCACTGCTGCTCCAACCCACGAGTGCCCAGATGCCCGAAAAAAAAAGCACACACACACTCACACACACACACACAAAAAGTCACCATCTTCCCTCCCAGTCCACCACCCCACCAACACTCGAGCTCATTTTAGGCAGCACTGGAAAGTGCTGGCGCCAAGATGACTGCTGAAACATCACCTTCTCTCACTTTTCAGCAACTCCCACGGTAACTCTCAGGGTCTTCTCTCCTCCCCTTGGCCCGCCACCCCACCAACGCTCACACTCATTTTCGGCAGCACCGGAAAGTGCTGGTGCCGCGGCTTCCAGGAAGCGGGCCATTCTTTCGAGCTCTGTCGCTGCTGCTGCTGCTGCTGCTGCTGCTGCTGCTGCTGCTGCTGCTGTGGCTGCTGCTGCTCCAATGAAGCGGCTGAACTCGGATCAAGCATTGTTCCACTGTATGAGGGGGGGTCATGTATCACAGTGTAAGGATCATGCAGTGTGGATTTTGGTGCAGCGTGCTGCTGCTGGTGGAGCTGGTGGTGCTGCTGCCGCTGCTGCTGCTGCTGCTGCTGCCGCTGCTACTGCTGCTGCTGCTGCCGCTGCTACTGCTGCTGCTGCTGCCGCTGCTACTGCTGCTGCTGCTACTGCCGCTGCTACTGCTGCCGCTGACACTGCTGCTTACGCTGCCACTTTCTCTTGAGCTGCCTCCGCCTTCCCTCGTCTCATCCTCTGGTGCCCTGTCACAACCCACTTCTTTGCTCAAGACTGCTACACTATCACTCAGCTCTCTCTCTCTTGATTCACCCCCAACCTCACTCGCATTCCCGCTTCCATTCCCACTCCCAGCATCTGCATTTTCTCGGGACACCCCTACATGTGATTCACCCCCATTTCCACTACCTACACACGCCCCTTCTCTGACCCCTCTGCCATCCTCCACCGCCCCACCACCATTCACCACGGATGATTGTTCAGCCGTGGTCAATGGAGTTTGGGCCTCCTCAACTGTCCGCCCAGCCACACATCCCTCGTTATTATCGCGCCCCCCATTCTTCTCACATCCCTCGTTACTATCCCCACTGCTGCTAGCACATCCGTTCTCTGCCCCTCTTCCTCCAGTCCACCCACTCAGCAGTGAACCTCTTCCCCGCTCTGGGCAGCTCAAAAGATTTGCATCCTGCCCGAGATACGTCAACCCCTGCTTCCTAACCGCCTGCATTTGAGCCTCTATCTCCGCTTGGGTTCTCCCTATCATAAATCTCCCCCCTCCCCCTCCCCCCTCCGCTCCTCCCCCTCCTTCCCCTCCCTCTGCTGCTGCTGCTGCATCGGCTGCATCGAGTGCTGCTAGTAACTCCGCGGGTTCCCTTCCTTGCAGAACGGGAATAGGGGCAGATTGTGGCAGAGGTGCTAGTGCCAGCAGTGGTAGCGGGGACGGTGGTTGTGCTTGTGCTGCTAGCGAATCTGCGGGTTCCCTCCCTTGCAGAACGGGATTAGGGGCAGATTGTGGCAATGGTGGTTGTGACTGCAGCGGTAGTGGGAGTGGTGGTTGTGCCGCTGGTGGTAGTGGCAGTGGTGACAAAAACAAGTGTGATGCTGGCGGTTGTGACTGCACACGCGACTCTGGCCGTGGGAGTGACTGTGGCTGCTGTTGCTGTTGCTGTTGCTGTTGTTCTGAATGTTCCTGTGCTTGCCTGCTGCTGTTGCTGTTGCTGCTGTTGCTGCTGTTGCTGTTGTTGCTCCTGCTGTGACAATTGTTGTGCCTGTAGTTGTTGCTGTTGCTGTTGTGTCTCCTCCACTATTGAGTGTTCGTGCCCTTTTTTTCTTGCCACTGATTCGCCCACCACCTGCAATCCCTGCTCACAGGACCCACCTTCCCCAAATATCACCTCCCCTCCTGCACATACCACCTCCCCAGCACCAGCAGATGCCACCTCCCCACCACCAGCAGATGCCACCTCCCCCAGCCGTTCGTATTTAATGATCTGGGCGGCAGCTGCGAGGGCCTGCTTGGCCATGAGCGGGTGGCACTCCCTGCCCCGCCAGCAGTACACTTTTGTCCGTATCTGAGGGTGAGACAAGACAGGGGAGGAGACGGAGAGGGAACGGGAGGGGTCAAGGAGCGGGGAGAGGAGGGAAAGGGGAAGGGGAGAGGGATCAGAGGAAGGTCTCGAGAGAAGGGCCCGTCAGCAGCACATCACAGGTTGAAGAGGGCGGAGAGTTGATAAACAAGTAGTTCCTGGTTAGGAAATAAAGAAGGAAATTTGAGAGACAGTCACCTGAACAATGAAGGCCCCTCGTGGGTCGAGCGAGTGGCGGGAGAGGGCGGTGATTTTCGGCACCAAGTGCAGCGCGTCGTACGGCGAGTGCGGTGCCATGCGGTACATGTGGCAGCTGCCTGCCGCCCCTGATGCGCCTGCCGCCCCTGATGCCTCTGCCGCCCCTGATCCCTCTGCCGCCCCTGATCCCTCTGCCGCCCCTGATCCCTCTGCCGCCCCTGATCCCTCTGCCGCCCCTGATGCTACCCTTGGTGCCGGCTCTGGTGCTACCGCTGCCCCTGATGCCAGTGCTGGTTCTGCCCCTGATGCCAGTGCCGATTCTACCTGTCCTTTGGAGCCATCACCACCACCACCTGTTGCCCTTGCTGCTGCTACTGACTCTCCTCCTGATGCTGCCTCCGCTCCTACTGCTCCTCGGTCTGCCTCAGCACCAGCACCAGCACCAGCACCAGCACCAGCAGCACCAGCAACAGCAGAAGCAGGAGCAGGTGCTGCCGCAGGAGCAGCAGCGGGGAGAGCGGGAGGTTGAGGCGTGGGAGGCGGGTCAAGGGCGGAGGGGGGGAGGATGCGCGTCTGCCACTGCAGCAGCTGGCAGGCGAAGCCCATGTTGGGGTTGGCTACAGCTCTCAGTGCCTTCACTCGTTTAAATGCGTCTCCAAAGGGAATGGCCTGCGAGGAGGGGGAATGCGTGTAGGGATGGCAATGTCAGCAAGCTGTTTATAAGCCACTGCAGCAGCTGACAGGCCACAAGGATCTCAGCGCCTTCACCCTCTTGAACGCGTCTCCAAAGGGAATGGCCTGTGGGGAGGGGGTGGAAAGGGGTTGAGAGCGATGGGGTAGAGCATGAGACTAGAGCCCATGTTGGGGTTGGCAACAGCTCTCAGCGTCTTCACTCGCTTGAATGCGTCTCCAAAGGGAATGCCCTGCAGGAGTGACGGGGGGTTGAGGGAGATAGGGGGTGGGTGGGAGGGGGTGAAGAAGGGGGAATGAGGGAGATAGCGGGTGGGAGGGGGTGAAGGGGGTGGTAGGCATAGAAGGGTTGAATGAGAAGAGATTTCACCCTTGTGGTAGAAGGCACACACCTCGCTCCACTCCACATGTGGTATGCGATGACAAGGGGTGTCCCTCGTCAGGGGATCTCTCGCTTTGCCGTGAAGCGCGAGATGCCCTGGCAGCAGTGGATGAACACCTGACCACTGGGGGGTGCGAAGGACATGAGATGCTGCATCTCCCATGCAACCCAACCCAACCCAACCCAACCCAACCCAACCACACTCGATTCCCCTAAGCGCACCTCACGCCACATGAGGTATGCAATGACGAGCGAGGTGGAGCGCGAGATGCCCTGGCAGCAGTGGATGAACACCCGTCCCTTGGCAGCCCGCACGGCCTCAATGTAGTCAAACACGTCGTATAAGACGCACACCAGGTCCTCTCCCGTGTTGTCCTGAGTGGGGATTTTGAGGGGGGGGGGGGGAGGGAGGGGTACAGAAGTTAGCACCCTCACCTGCCCGCACGGCCTCCATGTAATCAAACACATCGAATAAGACGCACACCAGGTCCTCGCCAGTGTTGTCCTGAGGGAGGAGAGAGAAGGGGAGGGAATGCGGGTGGGAGGGATAGGAGAATGTGTGTATGCGCGCGTGTGTGTGTGTGTGTGTGTGTGTGTGTGTGTGAGTGTGTGTGTGTGTGTGTGTGTGTGTGTGCGTGCGTGCACGCGTACGAATGCATACACAATGTAGCAACACCTCATCTGCATTACCAGTTATAACACCTCACCTGCTGCCAGAGCGTCAGCACCTCACCTGCAGCCAAAGCGTCTTGTACTTAAATACCCCGGGCACACAAACCCCACGCAGTTCAGCACCCACAGTGATCCCAGCCCAGCCTCGCTGCCTGTGTTTTTTGAGAATTCTCAAAAAACATACCCCCCACATTCCCAGCCTCGCTACCGCCCACATTCCCAGCCTCGCTACCCCCCACATTCCCAGCCTCGCTACCCCCCACATTCCCCCCCCTCTCTCACCTGCAGCCAGAGCGTCTTGTACTTAATCTCTTCTGGAAAATACTCGGGGCACACAAACCCCACGCAGTTCAGCACATGCGTGATCCCCGCCTCCTTAAGAACCTCCCTGCTTCTCGCTACAAAGTCGCTCCCCACGTAAACATGCTCCAGCACTCTGCTACAGTCCTTTTCGAAGAACGCGAATCGATCCCGCCTGGCTTGCGCCTCCTGCGCCTCCCGCGCGAAATCCCGCTCCCCCCTGCTCCGCTGAAGCGCGCCCATATCTAGTTTAAACCCCCCCGGGCCCCTCCCGGGCCTGTTCAGCCCCGGCACCTCGCGCCTGCTCGCCAAGCCTCTTCCCGAGCCTGCAGCTGCGGTTCGGCGGTTGATCAGGGACAGCCCCGCGGAGTTTTCCCCGCTGCTGGCGCTTCTCCGCGCGGCGAGCCGGCGGGGGTTGGCCAGCGCGAGCGGGGGAGCGGGGGAGGCCTGCAGGGTGTCCAGGGACGCGCGCCCGGGGAGAACGAGCCCGTTCCGCGCAGGGGGAGCCGGCGCGGGGACGCAGGCGGAAGCGGAGGCGGAGGCGGAAGGGGAGGCGGAAGAAGAGGGTTTGAGGGCGGAAGAAGGGGAATCGGCGGAAGTTTCAGGCATCAATATAGAGCCATTTCCGCAACTCTCTGTGTGCCTGGGGCTTCCGCAGTCAGCATAATCACCTGTGCCTATAGGGCTCTGAGACTTTAACGGAGGAACTGGTGTAACATCTGACATGGGGTTACTCGGGTTAGGGTTACGCAGCGTCGTTGCTGCTGCTGGGTTAAGGGTAGGTGGATTAGGGTCACTCGCGTTACTACGAGCTACGGAGTCGCCTTCTCTTTGCTCGGGCTCGCCTGCTGCGGCAAAAACAGCATCGGTACGGGAAGTGGGAACTGCTGCTGAATCGGCGAGAACAGCAGCAGCAGCAGCAGCAACAGGAGCAGGAAAAGCATCACTAGCAGCAACGGCAGCAGCAGCGGCAGCTGACAGAGCAGCATTAGTATCAACGGCATTAGTAGCAGCAGCGTCGTCCCCGGCGGAGCATTCAGAGATGATGGCCATTGCTTCATGCGCAATAGCAGGCTCGCATGTTTCACCACTGGCCGCGAAACCTGGCACGTGTCCTGCCGCGTGTCCTGCCACGCGTTGCCGTCGGCTGGATTCTCGCAAGGAATCCCTTCCGTTGAACGATGCCGACTTCAGTCGCATCTTAGGATTTGCGACGTCATCACCACCCTTTACGTCGCCGCCTTTCATGCTCGACGAGATAAGAACGCTAGCCGGTCCTTCTCCCGTCTCCCTTTCGAATGTAGCGCCATTTCCGCGGACATGATCGAGGAGAAAAACGCCTGCGCTTCCTAGCGTGCAGTTTTCAAGTGTTTGATGCAGGTTAATCGAATTTCGTACTAACGGGTGCGGGAAGGAAAATCTGTGCAGATCAACTGCTGTGAGTAGCTGGCGAAATGACACAGAAATGCTGATGTTTATAGCTGTTAGCTGCTGCCAGAAAATCCCCCCCCCCCCCCCAAAAAAAAAAAAAAAAAAAAAAAAAAAAAAAAAAAAAAAAAAAAAAGGTAACCGACGCTCGCGCTATGAGAAACCACGTGACGTGCGCAGGTACGACGATTTGACACAATGGGCGTGGGCTATTATGGAAGACAGAGTGGACGAGTCGGGAGAGATCGCGTTCACCAAGAAAGCAACTCACGGAAAGGAACTTAAGACTGAAGCTAGCAGTAGCTAGCTAGCTAGCATTCTGAGTCCTGACAATGTTAAACATAGGAGGTAAGCAACTGAGTCTAGGGAACTAACAGGAATACGTTTTTACCTAGTCCCTACCTAGGCTAACTGAGGGATAATCGCAGAGGAAGCGAGGGAGGAGAGGAGGGGGCATAATTTACTCGTTTGAGCACGAGAACGGTCATGTATGGTGATGTACGTTTCAGAGTGGTTCATAAACCTCCTCAGTCACGCACTCACGGCCTCATGGCGACAATTCCCTTGTGGTGCAGTCTTTCGTTTGACACTGCCCCAACAACTGACTACTGCCCAGGGCGAAACAAAATACGGGAGAAGTCATGGGATGGAAATGGGATCATGGGGCCAAGTCTAAAATGCTAGAGCTCAATTTGTTATCCTCTGGGAATACATACACTACCATATGTTTCCTTTGGCAAGGCCATTGCCGCGTCCCCCCCATCCCTCCCTTCTCTGCCCGTCGACAGCCACAACACGCCTGGCTTGGTACGGAACTGCTCCTCAAAAGAGAGCACCGCTCTTAGCCCAATCAAATACCGCTGCACCGTACAGATGATGACCCAACCACCACCAGACCTCACTCAGCTTGAGCCACCGATAAAAGACAAGGCACCAGACCGACGGCGGAACCAGTTCGGGTGCACGTACGTACGAAAGCTGTACCCGTTTTGAGAATACCATCATTTCCAGTCCAGTAGTTTTGCACGGTAATTGTCGCCTTACAGTCGGCCCCTGTAATCACAAGATCTCACAATCCCCATTTTGATGGGGGCCCGCTTTTATTACGTGCATCCTTCCAGCCGCTTCGGGAAACCAGTTCGTTAATAAATACGTCTTCACTGACAGCTGCTACTAATATTCGACGTTTGGGAGCGTGCAGATTCTGAGTCCGACTCTATCCTCAAACAAGAATGGGTTTCGGAAGTAATATCTTTGCCTGGCTTGCATTGTCTCTGAACGCAATGTAATCACTCTCTGGTCGCATTTTTCTTAGAAGTCGTAAACGGCGTGTAGAGATCCCATCTATGAGGTTGGACCAGTTGCGATGCAACGGCGCGAAACCAGGACCGGCAACTCATTCCCAGCAACTTCGTATACCACTCGCATTCACCAAAGGCGAGGCCTTGTTTCACCTTTCGCCATTGTTCGCAGGCCAATCCGTGGTAACCCGCGCGCTGGACAAGGCGTTCTACGAGTTCGCGGAGTTGGACCGCACTCCGGACCAGGAGGGTAGGCAAGTCATCAACGCTGCGGAGCTCTACGCCTGCGTGCTGCTCGCATTTAAGTAAGTAATTTAGCGCGTTGTGGGGCAGAGCAATGCAGCGCATTGGCTATAGCAGGTAGCAAGCGCCTATTAGTAGGTAGCGCGATGCCTAAAGGAAGAATGCAGCGCCTGTAGGTAAGTGGCAGCTCGCATGCAAATAAGTAGTGTGACGCCTTTTTCAATGCTTGCATGCTGCTTGATCTTCAGTGCTTTAGGGCATCGTTCAACAACACTTTTCTTTCACACCACCTCGCCTTCAGCCACGAACGGATGTTCTCAACCAACCCATTCAGGTTCGCCGGCCCCATGGTTATGCTCGACCCTTGTGGTCAGCCGTCTGGGCCTGCTGTCCTTTTATGTGACACTCGTGTATTAAATCAAACAATTTGATTTTCTCCTGGCCTGACCACCTTTTAGAAACCTTCCATCTCCCAACCACCCCGTGCTGGCAGTTATGTGAATAAGTATTCCCCAGGGTCGCACCTGGATCCCCCCAAGAAGACAGAGGTTTTCAGAATGCTGCAGGTGAGCATGCGGAACTAGAGCAAGTAGAAACGGAAGCCCAGCAGGAGCAACCATTCCATGAAGCATACATGTCAACAGCCCCGCATTTATCAAGCCCCATGTGTGCTATTGCATGTAGCTATCCCTATGGTTCCATTCCCTGAACCACACACATACTGGCAGCTACCTTCCCATGCAGCATTTCACATTCCAACTCTGTTTTTTTCCGCTCGCCTGACTATTCCCGGCCAGAAATTCGACCTGAATAACGACGGTGTGTTGGACCGTGTCGAGTTTGAACGATTCGTTGAGAGCTTCGGCAAGAACTTGACAAGGCGGGCGATCGTCAATGCTGCTGCCGTGTGTGCAGCTGTTCCAGCTCTCGTGTTCCTGACCAAGGCGTCTCTCAAGGAGTTTGAACCAACGCACAAAATTGCAAAGAAGATCCCTTCGTCCTTGTTAGCATGTGTCTTCACTACCGTACTTAAGATCGCGGGTCTGTGCTAGTTGCACATACTCGTGGTAGCAGCAACATTATCACTGACAAATGATTTGCTTGTGCTTATAACACATGCTGGCCACACGACTGACAGCCTACTGTGTGCTTCTCACTATGATCCATCAACCACTTGTTTTAAGCTATAACAGTAGCCTCTGTTTGGTATCATAGACACTTTCCCCAACAGGTAAATGGGTGTGTGCCCGTACAACTCATGGAGCATACCAAGTGTGAAAAGGGGGTTCGGGTTGGTCTCATCATTGAAGGACAAGCTGTTGTGTTCGTAATTCAGTGTAAGTCCATGCAAGAATAGCTCCTGCGATCACAACAATAAACAACACACCAAGCTAGTCATAAGCAGGTTAGTCCCTGTATGAGATGTCAAGTCTTTCAATATGCAAATCTGCGTGTGCCCCCGAGCGAGTTGTTATGGAGGCAAGTCTTATTCCCTATCATCCCGCCAATTCCTTGGGCGAACCGTCGTCAGGGATGCAGGTGTTGGGCGCGTGTCAAGGATTTTTTTTGCCAAAAGGAGGTGATGCCCAAAGCAGTTTTCCGAGCCTCGCCCAAAAATGTCAGGTCAAGCCAGTGAATGGCCAAACCTCCGGCTCGGCACCTGCACAGCCAGCTTATTGGTTGCCTTGGACATGGGCAACCGTTCCCGCTTGTGGGAAACTGCCCAGGCTCGGCAAACAGGAAGGCTTTTCCTCTCTGACATCGTCCCCTCATCGAGTGCTCTGATTGATAGGCATCATCAGAAGCCAATCATGATCGAGCAGCGACCCCGTCCCCGCGACATTCCCAATGCCACCCCATCGACATCACGCCCCTCTCAGCAAAAATATGACTGCCAAAAATACCGGAAAAAATTCTTCCCTCCAATTCCCCAAATGCCTGCCTCTAGATTCCTGCAGTTTCGCCAGGCAAAAGTTAGATACATCTGACAGTAGTGGCTTTCTGGACTAGTTTCGGAAGCCATGACTGATCAGTGAAGGCCTAGTGCTTGTTCGCTGATGCGATCGCGTGGTTGATGGCGCTTCTGACCGTTCTGTCCGTTTCAGAGCCGTTTGCATGAGCTATCAGACCAAAGGCTCTCTCCCTCCCTGTGTTTCTCTTGTTCAGACTAAGTGCTTCCTCTACTCACCAGCCTGATCACTTCCTGAGTTCAGGACGGCACCAAGCTTCCATTCTGACATTTGGAAAAATATTGCATGCTTCTAACTATGTAACTTAATCCGATCCCGACCGGAGTTCTGCTGATCGTTGCCGCGTGTAGGGTTACAGTAGTGTAGTGTCTGGAGCCGCTACTCTCGAACGTATTCTTTATTCAAACTATATGGTGAGCATCCCGTCTATAGATATTCGTTACTTCCCATTTTGTGGGATATCCCCTGTTACAACTCTAAGCTCTGCATATCAGGCGCAGAAAAATCGGTCTCTCTCCAACGCGTTGGCTTATAACCAACATCTACTTCGCACGACAACATCTTTGCTTCCCATCAAGCTTCCGGAGTTCAGACGGGGTAAAGGTCCCTAAACTGCTCTAAGGCAGTTTTTTTGTTTGGTTTGATTGTCAACGTACGACCCTGATTTGAGTTCTTACCAGAACCCAATCTCGACTACTCAAGGGTGTATCTTCGGAAGCTTGGCATCAGCGGCTGCAGCAGTATCAACATCAGAAGTAGCAGCCTCCCTCCGCTTCCCCGCAGGTTCGAGTTTCTCAAGGGTGTTATGCACCAACAACAGGAGGCACGATCCATGGCTCCCAATCAACTCCAAGCACAACCACTTCAACACTGGCAGAACCAACCCCCGCAACAGCAGCAGCAGCCTGGTTATATGTCTCAACAAATGCCATCCTGTCAGCCGCCGTTCCAGCAGCAGAGCTCCAATCAGCAGCGAAGTCTTGCCCAGCAACCACAGCAGCCAGCACAGCAGCAGCAGCAGCCTCAAAGCAATTATCAGTCTTCGCAAATGCAATTTCAGCAGCAGCCTCAGCAGGTTTCTCTACAACAGGCCCAGCAGTACCAGCAGCCAACGATGTATCAGCAGCAGATGCAACAACCGCAGCAGCAGTCCTTCCAACCGCAGCAGCAAGCGTTTCAATCACAGCAGCAGGCTTATCAGTCGCAGCAGCAAGGCTACCCACAGCAGCCACAACCGCAGCAGCAACAAGTCTACCAGACGCAATCGCAACATCAGCCACAGGCGAATTTCCAGCCACAGCAGCTCCAGCCGCAGTATCAACAGCAAAACATGTACTCCCAGCAGCAGCAACCGGGACTAGTGCCTCAACCCAACGTTTACCAGCAGCAGCCTCAACCGCAGCCGCAGCAGCAGCAATATCAGCCAGGTCTACAGCCTCAAGCGCAGCAGACTTACCAGATGAATCAGCCTCAGATGCAGCCATCCCAAGCACCTCCTATGCCAACCGCTGTCACCCAACAGCTCTCGGCTCCGCAGCCGCTACTAACTCAACAGCAGCAGCTGCAGCAGTTCCAACATCCTCAATACAACCCTCTGCAGCAGCAGCAGCCCCAGCAGCATGCTCAGCAGCAGCAGCAGCCTATCTATTCGTCGGAGGTACCTGTGCCTTCGTTTCAGAGCCAAGCACCAGTAGCAGCACCGGCAGCAGCGCCTCCTCATTACAATCCTGCTGCGTCCGCCAGTGGCGGTCAGATGAACATAAGCCCTCCACCCCAGCAACCATTTCAACAACCGCTGGCCCAACCGCAACCGCAGATGCAGGGGATGCCGGTTCAGGCGACATCTATGCAGGCGACACCGATGCAAGCGACGGCAGTTCAGGCGATGCCTATGCAAGCGACGCCTATGCAGGCGACGCAAATGCCCTCTCACGTGCCAAGCCAAGCTCCCATGCAAGGTATGCAGTAGCCGGTGGTCGGCCCCGTTGCCCGAATCCCGTGTTCCCTCGACCGTTTTCGTGCACGCTAATACCACCGCTCGGCGCAACTTTCGCGCTCGCGATTTCTCGCGGCTGCGCGTGTTCCGTGCGTTGGATTCACTTCCCTGTAACGACCCGTCCTGTAACCCACTCATTGCGCAGTGGAGTCGGGCGCGTGCGGGCCGTTCACGGTGGCGCAGTGGCAGGAGCTGGAGCAGCAGGCGCTCATATTCAAGTACCTCGTCGCGGGAGCCCCTGTTCCGCTGGAGCTCGTTTCGCGCGTGCGCTTGTCCATGCCGCCGCTGCCGTTCGGGCTTCAGACGTTTCATCCCATGGGAGGCTTCATGCCATGTACGTATTATGCGATCGCCATGATCTTTTTGTTGTGTGTTTTCTCTGCTGCCCTACGTATCGCGCCGTGTGACGGCGTCCCTTTCCCGCTCACTGGTTGGCGATTCATCTCTGTGCTTGGAAAACGAAAACGTCGCTAAAAACGTGTATGACGACTTACATCAAATGTTGTTCCGTGTGTGGCTGCAGCGTTCTGGGGGCCGTCGATGCAAGTGGATCCGGAGCCATTCAGGTGCCGCCGGACAGATGGCAAGAAATGGCGGTGCGCCCGCGAGGTCCGTTTCTCCACCTGCTTCCTATCCCGCGGATCACGCCACACCACTTGTCTTGCCTTTCTTCGCGCGAAGAACCTTGCATTTGCAAAGCTCCCCTCAACGCATTGCGGTTTCTGTTCTTTGCCCCAGGATTTTCCATTGTCGAGGGCTCAACATTCTGTCGTCAACCCTTTCTTTCCATTTTCTATCCTCGTGCCCTCGTCTCCTCGTCCCCTCTCGCCCTTACGCACACGCGCATCAGGTGGTGGCGGACCAGAAGTACTGCGAGCGCCACTTGCACCGCGGGCGCAACCGAGCGCGCAAGCTCAACGACAAGGCCACGCCCGGAACCTCCCTCGTGGCTGACGACGGGGAGACCACCCCCACAGCCACCACTGCCACCACCGCCACCACTGCGACCACGGGCGCTGGTGCCGCGGATGGCTGCCTCACGAGCGACGGAGTGAGGGCGATGGAGTCTGTAGAGGATGGGCGGGGCGCGAGCACGGGTTTTATGGACGCCAGGGCGGGGGGTGGTGGGGTGGGGACTAGTGGGGGGGCTGGCGGGGTTGCAGACAGGACAGGCAGTCCGTCGAGTGGCAATAGCAGTGGAGACGCTCTGTCTGCGGAGTGTGCTGGAGAAGGGGAGAACGGCGCGTGTGGAAGGGCTGAGGGAGGGAGAGTGGAGGGGGGTGGTGGTGCGGAGAAGAGTGGGATGGCGGGCGAGGGGAATGGAAGGAGGGAGGGTGAGCCGTGTCAGGGGGTGGTGGCGGCACCAGCTTCTGCTGCTGGTGCGGCTTCTGAGCCTGCAGGTGCCGTCTGTGTGCCTGCCACTGTGGTGTGTGTGTCCACCACGGATGTGATTTCCCCAGTGCCTTTACCCACAGGAGTGGTGTCTGTGGTGTCTGCACCCACTGGGGCAGCAGCAGGCGGGCACCCTCCTCCTCTTGCTCTCCCCCCTCCTGCGCATGCTGTGGAGGGCCTCGCTCAGCCTGTGCCACAGCAGCACCAGCAGCACCACCACCAGCAGCAGCAGCAGCAGCAGCCGCAGCAAAGGCTGCCTGCTGGTTCCCCTCTGGCTGGGTCCCAGCCTGGAGTCGTTTCCGTGGTACAACCAAGCCCAAAATTATCCCAATCTGGAAGTTCCACACAACCCAACACACTCGTTTCTCCGCCTGCTGTCGGCCCTGCCGTTGCTGCTACCATTGCTGGTGCATCGACAAAGCAGCGGGAAATGGGAAGCACGCAGGGATCCACCAAGACTAGTGGGTGAGTGAATCCTGGGCCATGGCATTTCCGTACTGGTTACTTTGCCAGGATTTCAGGCTTCTAACTACCTGTCTGCTTGTGTTCCTTGTACTGTGCTGATCGACTGTGCATGACAGTGCTGCTGCTACCCTCATGAAAGGGGACATGGATGTAGATGCGCAGAAGCAAGGGAACCAGGTTGCTGCCAATGGAGTTGTTGTATCACACACGAGATCCAATGTGGGTGCAGGAAAGGGGGTGCAAGGGCCAACAAGTGTCGGTGGGGCTTGTAACGAGGAGGTTGTTATTGTCGATGGGAAGGACGCATGCCGCTTGGTGCCTGGTGAAGGAGCGAAGATGGGTCAACTTGCTCAAATGCGTTCCAGGCCATCGCCAAATGTAAGTCCAATTGTCGAACCAGGCTTGCACGTTCAATAGTTTTGAGGTGGCATGACATTCTTGAGTATATTGTTCTCACTCCTACTTCCCTGTTGTGTTTGCAGTGTGTGCTACCATCTCCATTCCATGGTTCGGATGGTGGGAGTGGCGCACAGAGCCCAGTGGACATCTCTCCACTTGGACCTGTCCCGGTGGCACCATCAAATGAAGTGGTGAAGCATCAGTGAACGAAAACAAAAATATATTGCGCATCATATACACATGGACCCCCTTAACTCGACACCAATAGCGCCACACTTAGTGCCAAGTATGCTAGTTTTGTCTAACTAGGTAGATACCGTATGCTATGGTGTTATGGAAGGACTTGCTCTATTTATTCCCGTAAGCCTGAACTGATTGTATGCACATATGATGGTTCACTTCCCAGCACAATGGATAGCAGGATGAAAGTGCCCCTTAGAATGTACGCCTTATAGGTAGGCTGCCGTTGACACGTGCACTGACAAACAACCTCGGGAATTTTGCAAACATTCCAGCCAGTTCACCCCGCCCTTCCATCCGTCCGATCCGAACCGAAACCACGTTTCTGCTGGTTCCAGTCCAGTTAGGTTGCGATGCGAGCAAGCCGGTTCCCTGATGCCAGTCATCATCTGTTAGGCACCAGAATCAGGCCTTCTGTCATACAGACATGTGGTAGGACGCGGTAGAAGTGCTCGATCGGGGAGAGATCGATCCAGTCACCGCACTGAAAACCTGCATTTTGCATACCAAAGGTACACAACCTTTTACAACCGCGTTCAAAAACGAACCTGAGGCGATCGATTCTCCACTTTTACCGCGTCCTAAGCCATAATCGATGGCAGAATATGGCCATTTGACGACCATACCTTATTAGCTGTGGGAACGGCTGCTTGTTTGTCTAAGAGAGAGACCCTGGTCGTGCAGTGGCACGACCCTAAGCAGTTCATTTTTAGTCAAGTTTTGCAGTGACATCTTCGCGTTGTATCGCGTATTCTCGAAGAGAGACCCTGGTCGTGCATGTTATGTGCGACTAGCATTGAGAGAACCGACCATATCTACCGAGAATTCGCCAATTCATCCAGATGACTGTCTTTCTAAGAAAATCACAGAATTGAAGACGAGGCGTCGGTTCTCGTGACAGCCTGGTAGGGCCGCGACGATGCTGGGAAACACACGCCTTAGACAAGTCCGTTACTAATTGCCTGATGCGGCTTAGCTCGTAGTGCTGCCAGCAGCCGACCGAGACCATCCCTAAGCGTCTGACGCGACGGCTGGATCTGTCCTTTTGTAAGCCAGTTTTCTGAAGGACCAGCTGCAATGTCGTTCTTCTCGAGACTTATAAAGGGGTCGCGTGTATCGGAGGATCTGGACCAGGAGTACCCCGTGAGGAAAGACGTTGACGTCACTCAAGTCAGCAAGTTCCGTCCCCGGGTAAGGAGAATTTAAATTTCTAGTAGAGGAAACAAGTTTTAAAGGAGGAATTGAGGCATATTGGGGGAGATTAGTCCTAGCGGGAGAAGGAAAGAGCGTGTTCGGGGAGACGAAGAGGTTCGTAGGGGAGACGATCCGGCAAGCCATTCTGACTCAGTCCGTGCGCCTTCAGGTGAATGACGAAGCTTTTCGGGCCGTCAGTCAGCTTCAAGAGGATACCCGTCAACCGCATCTGACCGCCAGTCAATCATGTCAGACCGTCAGGCAATCATACCAGACCGTCAGTGAATTATACGAAGCCGTCAGCAACCGCGTTAGCATCAAGGCTGACGATCGCAACAGACCTTGAGCACCAAGCTGTTAGCATCAGTAGCCTATCCTCTTCGTGCTTTTATTCCTAATCCCTCCTCTCCTCTTCCCCCTCCCGCTCCCGCCTTCCGTCCTTCTCCCACTCTTCGTCGCCCCCTTTCTCCCCCTCACTCGCATTGCAACCCCGGTAATGTCACACACTGCGTACATGTGGAAAAGCGACTGTCTATTTCTGAGTTACCTAAGAAATTGGCATCCCAACCCCCGTTACTATCACACACTGCGTGCAGGTGAAGAAGCGACTGTCAGCCGAGAGATGGGAGGCGTGCCAAGACGATTTCGGCCGAGTGTGGGCCATTGATGCTGCTCTCAAGCACATACAGCGAGGGGTGCGTGCTTGTAGTGAGAGGTGCGTGCTTATAGTGAGGGGTGAGTGCTTATAGTGAGGGGTGCGTGCTTATAACGAGGGTTGAGGGGTGTGTGCGTTTGATAAAGGCTGTGCGCTTATAGCGAGGGGGTGTACGCTAGAAGCGAGGGGTGAGTGCAGAAACAAATACAAGGAAGGGGTTGGGGAGAACAGATGAACGTGGGGCGTCTCGACCCTCTCACGCATATCTCTATGCCCCGCCCGTGTAGTGACGCGATTTTTGAGGCGCCTCAAAGAGTGTCTCGCCCTTTTCACGCATATCTCTATGCCTCGCCCATCCCCGTGTTGTGACGCGATTTTTGAGGCGCCTCAAAGAGCGTTTTGACCCTCGACCCTCTCACGCATATCTCTATGGCTCGCCCATCCCGGCAGGGCGTGGAGCCGAGCATTCGAGGCGAAGTGTGGCCGTTCCTGCTGGGGCTCTACTCACCCAACAGCACCCACGAGGAGCGGGACGCCATGCGAGAAGCTCGCCGGTGAGAAAACCATGACTGAGGAGGACCCCTGGGATCTCACATACGGGCTCTACTCGCCCAACAGCACGCACGAGGAGCGGGACGCCATGCGAGAAGCACGCCGGTGAGAGAAGCAGTGCAGTGAGAGAGGCACGGCTGTGAGAGGCACGGTCTTGCAGCTCTTCCCCATGAGTGAGGACCAATGGGACCTCATGTACGGGCTCTACTCGCCCAACAGCACGCACGAGGAGCGGGACGCCATGTGGGAAGCACGCCGGTGAGACAAGGGAGTCACGCCTGCATGCCATGAGAGAAGCATGTGATGTGATGAGAGAAGCATGTGATGTGATGAGAGAAGCATGTGATGTGATGAGGGAAGCATGTGATGAGAGAAGCATGTGATGAGAGAAGCATGTGATGAGAGAAGCATGTGATGAGAGAAGCATTTAATGAGAGAAGCATGTGATGAGAGAAGCATTTAATGAGAGAAGCATGTGATGAGGGAAGCATGTGATGAGAGAATCATGTGATGAGAGAAGCATGTGATGAGAGAAGCACGTGATGAGAGAAGCATGTGATGAGAGAAGCATGTGATGAGAGAAGCATGTGATGAGAGAAGCATGTGATGAGAGAAGCATGTGATGAGAGAAGCATGTCGCTTCTAATCCCACTCCGTCCTCCCCTCTGCTCTCCCTCCCCCCCACCACCAACAGCAGCAATTTCTACACGAGGTCGAAGCAGGAGTGCAACGAGGTGGATCCGGTGGTGGGCAGTGGCGTGGCCCTTTAATTCCCTCTTATGCCCACTCCCCCTTTCCCCCCCCACACCCCCCCCTCTCCCCCTCTCACCCCCCCACCACCACCAACAGCGATTTCTACGCGCGGTTGAAGCAGGAGTGCAACGAGGTGGATCCGGTGGTGGGCAGTGGCGTGGTGGTGGACTTCCCCCGCGTGCTCGAGGATGGGTCTGACGTCCCCCTCCCCTCCTACTACAGCGGCCCCCACATCGAATGCCCTTCCTCCTCCACACCCCCCCGCCCTGCTGCTGCTGCTGCTGCTGCTGCTGGTGGTGGTCTAGAGTTGAATGGAGGAGGAGGAGGAGGAGCGGCAGGGCGGGACGGTGGAGAGGGGCAGAGTGCGGTGCTGACTGAGCGGGAGAGGCTGGTGGGGCGGGTGGGGGAGGAGCGGGTGCGCAAGTGGCGCCTGGGGCTGCATCAGATCGGCGTGGACGTGCAGAGGGCGGATCGCACGCTCGTGTTCTACGAGGAGGAGGGCAACCGCTCACGTCTGATGGAAGTCTTGGCTGTCTACTCGTGGTTCGACCCTGATGTTGGGTACTGCCAAGGTGGGTGCGTTGGGTGATTCTTGTGGTGGGGTCCCTCCTCTTCTCCCTCGGGGCTACCCTCCCTCCCCCACCCTCCACGTGCAGTTATGAGAGCCCCCGTGTCAACCTTCATTGCCACATTCGTTTGCACCTCTCTCATTCCTTCTCTATTCCCGTGCAACCCCTCCCGTTGCCCCTTTTCCCCCAGCATGAGTGGGCGTGAGCGACCTCATGTCAACCTTAATTGTCATCTGCCCCATGGGCCATCCCATTACACCACCAACCAATCCTATGTCTCCATTTTTCCTTTGTCTTCACTTCTTCCTCCCTGCCATCACCCCCCACTTAACCGCAAGCAGGCATGAGCGACCTCATGTCGCCCTTCATTGTCATATTTCCCTCCCGCTCCTCCTCATGTTGCCCCCCAACTCTGCCCAACTCCCTCCCATCCCATCCCACCACGAGCAGGCATGAGCGACCTCATGTCGCCCTTCATGGTCATCGTCCCCTCATGGGCCGTCCGCGCTACGCCAAGCCAACCAATCACATTTCTTCCTCCCCTTCATTTCTCCCTCCCTCCCCATCACCACCCTCCCACCCCCCCACGAGCAGGCATGAGCGACCTCATGTCGCCCTTCATCGTCATCTTCCCCAACAACGCTGATGCCTTCTGGTGCTTCGAACGCCTCCTGCGCCCCATTGTAGGTCCATGGAGATAGGGATGGAGTAAGGGGGGGGGGGGGAGGGAGGGAGTGACTTTTGAGAATTCTCAAAAGTGACTCCTGCGCCCCATTGTAGGTCCATGGAGTTAGGGGTGGAGTAAGGGGGGCGAGAGGGAGGGAGTGAGGGGAAGGTGATGAAGGAGGGAAGGCCTTATGTACCCCATTGCGAGGCCCTAGGATATTGGGGTTGGGGAGGGAGAGGTGTGGGGGAGAAGGAGGGGGGGAAGGTTGGGGGCGGGGAGAGGAGAGAGGGAGGGGCTAGCTGGTTAATGTGGAGAGAGGGAAGGAAGGTGCAGGATAGCGCCTTGTGGGTGTCTTGCGATCACCTCTGGCCTTTCGTGATTGTTCTTGGCAGACGAAAGGCATTGTTTGTTGAGGGATGAATGATGCAAGTGCGCCGCCGCCACCTATCCCACTTCCCACTGCATGTACATGTCTGTGCCCCTGGTCTTGCATGCACATCTTATCTTATGTGTGCTTTTCGCTCTGTCTGGCGTCTTGTGTGTATATCTTGCCTTGCCCGTGCATGCACCATGCAGAGGAGCGACTTGATGGGAACATCAGCCAGCATAGGCGTGCAGAAGGAGATTGTGACAACAACCTCAAGAACGAGTTTTGATCGAGGCGCCTCAAAACTCGCCTTGTGTGTGCTCATCCCACCCTGTGTGTGCCTTGCCTTTCCCATGTGTGTGTGCCATGCAGAGGAGCGACTTCATGGGCACGTCAGCCAGCATAGGCGTGCAGAAGGAGATCGACAACCTCAAGAACATCACGCGGGTGCTCGACCCGGAGCTGTTCGCCCATCTAGGTAGGTACGGCCCTACAAACTTGACTATGTAGGCACCACTACTAGGTAGGTACTGCGCGGTTAGCCATGCGTGTGCACGTGCACCCACACACAAGTGCAGCACTCTCAAGAACATCACGCGCGTGCTCAACCCCGAGCTCTTCGCCCATCTAGGTGGGCCCTGTTGCACGGAACCACACACTGTGAGGTAGCCAATGACTAATAGCCATGTGGCGCGACGACAGCATGTGCACTCTCAAGAACATCGTGCTCGACCCCGAGCTGTTCGTTCATCTTCTCCTTGCGAGTGATTCTCCTTGCGCCCATTTCGGGGAATTCTCCTTGAGAATTCTCAAAAATCACTCTCGAGCTGTTCGCCCATCTTCTCCCGTTCAGGTAGGTAGGTAGATGCTATGCTACTAGGGGCGGGATCCATGTTCTTCACAGTGCGACCCATCATGGCCATGACTCTATACTGCCTACCTCCCACCAACCCAACCCCTTCCCATCCTCCCCCCACTGCCTCTTGCAGACGAGATAGGAGCAGGGTCCATGTTCTTCACAGTGCGCCCCATCATGGCCATGTTCCGCCGAGAGCTCTCCTTTGCCGACTCCATCTACTTCTGGGAGGTACCGCTGCTGTTGCCCTACCCTACTTGCTATTTTTAGCATCCACTGCTATGTTTGGAAAGTACTAGGCTCCATGTTCCTCACGGTGCTGCCCATTATGGGGCCATGTTCTGCCGCGAGCTCTGCTTTGCCGACTCCATCTACTTCTGGGAGGTACTGCCACTGCTGCCCTGCTTGCTAATTTTAGGAACAGCTGCTATTTTTGGAAGGTTTCGCACTGCCTGGTTTGCTAGTAAATTCTGAAGTACTTGGATGTTCTGACTGCATGTGCTTCGGAGAATCTGGGAGGTGTTGCCTAGTTTGGGAAGTACTATCTCTTTTGGGATGCACTTCCTGTTCTAGCTTACGTACGCCTGACTTGCCAGGTCCCTTTTTGGCCAGTCCTGTCCCAGAATAGCCCTGCACTCCCCATCACCACTCCCTTCCCTTATCTCTATACCCCTCCCCTCGAAGAAATGTGTGCGTGGGGGACTATGACACCCAAGCTGCACACTCTCCTTCTGCCCTTCCTTCTCCCCTCTCACCCTCTCTCTCCTCCCTTCCAGATGATGTGGTCGTGGGACTATGATGCCCGGGACGCCGATCTACTAGCTATGGCGGACCAATCCGTGCTGCGCCACACCATGCACTTTCCTCATTCCACCGCCTCCCCACCTGCTCTCCCTGTCCCATGCCTTCCTCCCCTCTCACCCTCTCGCTCCAATTCCCTTCCAGATGATGTGGTCGTGGGACTATGACGCCCGGGACGCCGATCTACTAGCCATGGCGGACCAATCCGTGCTAAACCACCACGCCTCGAACTTCCCTCATTCCACCACCTTCCCCCATGCCCTCCACCAAAACTCGTTCGCCGCCGCCACCACCGCTGCTGCCGAAGCAGCTGCAGCGGCAGTTGCAGCGTGTGACGGCCCTGGGGTGGAGGCAATCCCGTCTGGTGCGGCCAAAGCTGCTGCCAAGGCTGCTGCCGCCGAAGCTGCTGCTGTGGCTGTGACGTCCTCTCAGGGATCCGGGGGATCCGGGGGGGATGGGATCACGCCTGGTGCTGCCAGGATGGCGGGTGCTGCGGCTGCAGTGGCGCGGGTGGCTGGGAGGGAGGAGGAGGGGCAGCATGGGGGGAAAGGGAGGGCCAGCCCTTTGAGACCAGGTAAGCGGTGGGCCGCAGGGGGGCATGAGATGCCGTCTGTTGTGGCTAAATTGGCTGGTGCTGCAGCTGCAGTCGACTCAAACAAGGTGACTTTTGAGTCGACTCAAACAAGGTGACTTTTGAGTCGACTCAAACAAGGTGACTTTTGAGTCGACTCAAACAAGGTGACTTTTGAGTCGACTCAAACAAGGTGACTTTTGAGTCGATTTACAAGTCAACTTGAAATTATGGGAGTTGCGGGGCACTTTTCTAACCATTGTGAAACTATTAGAGGAGGAGAACCCCCCATGGGTGGAGAGGGAGGGCACATTGGGAGCAGGTATGGGGTGTAGTTTAGGGTTGTTAGGCAAGAGATTGTGTGAAGTGATGTGATGTGATGGCAATGTGATGAGGCACCCCATCATTCCATTCCATCACCCCGTGCCATCACCCGACCCCTTGACATCACCTCATCATCATCCCATGACATCACCTCATCCCATGCCATCACCTCATCATCATCCCATGCCATCACCTCATCATCATCCCATGCCATCACCGCTATCACCCCATGCCATCACCCCATGCCATCACCCCATGCCATGAACCCATGCTATCACTCCATCGTCCCATCACCCATCACCCACGCCATCACCCCATGCCATCGCCCCATCATCACCCCATCATCAACCATCATCACCCATTATCACCCATTATCACCCCTGCAGGCACACGGTCCACTGCTGCTGCATGGGCGTCTGTGGAGGCAGCAGTCACCTCAGGCGCCCTCACCGACAACAGAAGAAACTCTTCCTCCTCCCACCCTCCCTCCCACCCTCCCTCCGCCTCCGCCCCCGCCACTGCCGCTGCTGGTGGCGGCAGTGCTGCTAATTCCCGAGCCAGCACCCCCTCACTCCCCGCTCACCGCCTCCCCTCCCGAAAGCACCACAGCGAGCACAAAATCCCCGCCGCCGCCACCACCACCCCCACCACAAACAACAGCACCCACAGCCATGCCATCGACGGGGCTCGTTCCCGCAGCTGGGCGGGAGTAGGGCCGTACAGGAAAGACGTGATTCGTTACGTTACCCTAGACGCGTCTGCGGGTAAGCTAGCTGCTAGCAAGAGTGCCAAGTACCTGTCCTCGCGACGCTCTGCTGTGGCGCTTTGGCACAAGGCACAGAAGCTCGCAGGGCCCGTGGGTACCGCTGCTGCCACCGCTGCCACCGCTGCCATGCCAGCTGATACTGTGGTGTTTGCTGTCTCAGCGTTTGCCGGTCGACCAGTCACACCGTCGTATGCTGCTGCCGGTGCTGCTGATGCTGCTGGTGGCGACAGTGGTAAGGTTGGTGGTGGTGGTGGTGGTGCTGCTGCTGCTGCTGCTGGTGCTGCTGCTGGTGGTGGTGGTCCGGCTGCAGTGCCGATGCCGTTGAATCTGCCTCCGAGGGCCCATCGACGGACAGGATCGTTCGGGCTGGGAAGACGAGGCAGCAAGAAGCACGCCACTGCACCCACTTCCCCCACACCCCAGCAGGCGCCTTCAGCAGCAGCAATCGGATCCACGCTAGAAGCAGCAGAAACAGCCGCAAAAAAAGCAGCAACAGCAGCAGGAGCTACTGCTGCAGATGCAGCTGCAGCAGCGGCGGAGGAGGCAGGGGCGATAGTGCCCCCACAACCATCTGCCTTCTACGCTCTTCCAGAGTCCGCGGGGGTGGCGGTGCCGTATGTGCGTAGGGAGGAGCAGGAGCGCATGACCACCTTCTGTGTGCTCGCCATCGTGCTCAAGCTCAGGGACGAGTTTATTGATGACGCCTCTGGGCTCGACGACGTGGTTGATGTGAGTGTAACGGGGGGCGGAGGGGGGAAATGGGGAGGGAAGATTGTAAGAGGGAGGAGCAGGAGCGCATGACCACCTTCTGTGTGCTGGCCATCGTGCTCAAGCTCAGGGACGAGTTTATTGATGACGCCTCTGGGCTCGACGACGTGGTGGATGTGAGTGTAACGGGGGGGAGGGGGGGAGGAGAGGGAGAGAGGAGAGGATTGTGGGGCTGCAGATGGGGGGGAATTGACGATGTGGTGGGTGTGAGTGTGAAAGGGGGGGAGTGAGAGGTGCGGGGGTTGGGGGGTTGGTTGTCTCACGGTTGGAATCAGTTGTGAAGGGGGGGGAGTGAGAGGTGCGGGGGTTGGGGGGTTGGTTGTCTGCCTGCGGTTTGCTGGTTGGGCACACGGCTGGGCAGTTTGAGGGACCCGACCCGAGTGTGTGTGTAAGCCTCAAAACATTCAATTTTCCCTGTGTACCACACGTCCCTGGTGGTGGTCTCTATTTTTCATGCCTAAAAAATGGACGTTCATAATATCCCTTGTCCGTCCCCACCACCCCCCACTTTCCCCCCCTGGCCCATGTGCCCCCCTTTTCTTGTGTGGTCCTTTCCCTTCTCCCCTCCTCTGCGAGTGTACCTCAGAGCTTCAATGCAGCAGCAGGGTCATGGGACGTGAAAGCTATGTAAAAGGGCCGTGGATCTTCATTCTTTCGCTTCAACAGGCATTAAACTCCTCTTCTTGTGCCTCTCCCTCCCCTCCCCTTCTCTGTGAGTGTCCCTCAGAGCTTCAACGCAGCAGCAGGGTCATGGGACGTCAAGAAGCTTTGCAAAAGAGCTGTGGATCTTCATCGCCAGTATCTTGTACTGGTACGTGCTTATAACGAGGCAGTACCGTGTACTCGTGCTTGCTATAATCAGGACGCCCTAACATGCATTCGCTATCATGCCATGCCACTCATCCACCCCTCTCTTCCCACAGAAACTGGCGGCGCATGAGCTTGGTCGAACCCTCTGATCTATCAACTCGTCTGTCCCGCAGTCCCACAGTTACCTAGTTATTTGCAGCTTAGTCGAGCCTTACAGCAGTGGCGGCTGCAGCCACTGCCCATGGCTCAAATTTTGAGCGTTTTTGTGGAAGGAGCCTGATTTTGGGAGCCTGATTTTGGGAGTATGATTCTATGAACGCGAGAGACCTGTATGCCATTCCTACACTCCTAGTATTGAGTCGGCACTAGCGCCGGGGTATCGCTGTACCAAAGTGACCAGGGCCATAACTTGGCTTGTTTTACATGTGCCCGACATGGGTTTCACACATGGTAGACCGGGAAGCAGAGCGAGCCAACATTTCTACAACACGTGGTGGACATTTCTTTATCCAACTACCATCTGAACCCGCCGGTCCAACTATCCACATAACCACATCTTGAACCTGCTGGTCCAACAATCCACATAACCACATCTTGAACCTGCTGGTCCAACAATCCACATAACCACATCTTGAACCTGCTGTCGGTTCTCGGCAATTCTTCTCACGTGGTGATCAGATTAGCATTCCTCAGTGGACCTCAGTGGAGCTCAGCAGTCCTCAGCGGTGCTCAGTGGTCCTCAGCGGTGCTAGGTGGTTCAGCAGCGCTCAGTAGCAGGCTAGCGAAGCTCAGCGGTCCTTGAGGGTTCTCAGCAGTCCTCACCGGTCCTAAGCGGTCTTCAGCGGTCCTCGAAGGAGATGAGCAGGGCCAAGCGACAGTGCACCTGACAGCACACACATGGTGGAAAGAAAGATCCAGACGTTTAAGGGCAGGACTTCTGGAAACAAGACGATTCAAAGCGTCACCTCTTCTGAGTTTACCCAATGGCAACCCAATGGCCACAGATAGACTGACCTCTGACAGCTGCTTCAGGGAATGATTGTGCTGCTGCTTCAGATCCTGTTTCACTTGAGGAGACAGCTTGCAAGGGGGATGTAACGCGGGGCTTGATTTCCCAACACCCTCTAGAAGCAGCTGCTGAGGGGCCGATGGGCAATCGGACGATGGAGAGACATGGATGGATGATGATTCCGAAAGGGAAGACGAGGTTGAAATCGGCACCGAGGTTGGGATGTGGGGGGAAGAGGTGGAGGAGGGGGAGGAGAGGGAGGAGGAGAAAGAAGACTCGAGAGAATCGGCAGGTGCGGTGCGATCTTCATTCAATGTTGATAGGGATGAGGTGGATGATGATGATGACGTGGCACTGTCTGATTGGAGGAGCCTTTCGCAACGTTGAATGTGAGCCTCGATGCGAGCTGCCTTCCTCTACAGCTGGTCCCGCATCTTTTCTCGGGCTGCCCGGTTCACCTGCCCGCTCATCAACTTTCTCCATTTCTTGCCCACTTCTTGCTGCCCCGAGCGCCATTTTTCCACCATCACCCCAGCTCCCTCGATTGCCCCTTCTCCTCCAGATGAATCCACTGAAGTGCCATGAGCTGACGTGACTAAAGCAGGTGTGACTGCAGCACGTGTGACTGAAGCACGTGTGACTGAAGCACGTGTGTCAGCAGCAGAGCCAGATGTGACTGTATCAAATGAGGCAGCAGTGGCGGGTGGTTGGGGGTCGTACCAATGGCGTGGCAGCCCAGCAGTGGCACGGGCTGCATGGTTGAACGGCCCCTTCACCCCATCCGCACACAGGGAGCAAATCACACCTGGCAGGCGAAAGGGAGGCATGGAGGGGTGGGAGTGCGAGCGGTGGGTACATGTGAGGAAGGTTCTAGCAGGGCCATAATAGCCCAGCAGCAGCACGAGCTGCATGGTTGAAGGGGCCTTTCACCCCATCGGCACACAGGGAGTGAATCACACCTGCCCAAAGAAAGGGATGAATGGAAAGGTGTGTATGTGACATGTGGGTGCATGTGAGGAAGGTCTTAGCAGGACCATAACAGCCCAGCAGCAGCACGAGCTGCATGGCTCAACAGCCCTTTCACCCCATTGGCGCACAGGGATCGAATCGCAGCTGGCCAATACAGGAAACGAACCCCACCACCCTCCCACTCACCGGTAAACGACGTCTGTGGGTCCACGCCCATGCGCTCGCAGACCCAGACAAACCACGCCACCCCGACTGCCACGTGTGCCACCTCCTCCTGGGCTATCTTGGCCACCAGCGCTGCACTCCTGTTATCTCCCAGCCCCACCAGCCTCTCCACCAGCCGTGGCCCCGCGTCCAACCCACGTGCCTCCTGTTGAGAGGGAAGGAAGGAGGATGGAAACAACGTTAGCCGTCTTCTCTCTTGATTCCTCTTCTTTCAACCTCCTCCTGGGCTATCTTGGCCACCACCGCTGCACTCCTGTTGTCTCCCAGCCCCACCAGCCTCTCCACCAGCCGTGGCCCCGCGTCCAGCCCCCTCGCCTCCTGAAGACATGGATAGAATGAGGAGCGGGGAGTGATGGGGAGAGTGATCAGAGGAGGAGAAAGAAAGAAAGAAAGAAAAAAAAAAACGGAAAAAGGCACCAGAAGGTTTTCTGTCACCAACAACAACAACTACATGAGAAATCTCATCTCTCCTCCTCTGCTCCTCTCCTCCCATATCCTCCCCTGATTGTCCTGTTGCTGTCATCCCACGAGACCAATCAAGGAGTAAACGAGTGTTGCATGATGTTCCCTAGGTGCGTCGTGATTGGCCGGAAGTACCTGCACCATGGGAATGACTGCCAGCCTGTCTTGCACGTGATTGGCCGACTTCTCACAGTCCCTCCAGAGCAGGTTGTGAGCTGGCATATCCCCGTAGCTGCAGGTGGGGGGAGTTGGAGGCAGAGGTGGGGGAGAGGGGGGGGGGGGGGGGGGGGGGGGGGGGGGGGGAAGGGCAGTGATGGTCCCTCCAGAGCATGTTGTGAGCTGGCATGTCTCCGTAGCTGCAGGTGGGGGTGAGATGGAGGAGTGATGGGGGAGAGATACGGGAGAGATGGGAGGAGAGATGGGGAGAGGGAGGCGGGGGGGGGGGGGGGGGGGGGAGAGAAAGAGATGGGAAGAGGGGGGGACGGGGAGAGGGGGGGGTGGGGGTGAGATGGGTCTCGATTGGGAAAGAGTTGGATAGGGGCAGTGCAACAAGGAGAGGGGCTAGGGGCGAGGGATGAGGGATGAGGGATGAGGGATGAGGGATGAGGGATGAGGGACGAGGGACGAGGGACGAGGGACGAGGGACGAGGGACGAGGGACGAGGGACGAGGGACGAGGGACGAGGGACGAGGGGACGAGGGACGAGGGACGAGGGACGAGGGACGAGGGACGAGGGACGAGGGACGAGGGATGAGGGATGAGGGATGAGGGATGACGGATGAGGGACGAGGGATGAGGGACGACGGATGAGGGATGAGGGATGAGGGATGAGGGATGAGGGATGAGGGATGAGGGATGAGGGATGAGGGATGAGGGATGAGGGATGAGGGATGAGGGATGAGGGATGAGGGATGAGGGATGAGGGATGAGGGATGAGGGATGATGGATGATGGATGAGGGATGAGGGTCCATGACATCTAGGAGTGGTGAACAACTGATCATGTGCATCCTGTACCATGTGCACCTCACCTGCATGGACCGCATCCCACCTGCAAGCACCGCATCCCACCCACCTGTGCCCCATCTCTTCCAGTCGCTGCAAGCACCACGCCAGGTGCCTGCTCTCATCATCTGCCACGTGTACAAAGTCCAAAAAGAACTGACGTGGAAGCTTCCACTTTTGCCCCAAGCTCTCCCTTCCCCCCTCCTCCTCCTCCTCCTCCTCCTCCTCCTCCTCCTCCTCCTCCTCCTCCTCCTCCTCCTCCTCCTCTTCCTCCCCCTCATCCCTCCCACTCCCTCCACTCCACACCCTCTCCCCCTCCTCGTCCCCCACCTCCCCCTCCACCTCCCCCGCCTCCCCCTCCACCTCCCCCTCCGCCCCTAGAGCGGAGAATCTGACAACAGTGTCCCATGCCAGGTCAATGGCGTTCAATTCCACGTGGGCTAGATTGTGCAGCATGTGTGCTGGCCAGGGTAAACGGGATGAGGGGCCGGGCTTGGGGATTGCCCGCGGGTGAACCTGGGGAGGGGTGGGAAGCGGTGGGGAGTGGTGGAGAAGAGGGTAGAATAGGGTTGATGAAATTTGGGGGGGGGGGGGGTGTGGGAAGATCGGAAAAGGGAACGCGGAAGGTTTGGGTACCCGGCCTCAAATCCCCCCATCACTTTCTCCCCTTTCCCCCACTCTTCCTTTCTCCTCCTCCACTCTCGCCCTCGCCTCCTCCCTTCCGTACCAGCTCTGGTCGAGCAGGCCGGGCGGGTTTCGAAGGGGCAGTCGCCTCACCAACTGGCGCCGCCGCCGCCCCCGCCGCTGGCTCGCCTGCGACCGCCGCGCCGCCGGCGGGCAAGCGGTGCGCGGCGTGCGTGACGGCGATCTTAACGCGCGGGTCGGGCGACTCGAGCACCATTCGACCACACTCGGCCAGCGTGGCAGGCAACGCGATCCGATCCCACGCCACCGGGTCGCCGCCACCGCCGCCGCTGCGGTCTTTAATCGCTCCATCATCAACAGAGGAGGTTGAATAGTTTTCCGTGCCGGAAGGTGAATCACAGGAACTGTCAGAGGCGGTTGGGGGATCGGACGAGCCTTTGGGTCCCCAGAACGTGTCTGTGCGGATCGCTGCACTTCGCCACGCTGCCAGACCTGCCCATTCTCGCGGCTCATCCAGAACCGTCCGATCGTTGACCTCCTGCTGATGCGTTGAATAATCAATGGTGGTTATGTCACGAATCTGTCGCGTGTCTTGCTCATGCGGCTGGGTCCCCCCAATACGTTCAGATAAGGCCTTTCCATTCCCACGGTGTGTTCTCGATAGTGTCTGATCGCTTGATTTAGAGAGCACGGCTACTATTGACCTTGATTGTCCCGACGTTGTTGAATCGCCTAAGACGACAACACTACTGCTTGGACAAAGCCTAAGACGGCAAGGACCTGGCAATGCGACAGTTGCGACCGGTCGTGTAGTCTTTATGCTGACATGGCGAACGACAGAGAGCAGAGATGTCTGACGCGTGATACGAAAGGGAACGGCATGGAGCGCCATTCGGCAGCATTTGCAAGCAGGGCAGGTTGACGTGGAAATGTGGAGTGGAATGACCTTTGAACAAAAAGGCCTCGTTACGGGAGGGACCAAAACAACAAGAACGTAAGAGGGAAATGTGTGGTAATCAGAAAGAGGTAAATGTACGGCGCGATTACTTGGCAATTACCGTAGCACCAGCCATTCAGAGAGTCCCGCACCCAGCAGCAAGCAGCACAGCCACAGCAGCACACCTCGACTCATCTGCTGCACACCATGCACTCTTAATCAGCAGCCTGGCTGCTCCTTTCCAGTCATGTATCATCAATGTCTTCACAACATTATCCAGCCAAGCAATTCTATCTGCATCCAGGTGCATGCAGGTAAGAAGCACGTCAACAAGACCCTTCTGAACGTCACAGCAGAACCTGCTAGTGTCAATGGCAAATTCTGATGTCAATTTCGTTGCTAGCAGCCTCCTCACACTGATCTCCAGCAGTTGGCTGATCTGAGGGCCTGACAGGCACTCAGAACCAGAATAAACCTGCAAGCAACATCGACAATTGAGACTTGAATCTCTGGTAGAAAAAGTTGGCTTGAAATGTCTAGAAGTACATGACAAAGAGCACCCTCCAGTAGACGGTCTTCAAGAAATACCTCATGAACATCAGCACGAATCAGATTGAAATCGGACAGGACGACAGCTGAATCCTGATCCAAGTTGTACCCAGCGCCGACAGCACGGTAGCCAGCAGTGCTGTTGTAAGCACACGGGTGCCAGCCTTCAGTCCTCGACAGGTATTGAGCCGTGCTTCTAAGGCACTTCGGCTCGGCGCCGTTGACAGCGGGCCTTGCTTCTTGCACTTGAGTCGATATTCTGTTCAATTCGCCTCTATACCTGAACACGCCAGCTTGATTGTGTAACCTGGTCTCGGCATCTGAGCTGCTCGTTCCAGTAATTCCTGAGTCGTCGTCTTTAAAGATGAGAAGACCGTGACGGATTTCCGGTGGTTGGACCTCGTAAAATTCATATCCGCCATTGATTCGATCTTGGGTAACATCCGCAGCGAACACTGGATTCTGAACAAGGAACACACTCCAAAGAACAAACGGCACGAAACACCAAATGGACATCCTCTCGCGATTAATCTTGACAATAAAAAACACTCTACTTGGAAGAGTCACGTATCACGGGGCAAACTTAGCCGCAGAATGAATGTTCAGTCCCGCAGGTGAGCACCAGCAGCAGGTCGACGTACCTGTTGCGAGACGAGTTCATGTGGTTTCGAGGTCCATCATTGGGAAGTTCGTAGAAGAATGTGCTTACCCAGCCTCAAATCGGATATCTCGAGGTAAGTGGAGCCATGGCGAACGAATTTACACAGCTGGCGAATGAGCGCATGCAGCTATTTGAAATGGGTATGCAGGCTGGGGTGGTTCATAGGATTATTTCTTGTTACTTTGCCTTGCATGCATGTGCAACACGTGCCAGTGGTCTAGTGGTAGAATAGCACCCTGCCATGCAGCGCGGTGCAGACCCGGGTTCGATTCCCGGCTGGCACAGGTGATTTTGTTGCCCGTTTCTCTACGGGCCAAGTGTAGGGAGGCGTACATTTTTTCTATTGCCCGTTTCTCAACCCACCCACGTGCGAACATCGTCCGCCCTTCGCCGTCGCGCCGCACCCGATTCGAGATTCATTTCAATTTCCAACAACCCAAATGTCTCCTGATTTCACGTCGTGCGTTCCCAGACTTGCCTTGACGCTCGGGAGAGTGAAGCTTTTTGTTGGGAAGCAGTCCCCCAGCACGCACGCAGCATAGCACACCGAGCATGGCTTGTCCTTGGCACCCGAGCCGAGTCCCTCCGAACCGACGAATGCGGACGGCAGTTCGTTTGCCGAAGCAGCCTCCGAAAGGCTATCCGTCTCGCGTTCATCAAATACCAGACGCGGAGAGAGAATCACAGTTGAGTTTATACCAATTTACTCGTTCCGTTTCTCAGTCAAAAAGTTATCACTAGCTCGTCGAGTCCGATCAGATGCTCTGAAGGTCCCAAAAGGTCCCTACGCAATAAACGAAGCTCTATGGTGCAGTGCTTGTAGTGAAGTGCGTTTCCTTGATTTGACTGTCCTTTGCAGGTCGAAAGCGCTTCGAAACATTCCCATACAGCGCATCTCGGCACGTTGAGGAGTTGCCAATACCTCTTCCGCGGACTATCCCCCCTCCAACGATACCAGCATAATTCAGCCGTCCGTTGGCCGTTTCCTCTTTGCGGACTCGGGCCTACTGACGCCGTGCTATTAGGCCGCCTAGAATTAGCCATGCAACGCACTGTGCTACTCGTTCTTCTCGTGCTTCTGGTGGCGCCGTGCTTCACGGCGCGGGTTGCGGCGTCGTCGTGCATCACGGCGTGCACGGTGCCGGGGACGGAATACGCCAACGCCAAATGCGTCAAGCACTGCACGGTACGTCGAGTGTTGCGCTATGAGTCGAGCACTGGGCGGTGCGTCGAGCACAGCACGGTACGTCGAGTGTTGCGCTGCGCGTCAAGCATTGCATATCGCGTTCAGCTTTGCACAGTTAAGGCCGATGAGGAGGTGAGTTTGGGTCGACTCAAGAGTCACCTCGTGAAATTTTGTACTGCATGTTCCGCGGTGCACGGTGAGCCAATTAAAGAGTCGCCTTTAGCACCGGCAGCGCGGTACCGTGCACGCACGGCGCACGCAAGGTCAGCGTGCTCCTAGTTAGGGGCGTTATCGGCACGGGCGTGATTGTAGATTTGTTTTGCGACGTCTCAAACCAAATTTACAATCACATGGCGCACGCAAGGTCAGAGGGCTCCTACTGTAAGGGCGTTCCGGGAATGGGCGCGCGTGGCATGAGGCACGATAGCGCTGCGATGCTTACACGCATTGACCCGTCCCGTCCGGCCAGAACCTAGTTTTTCTGGACTCGATGTGGTCGACTTGGATTCGCCTCAACGCACAAACAGAGCCTGCTTGTGAGATGAGAGTATGTTTGTTGAGACACCTCAACTGATGCGCGATGCCGCTGTGGTTGTTTTAGGAATGGAAATGGGTCATGCCGGACTGGATGTGAAATGCGCGTCGCAAAAATTCCATCTCGCACTGTTTGACTCATCGCAAATCATTGATTGACTCCGTTCAAACCCTCGTCCGTGACTGAAACTCATCTCCCTACTCGTGGCATTTCCGTTCGCAACGTCCGTGCATTTCGTTTCAGGCCGTACGTCCCGTCACTCCTATCATCTCTCTCTCACTGCCTTCCTTCCGCTCGCCGTTTCTGTTCCGCTCATGCAAACTCTGATGACGTTCCGTCTTGTTTCCAACTTACTTCGCGATTGTGTGGTCTGTTCTCACTGCGTGTCTCTTCTCGTTCGTGTTCTGCGTGTATCGTTCTCCTCACTGGGGTTTTTTCTTATTTGATTGAACGTTTACTTCATCAAATATCGTCAAATATCATCAAATCCCCGGTTTCCACCTTTCTCCCCCATCTCGCGTTCCGACGACTAACAGGCATGCGTGGCCGATACACCCCCATCTTGTAACGCGTATTTCAGGCCCGCCTGGAGCACCTCGTGTGAGTTACCCTTGTCTCGCAACAACATAGACCACACTTATCATATAGCATCCGTCGTTTGTTCGTCTTCACCGATTAGCTTCCTCAATTCACCATTCTCCACCCACCTCCTAACAGCTCCATCGTTTCTCATTCTCACCATTCTCCACCCCCTCACTTCCATTACCTGTCTCGCCCCCTCTCGGACCTTTCAGACCGTTACATTCGGTACGAGTGCGCGACGAGCTGTCCGCCCACTCTCGCCTGGTCGCAGTTCCTGCTGGTAACCGTCGCGATTCTCTTCGTTTCTGTCGCCGTCGGCGTCACATTCTATGCGTGCATAACAATGAGGGTTCGCTGACGTGCGCTGGTCAGTGAACCTGTCCTCTTAGAGACCTCCTCCTGCAAACCCTTCTTCTCCAACGGTTCTTACACAAGACAAGCGGTCGCTTGTTGGCGCGATTCTTACAGAAAGCGGGCAGTCGCTAGTTCGCATGCTGGGATATCATTACAGAGGATAATGTGGCTATGTTGCAGCTTGGCTATTGGAATCAAGCGTTCGACTAGGGTTGATTCCTGGCCATCTTTGTGTTTTCATGTTGCTTGATTACTGTGGGTTGGTGTGGGATTGTTTGTGGTTACAAGTCTTGTATATTAAATGCTTCACAAGTAAGTGAAGGTTGCATTATGAGAGCAAGAAAACCAATAAATGAATACGGATGAACATTTGAAAACGAGAGCGTTTTCCTTTTCTCAAGTTCATCAGCAGCAGCCATGCCATTGTCCAGTCCGACACCTTGAACCTTCTCCCATGCAGTCTAGTCTGAACCCTGCCCTCTCCTCCAGTATGTGAATTACCCCGTGAGTTCACAGCTTTCTAATAGTCGCGTTGGAATTTACCAGCTATAGTGCTATTCAACGTCGTATTAACGGCGAATGAGATGAACACGGGAACCTGGGAATCCCTCCCGCGAAAATAGGTCGTCTGAACGGGAAGAGCGCTGCTTAGCACCGAGCCACTCATCGTGAATGTCGTAGGACCACGTCTTGGCGAAATGTTGTACCACTTTCCCGAAAGCTGGACGAGAACCTTTGGGGTGGTAACCAGCGGGTCGCAGGGGTCTGTGGAGTAGACGGTCATCTTCGCGGGAGGCACTGCGACACCCTGAACCATGAGGCCGTAACGAATTTCGTTCGTTCCCGTGGTTCTGCGAACAATAAGCAGCAACGAAAGGGCAAGTGAGGCCGTAGTATGACTGAAGGGTCGAGGATAAGAACGTTCAAGGGTAAGGACGGCACAGCGGCAATTCTTTTGAGTCGACTCAAAAGTCAGCTCAAGGGTCGAGGATAAGAACGTTCAAGGGTGAGGACGGCACAGCGGCAATTCTTTTGAGTCGACTCAAAAGTCAGCTCAAGGGTCGAGGATAAGAACGTAGGGTGAGGACGGCACAGCGGCAATTCTTTTGAGTCGACTCAAAAGTCAGCTCAAGGGTCGAGGATAAGAACGTTCAAGGGTAAGGACGGCACAGCGGCAATTCTTTTGAGTCGACTCAAAAGTCAGCTCAAGGGTCGAGGATAAGAACGTTCAAGGGTAAGGACGGCACAGCGGCAATTCTTAAACGCAAAAAAGACGCTACCTATGTCGAGACGTCCATAGCAGGGTTACGCATCGTGCGAACACTCTACAAGAATTGCCATGACTGCTACTTACTGTGTGGAAAGGACGTCAATCATCGCGGCTCCGCGAATGGGAGCCCAGCCGATGCATGGCCGCAAGTTGGTCTGGTAGCGCGCCAATGGCGACGGCCGCCAACGACCGCCTCCCCTTCCATAATCACTACCACCCCTTTGGCTGTCGTCGCGGCCTGGGTGGGCTACGACAAGCGCACTGGCGAGAGAATCGCGACGGCGAAAACCAGGAACCGTGCCATTCGAGATGTGTGCTGCGGGGTGAGCTATATACGAGGCGAAGAAGCAAGACGAAGCAATTAGACTTGAATGGCGAGCGTAGGACAAGAAGCAAGAATGTTCATTTGTAGTAGGAATGGTGGTGTTGGGAACTATGAGGAATGGTGGTGTTGGGAACCAAGAGTTGCCTATCATCACCATCACCATGAGGGGCAAAACGGCGGTGGAAAATGAAGAAACAGCTGGCGAATGGCACATGGCGAGAACATGGTTTCCACTCAAGGAAAAATGCTATCCATTTGCTGGCGAAAGGCATGTGGGGGAGGAGGTTCGGGTTATCCTGGCGAACGGTTGTCCCGCACGCCACGTTGGGCGTGGTGGTGACAAACGAAACAACTAAATCACAACTCACGATGTACAAACAAACCTGGACGACAACTAGCGACAACCTGGTAGCCAGCACCCGAATTTCTGACGAAGATATGAGACCCCGGTTTTAACGACAACTAGCGACAACCTGGTAGCCAGCACCCAAAATTCTGACGACCAACAACCAGCAGCGGCGGCTCGTTGAAAATGCATGACCACGTTTGGGTGGGAGGAGGTTGCTGGCTGCGAGGCACCCGACAAATCGCATCGCATGTCGCGTGCCAAGGTGAACATGTGGGTTTCAGGTCACTTCTCGAGGTGGCGGACAACAGGCCCAGTTCAACAGAGAAAGCCTCCCAGCACATATTCGATGCTTCGTTTGAAACGAGATGCACTAACAAATTGAATATTTTCCTCGCATCTACGTGTTAGATATCTATTCCAGGTATCAGGTTCGCCTGAGTGGGAGTGCATGATTAACATCAGAAAACATGTCCGCGCCAATTTCGCGAGCCGAGCAAACAAAAAGAAAAAATGAATAAAAAATACGCGATAAATTAACATTGTCTTAACATATAATAAATAAAAGCATAAATGCAATCGGTAGGCAGTAGGTGGTATCATAAACCCTAGTGAACTTTCAAGTCTACTTGTTCTGCATGAACTTGCCAGCAACGGTGCCGTTACCCGCAGTAGTGTTAACGAACATCATCACATAAAGGGGCTGCATCTTCCACACCTTACCCCAGGCGTTGCCCTTAGGAGCACCAGCAGGGCGAGGCTGCGGCAGAGCGGTCTCATTCACAGTGTTGCTCAGAGTGTACACCTGGGGAGGGTTCGCGTTCTTCCTCGAGGCTTTCTGGGGCGCGTTCACCCAGGTTCCGTTCAGGTCAAGAACCAGCTTCTGCTCGACAAGCGGATCGCACGGATCGGTGCTGTAGATACCCTGGACGGTGGGCGGCTCGACAGTTCCGGAAATAAGGAGGCCATAGGTCATGGAATTGGTTGTGTTGTCCTCGGTTGAAAGGACGTTCGCAACGATGGATCCGCGGACGAAGGGAAGCGGCTTGCACGGCTGAACCGTTCCCATGTACCGAGCTGCGTGAAGCATACAATGAGAAAGCATCCCAACATTGAAGGCATTTTAGTTCAGGGAAAGCAGAAAAAAATCAGCTATGATGGAAACCCAACGAAAAGCAGCCAACAAACTCACCAAGCACAACAGGCTTGAATGGCTTCTTGGGTTTGGGGGCTTGCCGGGACCCCCAGTGCTGCCTGTGCTTCCGGTACTTCCAGTGCTCCCGGTACTTCCAGTGCTCCCGGTACTTCCAGTACTTCCAGTGCTGCCCTTGTCAGGGCCTTTACCGGGTGGTGGGCCTGCCTCCGCTCCTGAAAAATGGAAAGAAAAACAACGGACGACGTAACCACGTTAAGGTCCAGTGATCGCACGCAGGAACTTCCTGAAGGTGATGTCCAAGGAACAACCTACACCCTCAGGAACTTTCTGAGATACAGCATAATACAATGTCTAGCGATGAAACTGAAAAGGTCGCGTACTTAGGAGCAGGAGGGCGAAGCATGCGAGGACGATGGTGAGTCGCGCCATGGGACTGATTGGGAGGTTCTCGATCTCAAATCGATCACTGATTGAGCGTGTGTGGGTGGGAGTGAGCTAATACTAGGACTCCAAGTCGGACTTGTAAAACGTTACACGGAATGAGGATGCTTTGTAGATCGGAGTGTGAAGAGACGAAGGCGCGCGTTGGGCTGGATTTCTATCTACCGCCTCACCTGACTGGACCTAGAGCAGCCATGTGCTGTTGGTTCGGTGAGTTGCAGCTGCTGTGCTGCTGTAGTTGGTACGGTACAGTAAGGCATTGCTGCTTGCCCAACACGAATCACGATCAACGACGCGAAAGGTTCGCGCACATTTTCCACTGTTGCTGGGGTTTTGTGAAACCCGTTTCTTTTCCGCGCTTGCATCGCGAGATCGGAGAGGAATATTCCGCTCTCGGGCACCCAGGCTAGTGTGCTATGGATGTCGGTGAATCGAGGAGGATTACAAAAGTGGCCGTTTGTCGGTCATAGTGACTCTTTGTCTTTTCCCACCGTGGGGCTTGGATCTAGAAAGTCGGTACAAAAACGCAGTTGAGGCGAGAGTGAATATGGAGGGAGAACCTGCTCTTCTATCGAAACAGATCAGACCCAGTTGCAAGAACCTTCTTTGAGGGATTGATTGAACCAGTCCCTCCACTCCGCGTTCAGGGTGGATAAAGCTGTTGAATTCCCTACATTTGTTTTTTTTTTGTATGACCTGCTGCTCGTCAGCATGTGATGTCACAGTTTCGAATACATTTGTTTTTTTTTTTGTATGACCTGTAGTATCTGTTAAAATATGTGACTGCCGCGCAGGTAGAAACTGCTTGCCAGTGGGCCATGTTGGGCCCTCTGTAGTTTTTTGGGCTGGACCTTGTTCCAAATACAGTACAGTGTGAAGCGTTCACTTCACATCACGTGCCAATGAACCTCCCCCTCACCGACCTGTACAGCAGAGAGGACACAGAGCATTACGGTATTTCTTCAACAATCCATCCGCGTTACTGAATGAAAATATTGTGTTGTTCATGGATACTTGAAGTGCTGTGCATTTACTTTCAAGGGTAAGTATCGAAACTGAACATGGAAATTTGGAACGCCTTGTATATTTTGATGTGCATGCTTGTCACAAGGTTTTGGCATGCATTTTCCAAATGGGCCAAAATTTAAATTGAGCAATAGCACCCAGACGAATTGAGGAGCATACGGAAACATGTGTGCAGGCACACGTACACACACTCAGACACACAGGCATTTAAGTCAAGTGTGGAAGAGTATGAAGGTGTCAAGATAGTAGCTAGAGGTGAGGAGCCATGCTAGGGTGAAGAGGAGAAAGTGTCGAGAGAGTTTAGGCAAGGAAAGAGGTGTTTCACTATAGAGTTTGGAGTACAAATAGGAGGAAAAGGGGTAAACCACCAAACAGAATGCAATAACTACACTACTGCTAGATCTACATGCAGTTACAATAATATAATTCTGACATCCCCCCTTAACTGCATGCAGGAATAGCAAAGTGCAAATCACAACCTGCAAGTGTACTCAAAGCAGTAGCACGCAAGAGCAATGACAACCAGTGCAGTGGTGGCAGAGACAGCTGCAGCAAGCCCTGAGGCAAGAAAGAGAGAAAGGAGACAAAGTGCTGTGGCGCATCTAGTTTGCAGCTCAACAGCAAAGAAGACGAACGAGGCGTCAGGGGCTGCAGCTGTAGGTGCCACGGTAGCAGTGGGCGGCAGCTGCAGATGCGTGGCTGCTTGTTCCTTCACTCTCTCTTACCCTCCCTTACCATCTCTCATTCCCCCCCCCCCCTCTCCTACAGCAACAAGTGCTGCAGGGAGGGAGAGAGTAAGAGGGAAGGGAGGGAGGACGTGCTGGCTCCTTACACCCGCCCCCCCCACATCCCCCCCCCCCCCCCCCCTCCACGACGGGAGGAGAGTAAGGGAGGGCGGGTGGGAAGGGCGGCATCACCCGCGGCCGGCGCTGGCGGCGGCAGGTGGCGCTGGCGCTGGCGCTGGTGCTGGCGCTTGCTATTGGCTGGCGTTAGCCGCTTGCGGATGCGCTGGCGCTCGTCGCTGGCGCTTGTGCTGGTGCTGGCGCCTGCCGGCGTTGGCGACCGCATCGACGGTGAACGGGGGGCCGCGAGGCGACGAATCGGGGGCCGCGGGGTGACGGAACGGGGGGGAGGCCGCGGAACGACGGACGCGACGGGCCAAGGGCGCGACGGGACGAAGTAAAAAGTAGCGCATTTCGCGCTGCAGGAAGGGCGGGCCCATGTTACTTAAAAAAAATGAAGGTTCTAGGAAAGAACCAGCTCTGACACCATGTCAAGATAGTAGCTAGAGGTGAGGAGCCATGCTAGGGTGAAGAGGAGAAAGTGTCGAGAGAGTTTAGGCAAGGAAAGAGGTGTTTCACTATAGAGTTTGGAGTACAAATAGGAGGAAAAGGGGTAAACCACCAAACAGAATGCAATAACTACACTACTGCTAGATCTACATGCAGTTACAATAATATAATTCTGACAGAAGGCTCTAAAGAAAGAGGTGAGACAACAAACGTTATGAGCAGGGCCTTGGCTTCAGTTTAGGCAGACTGAGCCTTCAGGGCCAAGGCACTAAACTGGCTGATATTTTCAAGGTAATCATACCCTGATTTTTCAGAGCATGCCAATAGCTGGCCTCTCGATATCAGGGTGATTCACCCTTATGACCCTTACTATAAGGGCGGGTTTGACGATGCACCCTTTTTTACAAGACTGGTTTTGTTTTCGACCCTTACAAAAAAAAGCTGTGATCGATTGTACGACACTGATATTTCAGAGCTATGTGGTGTAGTAGCACTGATAAAATCAAGTTCGATCTAGGAGA